TAGATATTATTTTAAAACAATTATCTAATAAAGACATATTTTAGAATTTTACATTTGTATGGCTTTTATTCAAAGGTTGATTTCAAAGGGTACGCAACAATATCAAAAAAACGAAATAAGTTATTAAATTGTTTAAAAATGTGATAATTTCATGCTTTTTTCAAACTCGAAAAGCATAATTCGTAATAGCCACATCGAAAACCGACGGGGTACAGTGCAAGTTTTCTTTGTTTTATGGTGACAATTTGGTTTCTTGACCGTGCAAAACGGTTTCTCATTAATATTGTTTTGTAAATGACAAGATTACACAATAAACACTCGCGATAATGACAACACACGACGGCTAGTTGTAAATTAATGTACCTACCTATTCACTTAAATAAATTTGAATATTTCCGAGTTAATCAAATTTGATTTTTCTCTCAAAAATGTCGAGTAAATATAGTCCAAATAGGGAATCCTTTAAATCTACGTAGCACATAAAAATATCGCTAATATCGGTTCGTATTGTGCAAAATACGCGTGCTCGCCACAGGTCAGCCAGTATATAAAAAAAAATATAATATATAATAGAAAATAGTATAATACAATAATGGGATAGGCTTGTGCGGAATTTCGGCGTTGCCGGCCGTCCGCGTACATGCGCGTTTCCACAATTATTTCGGAACGGCGAATTTTAACGCGCGGCTTCGCTCTGGACGCGCCTCCGACAATAACAATGCGAAAATAATACGCGAGTCGTTATAATACGTATTATAAGTAATTCGTATTTTATATACCGCATTTGAGATAGATAATAATAATAAAAACATTATTGTCAAGGTGGATAAATCCACCGTGATAACAATATACGGTATTTATTAATAAATATAAACTAATTAAATTTAATAATATATTTTCGTAATATTGTTTTTTATCCCCCTCTTCCGCCGAAAAATAATATAAATGTTATCAATATCAGTTCACTTAATACCTATCCATTTAAGCCAAATGCGTTTGGCAGTTCAACACGTTGTACAGTGCATTCAAATGGTTTCAGACATAGGCTTTTGGGTATGTAGTTTTTTATAAATGTGCAATAAATTAGTTACTATAAAATAAAATAAAGTCTAATCGATAACATAATTATTTGTAATTTGTAAAATTAAAATAGGTATAGGTATTTTAACTCTTGAAGTGATAAAATCAAAATTGTAAGACGGTAAAGAAATTTATACTCTGTAATTATATAACGATAAATCATTGCAGACGAAAAAAAGATTTTGAAGGAAGTTCGTTTAAATAAATGATTTATAATACTGTATAATATTTATGATTTTATTCAAAAATTGGTCTTAAAATAATTATAAAAAAAAAATTATTCCATTACACTCTACTTTTCATTTTTGTCCGTTAAGGAGAACTTATAAAGAACTTATAACTTATAACATGAACCTCCTGTTACATTTTCATGTATTTCTGTTTGGACAAATAATAATTATATCCATATAGTACCTAACAAATAAAAACTACGAATATTTTTAACTGAATTACAATAGAAAAAACGAAATCGAAAATAATTAAACTATTATTTGTTTTGATCAATAAAAAAAAAATACTTCTTCCTCACCAACAAGATTAAAACAGACATATCCAGCATGATGTGTGGTTCATTGTTATAGGTGAGAAGTTGGGAAGGTAGAGGGGAAATGTAAACGATTCTGAGCGGAGTTCGGTTGTATACGTTATGAAAGGCTATAATATGATTTGAAAACAATACATTTCGAAAATTTTCCCGTTTTTCCTACAGTTTTTCCCGGTTTTGTCTATTATTATTAAAACTCCCAGGAGAACCAAAAATTATTTACTTGAAGTACCAATCCAATTTAATTTCCTTTCAAAAAAAGTGCTACACTTGAATATCTGAATAAAATTTCTGGTAAAAAAGTTGTTCATAGAAAATAAAAAGCATAAGCATTTTTGTAAAACCAATACATTCCTCGCCTTGTTCAGAGTCTAAACTTCAACAAAAAAAGTCTCTTGTCGTTTTTCGATTAGAGCAATATTTCTGGTAGAAAACCGTAAAGCGTTAAAATGTATAATAACGAAACTACAACCCCGTAAATTAATATACGCCGTAATGTTTTCTATTAGAAATATTGCTTAAATCAAAAAAAATACTAAGTGACAATTTTTGTTGTATTTTTAATAAGGTTCGTGAGTAAGGATTTCGATTTTGATTTTCCCAGTAGTTTTCATAACAATTCTGAACAAGCGGAAAAAGATGAAAAATGAAAACGGATAAATTTACTGCATTACGTTTTTATTATATTAAATTTTAGATTCGTAGCGTACCAAGGGATCAATTGGTTTTATTTTTATATGTGTGTGTTTTTTTTATTATTATTGTTATTATTTTTTTCTGTCTGTGAACAACCAGAAAACTTGCTCTGAAGTATAGACCACCTTTTCTGAAAAGTAATTTTATCTATGTGCATTGGTTTTTAAGTCTCTTAATTAGATTCTCAATTTCTTCATATTTGGGTATTTCTATATCTATTTCTGATATTTGGCAGTCCATATTTGGATCTAAACCATGTCCTACTGTGGGTCGATTCAGGAAGTCCGAAATGCTCCTTGAAATGATCTATGATTTGTTTCTCTTTTGTAATCATAGTTCCTATATCGTCCAATATGATCCTTGTTTGTGGCTTTAAACCAACTTTTACTTCCCCGATCATTTTGAAAAACTTTTTTTGCGTTGTATCTATTAATTTTTATTTCCTTTATATTTTTCTTTTCGTATAGACGTTTCTCTCTCCTTAACATTTTATTGGTCAATTTTCTCTGTTCTTCATATTTTCTTACGCTTTTGTCTAATTGGTTTTGTAGTGTTTTTTTCCTCAGTTCGTTTTTTTCGATTATTGTATTCTTACATGTGTCGTTGAACCAAATTGTATTATTTTCTTTGGATTCCATTCCTAAAATCTCTGTTGCAATATTAACCACTGCTTTCTTTGTTCTGTTCTAAATCGTATCAGTTTCTGTGCTATAAGTTATATCCGATTTATATCAATACTTTGTAATTCATGTGCAATTTTCTTAACGTAATTTGTACATTGTATTTTACTGTGGGTTTCTTTTTTTCCAGGTTCTATTTTGCTGACAGTCTTAAATTAAATTTCGCATACACTAGGTAGTGATCTGAGTCTGCGTCAGCTCCTCTATACGTTCTCACATTCCATATGCATTCACTGAATCTCCTGTTGATAAGTATGTGGTCAATTTGATTATACGTCCCTTTATCAAGAGATTTCCAAGTGAATCTGTGTATATTTTTTCTAAGAAAGTATGTACTGCTTATTACACAATTTTTTGAATGTGTGAAATTTATCAGTCTGGTTCCGTTTCCATTACTAATTTCATGTAAACTGTTTGGTCCTATAAGCGGCCTATACATGTGTTCTCCTCCAACCTTCGCATTCATATTACCTACTACTATTATTATACAGTGTAGAGGTAAAGTATCATATACACTTTCTAGTTCTTCATAGAATTTGTCCTTTATGTCTTCATCTTATTCTTCTGTTGGAACATAGCAGTTTATAATAATTATATCAAGTATCTTTCCCGCTATGCGAATATGGCAAATTCTATGTTTAAAGGCTGAGAAAGTCTTTACATTTGGTAGTATCTTGTCGTGTGTCATAAACCTTACTCCACTTTCACGTTTTCCATTAATGGTGCCACTGTAGAATAGTGTTGCATTTCCTTTCTTTAGGTTTCCAATCTTTGACCACCTGATCTCTTGTACTGCTAATATGTTAATTATATAGTTATTATAAACATCGAGTATATATTGCAAAACTTCAGGTTTGATACGTGTTCTAAAGTTTTATGTCCCTATACGTAGCCCATTTTTCGATTCCAGTTGTTTGCCATTCTCAATCCAATTCCGAGCCTTTTTTGATGGTTTCTTAACTGATTGCTTATTACGAGGTCGGGTTGTTAGCCCGAGGCCGACTCCCAAAACTGGATAACCATTCCACACCAACCACTTAAGGTTAGCGTGGGACTATTGCATTACACTTTGCAGTTTATTGGGCGATGGCAGTACCAATTTTCTCTACGCCTCAGCTCGGGACCATCTGGGGAATCCTTATCTCTGGTCCCATCATTATTCACTAATTGTATTATTTATAACTCAACAACTTAATATTGTATTAAAAATGTGACGAAAAAAGACATCCTAGGGTAATGGGGTCGGTTACAGCCACTGTTATAAGTAATTTAATCTATACCCGTAAGCAATGATAAACCATTGCTGATAAAAAAACGATTCTGAGCGGAGTTCAGTTGATAGTGATGCTTTATCATAATGTTACAGTAAAATAATTAAACACGCATAATATATTTTCTTTAAAACATTTATTTAAAGTATTGATTTTCCCATTTTTTCTACGTTTTCCCACGTTTTTTCCTGGTTTTTCGCATTTGATGAGAAAACTCTTGAGGAAATCGAAAAAAAGTACTCCCAAAAGTACCTTCCCATTAAGATTTCTTTTTACAAAAATTGTTATCGTTATAAGTTGGAGCGAAATTGCTGGTAGAAAAGTTGTCCACAGAAAAAAAAATCGTAATATTATACAAATATATTTCGTACATTTTTCCGTTTTCCCTCCGTTTTGTTTCGGTTTCTCGCATTTGATGAGTAAACTCCAGAGAAAATCGAAAGACGACACCTTCCAAAAGCACTTTCGCAGTAAGATTTCCTTTCAGAAAATGTGCCACACTAAAGATCTCCGGTAGAAAAGTTATCCACGGGGGAAAAAAAAAAAATATAAACATCTTTGTAAAACCGTAAGCTCCTTCGCTCCAATCAGAATCTAAAGCATCTCTGAAACGTGTGTAAATCCAGGGCCTACACGAGAAGGGCCCGCCGGGCCATTACGCGTCCGTATTAATATCAAAACGATCATCGGCTCGCGCGCGCCGCGGCACGCACGTTCCGTGAGCGCCGCATGCCGCCGCCGGTGGCCGGTCGTCACTTCGTCGGCCGTGTCGACCGCGTACGTACGGGTTTGTCCGCGCCGCGTACGCAGCCCGTAAACCCCGCGCGCGTGTGCTCGCCGACTGCTACTCTACGGTTGGTATACGTAGGCACATAACACAACAACTGCGTCTGCACCATCCGCTGCCACTACCGCCGCCGCCCGAACAGTCGTGGTCCGTGGTACCCATTACCATTCCTCCGGTCGCAACCGCCGTTACAACGAAATCATAAATTATTGTGTCTGTACACTCAGTACGCGCCCGACGACGACGCCGACGACAACGCACTCGACGTGCAAACGCGGACCGGTCGCGTTCGGATTCGGCCACGAGGCGGTTCGGCCCGAGTAAATAGTAATAATAATTTTATAATACCTGCAGAGTTGCGCGCCGGGTTCGTTTTTTTTAAAATTATTTTAAAACTGTTTTCGTTCCGTTTTCGGTTTCCAGCCGCAACCGCAGCCGCCGCCGTCGCCGCCGCCGCCAACGCCGACCCTGCACTCGGGGTAAGTCAGTCTTTTTTTTTCCGTTTTTTTTCAATATAATACGCAGCTAATGTCCGTACCGACATCGCGATCGTTATAATATTATTACACATAATACATATTATACATATATATATTTGGTCCCAGGGAAGAATGGCTCGAGACAATTTAGTGAAATGTATAGTTTTCGATACGAGCAAATCCGATTTTGTTAAATACATAATATGCGTATGCCATTTTGACACGAAAAATGTGAAATTATGAAAAAAAAAATATATGATTAGAATCGAATTCATCTCCGGATCATAGATACATCAGGTGGAAATTTCTAAGCGATATCCAACGTCCTCGGCGGTCCTCGTTAACAGATTGACGGAATTATTTAAGATTTTGCGTTTCGGTCATATAGGCCGTAGCAGAGCCGGATTCGCTCCCACTTCCCGTTAGATACCTACTCGGGATATAAAACTCACCGCTACGTCTTTTTTTCATTAGGACCCTCTTCCCTTATATATATATACACCAAAACCTGGCAAATACAAAACGTATTTTGCATAGAAATAAACCGTTATACTTAGGACTTAGCTTATGCTTGAGTACTTATCTCTTTATCTATACTCTTTACAAATATTATTATATTACTAGTTCGAACAAAAAAAATACCGTCTCGGTCTACATAATATATTAGTGACCTAATTATGGGAGGGGGTAATGGGGATAGACCCCCTCCCCGGAGCCAGAGTCTTATTTATATTAATTAATGTACCTTATTAGTATATCTGTTTGTAAGTTTAGGTTAGATTAGGTATTTATGATATGGTTAATGGTGGTCACCACTTAAAAGTGTTCAAATTATACAATTTATTTTTACATTTTACGAAATACGAATAATTAACCATTAGTAAGTGGGAAGTTTAAAAGGTAGAAGACAAGTCGTACACGTCATGTTTTCTATCAGTGTGAATAAAAAATTCCACATCTCTGAAGGTAGGTAGGTATAGAATCGGAATATTTCACTCACCAAAAAAAGTTTTTTCAGCATCATGAAATACATTCTACACTTAGAATTTAAAATGTGACACCTTAGTAAAACTAATAACTTCTTCGTTATACTCAGAATCTAAAATATAGGTCTTATGGGAAGTGTGGGGGGGGGGTCTTTAAACAACGTTTATTTAACAAATGATCCATCTCGCCTCTCAGAACAACATTATGCCACTGGTCTATAAGTATTAAATATTGTTACGGCTAGTGTAAGACTCTTGTAACAGTGTATACCAGTTTAAACAATATAAAACATTATTTATACCATTCTCAAAATTAAGCTACAATTATGTTTTATTTCATCTTAAAATAGAAGGTTATTTTCTTTTCTATCTATAAATGAAGCGATAGAAAGTTATGCCGTTTGCATTTTTCTTAAAGAAATATTGACATAAAAGCAAATGCCCCCAGCGGAAAAATTTTAATAGTTTTAGGAGCGGCAGTTTTATCGAGTGTATTAATTTTTTTTTAACACTAAATGTATAACATTTAATAGTATCATTGATTAATTGATTAATCTACGAATTTATTTTTCTAAGTAATAGGTAATTTCTTTAAGTGCTATTGTATACAAGGACCGTGAGTGATTTTATGTCGAGTACGGTCGCCTTTTGTGTAAACTGTTTTCTTAACCGTGTTGTCTTTACTTAGTACCCCCAAGTAAAATGTAATAAATGATAACAGATTATCGTATAAAATAATTTTGAGATGAATGTGTAATATGAGTGAAACATATGAAATATTATTGGGTGAAAATATGTAGGAGGGGAGGGTTAGCCATAAAATTATATCGCCCTGGGTGCATATATTCTAAATGCACCACGATTGTCTATGTCCACTCTTAAAATGTATGTTTTCTTGTGTTTTCAATTTTTTTCACTATGTTATAAATTGTTCATACTAGTCTACTACTCTACCATAATTTTTTTTTATTATTATTTTTTTAATTTAACGGGCAACGGCTGACAAATTTTTCTTTAACGATATTTTAGGAAAACATCAATTCACTGACCTCGAAAATGTTTTCCTTTTAAAATTGTGTTACCCTTGTGCAAACTCTAATATTTTACATAAAACTCCACAATTTATGTTCTAAATTATTATATTTTCGTTGTACACGTTTCTTGCAGCTGTTATAAGTAAGGCGGTATAGTGAGACGGTATAAATGTGCGGGTGTACGGGACCTGCAGCTAACGTCCGGACGAGTATTATTTAATATTTCGTTCGTTTTTCGAATCGAAAAAAATCGGTCAAAATGAAAAATAAATAAATCTTCGAACTATACTTATATATGTGTAGGTATATGATATTAACATTGCATCGTAAACGCATTATAACAACCACATTTTGGAAGCAGCTGGTCGTGCAGTCTCCCTTCATTTTTCATTTCTTCAACCGTTCGCCCGCCCTCCAAAAAACTCCCTTCTAAATCCGGCTAAGCGAGAACACAACAGTTTGTGTGTAGCTTTCCGGGTCTAATATAATTTTTCAAAACCTACTCACTTCACATATAATAACAAATATTATTTCTGTTTGCCATTTGTTTTCTCACCCTCCCGCAGCGATTTCTCTGTCCGTTGCGCTGCAATATTTTTGTCCTGTAAAGGATATTATATGTTTCTATACGTATACTTTTATTCCAGCAAACGGTTAAACGAACAGTCGCGACGGGGTATTTGAATACATTTTTCAAAAAAAAAAAAAATACGATAATATTAGGTATATTCGTCGGTTATTCTGACGTACGATTTTTTTTTTTTCACTTTATTGGTCGTACACTTTTCCATCCGTACACGCCGGCTGTTTTCTCTTCAATATACAAACGTGAAACTATGTGCAGAGCTATGCATTTAAAAAACAAACAATATAAGTATACACATATACATATACAAATAATGAAAATATTATTACTCGTAGAGTTAAAAGTTTTATCGACGTTTTTACAGCGGTATAGATATATATTTTAAGACTTGGGCATCGTTTCCTTTTTTTGTTTTTTTTTTTCTTACCCCTCATACGATTTTGTTAGAGTTTAGAAAGAGAGAGAAAGAGAGAGAGAGAGAAAGAAAAGAAAGCAGGTAGGTATTTTTAGAAAATTAAAACAAATTATCCGAAATACTCTTGGCCTGGATTCGTTTCCGTATAATATAATTTTATGTATAAAAAAAAAAAACGAATTGGCCACGACGACGATAAGATCGTTTTTTTCAGTTAAACTAAAAAAAAAAAAAAAACTAAAATTAAATGATCATTAAGAACTATTTTTGGTTACCTAAAACTGGGGTTTGTTAAACGTGTGCGTGGCACGTGGACATAATTTTAGACTCTAGGTGAATAATGTTTGCGGAGACGTCTAATTTAAGAAACGTCCTGTTTCTTACCCGTGAATGAATTAAAATATCTGTTGCAGTATGACATCAAAGGCCCTGTGTGTCGTTTCAATTATCATAAAGAGAATCTGTTTTCATCAAAAGAACAAGCAAAGTCCGATCTGTATAATATTAAACAGGCTCGATAACAATTATTATATGATACTAATCCGACTGTATACTTTTTTTAATATAATGATAATAATATACTCGTATATATTTTATTATTATCCATTCGTATACAAATGTATATTCTTCGCAATTGCCATCGTTTTTGATTTCATACATTATATTGAACACAAATCGGGACGTCATTTCTGTTTTTCAATAGTGATGCAAATATTTTCCTTCCAGCGGCCCATTTATAAATGCGTTTTGTTTTGCGGATCTGAAAACATTTTTTTCTCGCTTGTATTCGTATTCCACCCACCTTATATTGTAATATTCAAATACTATAAATGTAATAAGTAGAGAAATATCCCTCTTACCGGGACGTCATTTCAGTATATTTTTGGGGCGTGCAAGCAGGCCATTATAAATATTTCACCAGGCCACATAAAAATATACATATTATATAGATACGAGGTACCTATGTATATCATCCTGCTTTTAATTGTTTCAATAGATTATGAATCGTAATAAACACAAATAGTAAAAACCTATTCAAAGTCCAAAAATTACTAAATAATTGATACTTTACCTCTGAAAACCAATGATTAATGCATACAAATATGAAATATTGAAGATGAAAAACACATAGCATGATAAGTTATGTGTAACGTCCGTGTTTCGTTCTCACATCTCAGACGGCCAGACCCAGGTAGATGTCAGTGGTTCGATTACCTTGTGAATTTTACGTTTTATCGACGACGGTACAATTATAGACATTTAATTAAAAAGGGCTGTCAAACTCAGAAACTCTTACATGATGCCCCTGAAACAAATAAAAAAAAAAATATTCCGAATAGAGCTCGGTTAAATCAATAATATTTAAAGTTAATTTAAGTTAATTATGTACATTTTTTTTTCGTGTTTAACTATACAATTTTATTATAATTGTTCTTATATTATCTGAAAGAATTTGACGAGATTTTGTTTTATAATTTCCATCAAAGTTATCAACTTATCATTTAAAAATGTATTACCCTTTCTTAGCTATACTCCTCCGGTCTAAACTTTAAACGGGGTCATAACTCATTAACGGTACATATGATATTAGTGTTATGCAAATCAAAATTTCTAGACAAATATTCGGGGGGGGGGGCGGGGGTTCATATTTAAAGTCTATTCTTATTTTTAAGGTATCTATATATACATGGTAAAAAATTGAAAATTGTTTTTAATAAAAAAAATTAAACGATTCCAAAAAAAAAAAAAAAAAAATCATCGTATACCTATTATTATAATATACGAGTACGAAATAATACGCACGGGTAACAATCGTAGTAACAGCAGCGGCACGGGTATTTTACAAATATCACAATAATATGCCCGCCTGCCCATTTTATACGAGACCGATTGCCGCGGTGCAACACGCGACAATATTATGCTCGGATGTATTATGCAATTTATGATTATTGTTAAGCGGTCGCCGCCGCCGCCGCCGCGTAGTCGCACTCGACGGGGTTTTTTTTTATCTATTGCCGTCGCATTTGTAGCGAAACGCGCTCACGCGTAAGCCGCAAAGGTCTTTTGGAATCGGTTTTGGGGATAAAAAACACACTGGCCCGCTATTGAATGTACAGTGTGTAGACGTTTACAACGGACACCACTTCGACAATAAGAACCGGGCCGTTGTCGTCGGCGTTTTACAATAATCGACTCGTCGCCGCGTAGGTGCGCCTAACCGCGGCGGCGGTATTGTGTGGCTCGATAAGACGTTGTCGGCGAAAAAAAAAAATGCCGTTAAAGAGCGCTCGTCGGATTTTACGTTACGCATTGAACTTTGGCATAGATTCTGGTAACGTCAGTTATCGCTGATTTTTCGTTACAAAACCGAATTTTGTGTTACCGACGCAATTAAATTTGCAATTGTTTTTTTTTTTTTTTTTTAAATTTAACTATCGAGTTACAAAAATGCCGCTGCAGATGTATTAGTGATGTGCCACAAGTCCGGGTCACTCAAAAATTTCAATTTTGAATTTTGAAAATCGAGTTTTTTTCGTTTTTTTTTTTTTTTTTCAATCTAAGTCGTTACACATAAGTATTTATGTATACATTGAAAAATGTTTATTGAACGATTTTAATGCAAAAAAAAAAAAAAATAATAATAATAATAATAACAAAACGTGTATTACATATGTGCCAGTTATCCATTGTTTAGCTTTATTTGATGATTTTGCTTAGCGTGTGAGTATTTAAAAAAATATTATTATCGGATAATCGAAAACTGTTATCATGCACCCGCTGTACATTATTTTAATCCGGCATTTGGATTTCGCATTCTAAAAATCCTGATTATCGAACTTCAGCAATTCCGGATATTTCCCACCACCATACTATGATATAGGTATACTATAGGCTGTATTTTGCAAAACGACCCGGGGAAAAAAAAAAAAGAAAACGAAAAAAAGGCTTCGCATAATAAAATGTAGATTTGCCAAGTCGTTTGTGCTTCTCACGACACCTCAAAAGCTTTGGGGAAATCGTTGACTTTAGGATAATCCATATAATATGTATATATATATTTGTAAATTTGTATAAAGGCGCCAAAATGCAATTATATTATATTATTTTATTATAACCGACCGCTGCAGTTGTTTCTATATTATGGTACGGCGTTATGATAATAATATAATATTATATACAAATTGCGTATTATCATTATTACTATTATTATTATTATTATTATTATTAATATTATTATTACTGTTATTATTATTATTATTATTATTATTATTATTATCATCATTATTATCATTATTATTATTGTTGTTGTTATAGCATGTATTGTATAAAGTTAATATTACGGCGATAAGACGCATTATTGTACGTACCGACACTGTGATAATGTGTTTTTGAATTTCCGCCGCGGCAACAGGTTTTCTGCGGCAGACGGAGTAGTGCGTACTCAATGCCCGTAATGTCTGTGCGAGCGTATGTTTCTGTAATATTATTTTACGTTTCGCGTTCTCCGCAGCCGATATACGTAATGCGTACGTTGAGTACAGAGTGATTATTTTGTCGTGCGCAACCGCGCGCCGTCGTCGCCGCCTCGTGTCCGGATTGACGGTCCGCGGCATCGGCCGCGTCGTCGAGAACCGTACGGGAGCACGTCGACACTCGTCGGAACGGAACGGTAAAAATCATTTCAAATCGTATTACTCCGCGTGAAAATCCAATAACGTCCGGCCGCGGCGTGTCTCGGACGGTGACGCCCCGTAGGCCGGTCGATACGAGAGAAAATCCGGCCGTGCTCGTCGTTATTATATTTTACAACGCTGCTGTCCGCGTCGTGCGAAAAGCCCGGCAAGGCGGGCCATACGCGTGGACGGGATGTGTGCTGGTCCGTCGCGGTCCACGATACCCGCGCGACGGTGTAACGTAAACGGCACGAAACGCGGTGAAATTCCGCAAACGCATTTAAAACGGATTGAAATATAAACCTGCTATATCTCTCTCTCTGTGAGTGTGTGTGTGTGTGTGTGTGTGTGCATAATACGTTTTATAAAACGATTCGATCAGCTCTGCGAAAACATCGGCAGACGATCACCGGCAATGACGGTACGCGGTTCAAACGGACCGCCCTGTATACGGTTAACGACGTGACGCGTCTTGATGTCCGGTGTAGACGTCCTGCTATACGTTCAAACGGAACATTCGGCATGAAAACGCGGTAGTTTCATTTCGAGGACAGAAACCCGTGAACGGTGTGTTTTAATTGGCTGTCCTTGGAGTGCTAATTTACTCTCTCTCTCTCTCTCTCTCTCGCACACTAGGCTCTATATCAGGCTCTGTCTCTTGATCCGTTTGGACGTATCCCAGTGTCCCGTATCCCAGTCCTCGGGGTGAATAATTGTCAACGTCCCGTGTACTACAAGTACATGGGCAATACGAGGTACACAGCAACAGGCGGACAGGTCCGAAAATCCCGCGGTCCGATGGTCGCAGAATAAAGGTTAATAATATATGTACGCGTATTATATATTATACAGAGCGATTCAAAATGTACGTTACATCCATTTTATCATTTTATCATTAGAAATAGAAAAGGATGCATAATACAAAGGTTTTTCGTTTTATAAACATCTAACAAATAATTTGTACTTTTTTTAGGTTTAATGTCTTTCTTTCTTTCTTTTGGGGGTGGACTTTTCAAACGAGAACCACTATTCGAAATCCCGTTACACATACGGAATAGTAATAGTTTAAACGAATTTCGGCGTTGCGATTTGTGATTTCCGTCGACCCGTTGACGAGATATTTCGCTTTTCGGTTTAGGCAGGGGCGAGTAGCGGAACACATTTCCATCGTCGCGCGCTCCGTGCCGTACGGCCACATCGCCAGCGCGCAATGTTCCGCTGCTCTCTTACTCCCCTTACCCAAACGCAAAAAGCGGAATATCTTTTGCACAATACGTGTTTCGCCGAACGTTTACACGTTGATACGTAACAGTTGTAACGTAAATTTTGAATCACGCCGTATAACATAATAACGCGAGTAATAACGTAACAACGTATATAACGTATACTTGTACGTTATAAGAGCGAATTTTTTGGTTGTTATGAAAAAAAAAAAAAAAAACCAGTCCACTCGGACGGCGACGCTCGACGGTAGGTATACGCGCGCACGCACTCGCGCGCACGTTTATATTATTATACGAGAGACTCGAACGGATTTTGCCCATACATTTATTATTATTATTATTATTATTATTATTATACAACAGCACTCTATTCGAATGTTATTGCGTAAAAATACAGCCGCCGCAGCCGCCGGCGGCGTGCCTAACCAGATACCTATAACCGCATGTAACCGCGCGCACGGTCGGAGAACGTTCGGCCCGCGTATGAAAACGCGGGTCGCGGTCTTCTTCCCCCTTCCGCGGGTTCCACTCGCGTGGCGTTATTTCCATATTCGCAAAAAATTTTTTGCAAACCTAGTTTTCTGGTTTTTTTTTTTTTTTTTTTTCTGTGTCTACGTGCCGTTTTATAATTTTATTCGCGATTTTACGTATTTCATTATTTCGCGACGAGTACACTGCCGTGAGAATTATTATCGGACGAGTTCTGCGGTCGTAAACTCCTCGGGCCTACTCGCCAACATAATACAATTTACAAAATAATATTGTTCTATAAAAACGTATGCGTATTATAATTACGCAAAGAGCCTACAATATTATTAGAAATTGGTCGTCGGTGACGTCATTTTTGTTCGGTTCCCGTTATCAATAATAAAATTTCTTTCGAACAATAGGTATTATCGATTGAAATGTTAATGTTATTCTAAACGTTTTCAAGTCGAGACCATCGAATTTTTTATCAGTTTAATTTAATTTTTGTTTTTTAATTTGTTTTTTTATCATACGATTAACATATTTATGTAAATGAGTTTAAGGGATCCCATTATATTTACTGATAATCATAGGCTAAAATTTAGTCCATTCTGACCATAATGTTTAGATGAAAAATTACACAATAATATTATGATGCTGTCCGTTGATAAAAGGTTCAGCGGTCACTTCGAAATTATGCTCGTATGCTCTTTGTACGTACTTATAGCGTGTAGGCTATACGTATTTATCAATTTAGAATTTTCGGTAAACATTTTCTCTACTTGAATACTTGCGCGTTTATTTTTATAAACCTACTGAGAATTTTATTATTGTATCAGAAATACTAAGCGGACGAAGAATGTGTTCACTATATAATTTCTTATAATATAACTAAGACTAACAATATAATATAACTTTTTTATTTCATTAACAGACGATCGTATATACGATGTACCTATTCTATAAAATCTGCGCGCGATCAAATGTATCTGTGAGAGTTTTAATGTTCCGATACTTCTACACGGAGTCATTAAACGATGTAGACTCCCCCTGCGGTTTGGTGATTGGTTTTGCCCAACAATTTATAGAAAAAAAAAAAAACGGACATACTTTGCACGATAAGTGGGCCAATGTTGTAGACGAGACGTTGGAAAGATAGAGGGGAAACGTAATGTATATCTGTACGCAACAATAAACCATTGCTAATGAAAATTGTTCGGTTGTACAAGTTTTGAAAGGCAGTAATATTTATGTTTCGAAAATATTATATTTAATACATTTTCTCTTTGTTCCCGGTTTTTCCCATTGAGTATTAAAGCCTCTGGAAAAATCAAAAAATTACCTCCCGAAAGTAACACCCCAGTCTAATTTACTTTAAGAAAAGTGCTGTACTTGAAAATCGGAGAAAATTTCTGGTAGAAAAGTTGTTCACAGAAAAAAAAAATAAACATCATTATAATACATTTCTCGCTACGTACAGAATCTGAAATACGGGCAACATGATACGATGCATCTGTTGTAGACAAAATTTATATAGACCACAGAGAAATCTTACATTTTTATCATATAGACGGATAACATCTCAAGGTTCACACTGAAATGTTGAACTTTTTAAGTTTATTTTTCTGATTGGTTTTCTACCTGAAAAATGCGATTTAAATTTACTTAACCTGCTATAATTATAACGAGTTCCAGTTGTATTTTTTTTCTTTTTCTTTTTTCTGTTTCCTACTTTTGAACACTTTTAGCGGCTCCCTTTGGACGACCAAATGAGCTAACACTCGGTAATCGGAGTTGTTTTGATAGGCGGATTGAATTGATAAAAGTTGGGCTGCATTTCAATATGAATGTTGTACAGTGAGAGGAGGGTATTTTTTTAAGCTTTTGAACACCTAGCTATAGATAATCCACAAATAAACCTAGAGTGATTGTGTATGCAGGGACGTGCCTTTTGGTGGTTATGGTTTTTAATCCTCACCCTTTTCATTATGTACTAAAATTTCAAAAATTTTTTTTTGTTAGTATTATTATAGGTATATATTTTACTGTATTATAATAATAAATAATTAGGTTTTTTATCGTTTAACAAAGAATACGTCTGTAATATTAAATATGTGTGTGGGAAATTCAACTCTGCTGCTAGTAAGTGGTTTGTACACCGTCTCCCCGAATCTTCTCTCCGGATCCCGGAGTAAAAACAGAAATAAACCGAAACTCGTGACGCGAAAAGCCCTTTTTGTGAAAATGCCTACGACGATAATATAATTACGGTACGAAGAACCGATCCCTAACCGTTTACACGCGCGCGACATTACGGACCCGAGCTTTTCCGGAAATCTTCGCTTTTAACCGAGCCTTTGTCTTCCGAGTTTCTCCGGCGCGGTAATATTATTATAATTTTCACGATAGTGTTATGCGAAAGCGACGATAATAATAATATTGGGACGGCGACGCATACTATTATACGCACAAAATAATTAATATTCCTCTTAAACGCTTCTAATTTTCAGGCAAATGTCCGTATATACTGCTCCCGACTACGAAACCTATACTCGAACCCATTAAAAACGACCGGAATTGAACGGCGGTCCTTTTAGATGAGCCGTCGAACGTTTTCCGAAACGTCGAGCATTGCACACGTCGCGGTCGTTTCGTATTCGCCGCCCAGACACAATATAATATGACATACATTATTAATATTTTATTATACAAAATATTATTATGTAGATCGTCTTTCCCCGTGAGTCTATATTTTGTATACGCGTGACGAAACACTTATAATTACTTATAATATATACGAGATAATTATTATAAATTATTATCATTGTCAATGGTTAGGTTAGGTTATTTCACTTATAGGTAGGGGGAGAGTTGTAGTGGGGCACTAATAATACGCCGCCGTCACACGAACGATACTCCACTACTGCCCCTGCCCTGTCTAAACTTAAAAGTGGAATATCTGGTCAACGGGTTGATGGAAATTGAACATTTTGACACCAAAATGTATTTGAAGTCATAGGCACTTTATCTATTTACATATTTTTAAATATGAGTTCTCATTTGAAAAGCCTAATTCAGTATCGTCACAGTATATATCTTGAATGTTATTATATCCACTGTAACTATATACACTTAAAAATTCCAAAAATTAGAATTTGAATGTATGCCAAATTTAACCGAAAAAATGGGATGAGCGCTCTAAGTGAATTACCTTATATACATATAATATAATAACTACACACATTTTATAATAGTTTTTTTCAATATTTCCGATAACAAAACATTAAAAACAATTAAAAGGGACCCTGATTGGCGAATTAAATCAAAGCGGTCGAGAGTGAAATCGGACAAATTATACGAGGAAGAAGAGGCCACAGTAAAAGGAACGTTGTATCCAATAGGACGCTAGTGGGAACTCTAAAGTTAATTTCAGAAAGCGAAGAAGGAGAGTCAAATGGATTGGATAACAGTCTGGACAGGAATGAATTATTATTGCCAAGGCGATGGTAATCCGCACAGCTGCAGGACAATCCAAGCTTATATATCGTTCGAAGAACGCAAAACCCATTACACCGAGTCGAACGGCCTTAATTTTCACCGGAAACGTATAAGTCTTCTTAGTGCCTTAACCTTCAATAACGCCCTTTGGAAACAATATTCAACCAAATTTTTCCTTTTACTATTCATTTTTATGATACTCCTTAAATTCACTATATATTTTTGACGCCCTAGAGAATTTGCCTCATTTGCTCCCCCCCCACATGTGAAACGGCTATGAGTCTCCTTCTGAAATATATACGAATATACTCGTTTATATACTGTCCTCAACGCGCAGATAATAGTCTTTATTTTATTATACTGCTAGTCGCTTTCCGAAAATTAATCTAATTATTCTTACCTATATATTATTATATCTCACGTCTCAATGAAGAAGAGTTTAAGTAAATTGTTCGTGTTTATTTTTATAAATTTTCTTACCCGTGTAATTTGTTTCGATAATTGTTCCTAATTTTCCATAGTCCCATAATATTTTCGTAATTTTCTCCCTTATTTTTTGTAATTTTTAAACTTAAATATTTTTTTTTTTTATGAGATTGACTTAATGTTACAATATATTTTATACGTTAATGAACATTGACAAAAAAATAAGACAAAATTTCGAGCCGATTTTTTCGTATGTTGGTGATCTTAAATAAACTCCTAAACGACTCCTCCTCCCCTGGTTGAGAAACACTGTACACTGCTCAATAGTACGAAAAAGCGCGTATATGCACAAAAATGCACGAATACTCAGTATAATACTATAGGTAGTATAAGATTTTCGATTGTTTTTCTCCGTTTATCGACGTACATTGAGGACGGGGAGGGATAATAATATATTCGCTAAAATATAATGTGATAAAAACAGTAAAACAAAATGTTATTTTAAACGTTAATTAAACTGTTTATTATTTTCTCTCACTCCTACCATATATTATATACATATACGATGTATTAATTGAGATTCTCGTGCAGTCCTATTACTAATTATACCTATGTATAATAATGTACGCGGCGAATTGTCGAACATACCTATCTATAATGGTATTATTCTCTATCGTATCCGGTAAAAGGACTCGGTTTAGTCCGACTAACGATGATATTCGTGAGCAAGCGCGTTATTCGTGTATCGCGTAAAAAATATTATTAAATAGGGGTTCGCAAACTGTCGACCGATGACTATTATAGTCCAATGCTCGAATGGTGGGGGGGGGGAACGAGGACGGACGCTGATGATTTTATAGTTTTTTAGAAAACATCGTTCCGTTACTATAATACACCTATGTGTAATATAGTAGATTATAATTAATGTGTTACGCAAACCGCGGGGGGACTCATCCGTATGCGTGAAGTAAATTAAACAATTAATTAATAAATCCGCATTGTTAAACGAAAAAAAAAAAAAGCTATTGTCGAAAAATAATAGAATTTTAAGTTGATTTCTCTGCAAGCTTTTGAGTCTAAGAAAATCGGTCGTAAAAGTCATCAGTAGACAAAGGACATATTATATAATATATACAAACAAAAGTTATAACGAAATGGTTTTTCGATGTTTGTACATTTTTTCCACGAATCCAAAAGCCAGAATCGTCAACAACCGATTTTAAATTTGGATGACAATGACAGTTGAACATAATATTATGTTGAGCTATAATAATAAAGACAGACTTGCTCGGAAACTTCTGTACAAATAATGCGGTACGCTAAAAAAAGTAAAATGCAAGAAAAAAAATTGAAAGAGAACTTTGTCCAACTGCGTCCGATTCCCGATTTTTGTTTGGAAAGTTTTTCGAAGAAGACCCTATTTTATATTTTTAAATTGTATAAATTCAAAATAAAAAAATCGTATCGATTATTAAAAATGATTTTCAAATGTTTTTCGTGTGATCACAGCTGCAGCGACCGAGTTGAAGGCAATGTGGACATATACAGTTTCACCACGCGTAAACGCATAATAATAACCGATAATACTGTTTATTATGTTTATATCCCAGCGAAATCACCGCTGCAATCGTATTAAATAAATTCTAAAAATTGTTCAAAAAACGTACGAAAGAGTAAAACTTAAGAGCAAGACTGGGTACCTGAGCTGCCAATAATCGATTCGAGTCAATTGTCGAGCCAAACTAATCCCTACAAATATAGTCCCTATTATTATTGTTTTTAAAAATCTGCACCGTGAGATTTTTCCACGACGTAAATGTGAGTCGATAACAATAAATAACGCTGTAGAAACAGATATTTCTTTTGTATGTCAGAATATAGGTACTCTTATTTTTAATACTATGTATAGTGTACCGCGATCCGCAGGTCGATCATAAAAAAAAAAAAAAACTTTTATACTTAACGCCGTTATCGGTCGATCGTGTGCATATAATGATACGCGTAATTTAATGAATAAAAAATGTACACGGATAACACGCCGACGAAAACGCAAGATTATTATATTCGACTACACGTTTTCGTTTTTAGGTGTTATTTACTATTTACGCCGTAATCGCGATATTTGCACGCACAAAAACGTATGCAAACGGGTAGCTACAAACGTTGACATTTCATAAAAAGTATAGACGTACCTACAGCAAAATCAACTTATAATGGACACATACGAGACGATCAAAAGTGTACGTGTGTGTATGTGTACGGGTTTCTATGCGTCGCAGAAATGTTTTTTTAGAAAGGTCAAATTCATTCAGCTGTTTACGTTTTACCGATGCCAAATTTTTCAGCGAATGTTTACTGTAGTGCGAGTCTTATTTCTACCGAATAATTTCCACTTTTTGTTTTGAATTGACGAGATATTACACTTATAGGTAATAAGAATGGACGTTAAGTGATAATAACCCTTATCTGCGGATAATCAGCCAGAAGACGGTAAACGTAGTTTTTAATTATTCGCTGATCGTTGAAAGTGAGTTCAGTTATCAAATAATTTGCGGTAAACAATATTGTCGAAACAGTTTGTTCGCTAAATTAGTATTTTTTTTTCTTCTTAGGATTCAGCGGGCATTAAGACCGTCCCGCCACATGTCCAATTAATCTTCAGCCTTCCTTATTGTACGACTATATACTCGTGTCTTCCAATACGGTCGTCCGTTTAGTACCTATACGTCTTTTTCCGTATTTAGGTTGGTCAAAACCAAAACATGCATCGCCAAAACACGCCTAAAATAAAATAAAATAATACTCGTATTGAAATTTTCGCCATCCTTCGCACATTATATAAAGAATAATATTACGCACGTCGGACTCTTGTGTGCGGCGAGCATCCTGTTCACGTGTGCGACGAACGCTCGTTATTATTCGTTACGCAACTTAAAAATACAGGAGGAAAAAAAAAATTATTATTACGTTTTGCACGCCGTTTTCGTGTACGCGTCATGGCATCCACCGTCGCCGTTGTTCTTATTATCGCCCATAAATATTTTTACCTACCTATCTACCTACCTATTTAATGTCTTAATATTTACTATACGGCTAAGCAGTCTACAGGTGGTCATGGCAATTCGATCGCGATCCTTCGAAAGTGTGCCAGATTCAGAGCTGATAAACTGCTAATAAAATAAATAACAATAACTGACTGCTATTTCTTATTTCTTTCTTTTAAATAATAGCTCTATGCTACATTAGTTATTACAATATTAGTTACAATAGTAACTATAGTGGTTGCAATATCAGTAGCAGTTACACATTTATTGTGCATAACGAATAACTATATAGTAGTTCTGTGACTGGAGTTTATCTGGTTTTATCGATGTTTTAATCAATGTTTTCATGGAAAAATAATTGTCCGTTTAAAATTATGGTTTTACTAAGAACGAATAAGCTGTATAGTAGTTCATAGTGGCATAATATCAGCCCATAAAAATATTTTTTCATGTTTACATCACGAATAATAATAACAATGGTATTTCGATAGTAATACGTAAAAATAAAAATAGGTTAATTTTCGACTAAGTTTTGATATGAGTAAGCGAATGAAATTGCTGAAAAAAATTTAAAATTGATAAAATAATTATAACAGCAACACTTCCGCATTTACACATAAAATACAGCGCGGTAAATTTGAATCTATTTGGTGCCGAAATAGATTCTACAAGTTTAATATGCGTCCTGGTGTGCCAGTGTTTATTGACCTCTGTGAAATTTGACTAGGGAAGTAAAATATAAGAGAGGTTAATATGATCACTAGTATACTTTACATTTTAACTCTCAGTCAGAGTAGTTGACTCGTGTAGTCTTGCATGTATGAATTTTAGTATATCAGTGAATGAAAATGATTACTATCTTGGTCTGCTTCCACTTGAATTTTGTTATTTTGTTTGTAATACGTGCACCAATGACGTAGCGAACCATTGTTTAGAAACAGTTGCTTCTGAATTATATAGGGTGTTTTTTTTTTTTTTTTATGAAATTTAAATGATTAGGGGAGATACATTCCTATACACGTATATGCATAGCTATTATAACGGTTATAGGTATTGTAAAGTTTACTGGATCGGAGTGGGCGGTGGTTGTAAAAGAAAATGATTTGTTTATATATTATTTAAAGTTTGTGACGCCACTAACGTGCGTTATCGGAATAACGAGGTAAACAATTTCAGTTCTTTGTCCGTTAAAATTATTATTAATTATATTTGTATAGTATTTTATTAATATAATAAAACCCTGAAGTTATAAGCACCTACCTGCTCATGAATATTTCACTGCACTTCCTCCGATTTGAGCCACCAAATTTCGTGAATAGAAACCGTTGCAGACATGTAGTGAGCCTGCTGATTATTGTCATTTGTATTATTAGTATTTACATAATCACGAATCCGTCAAAGCCGGTATATAATGACGAGCAGCAGTCGTTACGATATTTCATCATTATTAATAGTTACCTATTCATCTGCTTATTCATTATTATATGTACAGAGTGATTCTTTTATCACAAACCGGCGATACGAAGATTTTGAAAGAATTTTAATTTCGGTTTAGTTATAAAAATTGGAACTTTTCGAAACCAGGAAGAGGTCTGCAAGAAGCAGACCTAGGAAACGATGAAGTCATGGAAGAATTCAGGAATATAAAGTATAAGAAAATATGATTGATCAGTTTAGTGGTGTATATTATACAGGAATTATTTTCACTATGGGCCTATTTACCACTAGCTTAGCCACAAATGAAAATTTGTTAGATGGCCGGGAAGTTACAATCATACTATTGTTTATTAATACGTCATAAATTATATAAATATAATGAAACTTCCTTATTTGGTTCCTCAAGAACGTTTTCAATCGATCAATAGTATCAAAAAACTGTATTTAACAACAGTTGCAGTTGTAATAGGTATTTATTATACTTCACAATATTTTCAATAAAATACGTTGGAAATTTATTTGTATAAAACATTCTTCAAATCTCCAGTAGCATTTTTTGGAATACCGTTAGAAAATTTAAACAAAAGAGACGGACATACTTCGCATGATGGGTGGGCCATTATTGCAGAAAAGAAGTTAAGAAGGTAGGATATAGAGAGAAATTTAGTGTATATCTGTACGTAACGATTAATCGTTACTAACAAAAAAACGATTCTGAGAGAAGTTTATTTGTGTATATTTTGAAAAGCCGTAATATTTACGATTTTAGTAAAAATTTAACACTAAAATTAGTATTAAAAAAAATTCTATGTTACACTCAATTTTTTTCCCATCAAATTGATAAATTTATATATATTTAATATTTATATATACAGGATGATTCACTAATCGTGCTTACCCCATTTGTTCAGGTAAATTTTCCATGTATTAAAAATCTGATTTTTGGCATTTTTAAGTTTAAATAGGGGGGAAGGGGCGGACAGTAGTGTAGTATCATTTGTGTAGCAATACGGCGCGTGGATTTTTATTAATGCTCGCTCCATTACTCTCCCCTACCTAAACTTAAAAGTGGAATATCTCGTTAACAGGTGGACGAAATCAAAAATGTCTGCACCAAAATTTATTTTAGGCAATATACTGTCTATTTATGGAATCTTTAGTATATAGGTTCTCATTCGAAAAACCAAAGTAGCTATCGCCACAGGATACTCCTTAAATGTTGTGAAAACTCTAAGTATTCGAAAATATCGATTTCAACCAAAAAAAAAAAAAAATCCAAAAATCAGAATTTGAATGTATGCAAATTTAATCAAAACGTGGGGGTGAGAACACTTAGTGAATCATCCTGTATATTGTGTGATGATGTCTATATAGACGACATGGTATCCATTATTAGGCAAAAACCTGTAATCTAAATCTAACTATGCATGGGTCATGGTCCGGGCACAACCACCTCCCTATGTATAATATAGTTATGATTAGAGATGTAAGAATACCCTATTTTATTTTCAGTGTGTATAATACATGTGTAATAATAATAATAAAATATTATGCTCACACAGAATTTTTGGTTCGAGTCAATCAAAATTATGAATTATTATTTTTTCTTCAATTCCACTGTACATTTTTATATCTAGTTACATATTATATTTTTGATGTTTAAATTATATTTCTTACCATTTACATTTCGGCATTTGCATATTTTTACAGTACTCTTATCCAGTTACAATATAAAGTCGAATGTTTATGTAGGTAACCAACAAATAACAAGTAAGCTATATTAAATATTTATTAAAACACTTTGAAACGTATATACTGTAATTACAGTTTGGCCATTTACCAAAATAATTAAAACCCTAATCAAGAAGAATATATTCAAGGTATAGCGAAAATAAAAAACGATAATATAATCACCCTGTATAATTATATTTTGTTTGATCGTGTACATTGCATATAATCTGCTCTACGACACCAGCGAATAACTAATATGCATTATTACACGCTATAACAATGATAATAAATACTAATATTATGACGTTACCATTATTCTCGTCCGGATCGCGTATATATTAATTTAATGGTCACGGTTTATAATGTTGGTTTTTTTTTTTTGTCCCTTCTCGTTTCTAATTAAACAACGGGCGGTTCGTTGTTTGATAATAATTTGTTTCTATTTGACTTTTTAAAATAATATAATATTTCATCATACCGTCGACGACGCGTTCGTCAGCAATATTGTAATAGATAGTCAACAATGATATGGCACTATTTTATTGTATACACCATATTGTAATAAATTTAATAACACTGCCGTCGAGAAAACGATGCTGCCGACGGGGTTTCGCGTAAAAATCTCATAACAATATAGCTAGGTATGCTTATGAAAATCCACGAATGTCTTAAGGTAATGAACGTGTAAGAAAACTGAAGGGTCCAATTACCGTTCCCTATTTGAAACGGATAAAAATGAAATCCTCTGATATTGTAGATAATGTAATGGCATTCGTTTTTAGTAGGTACCTTATCGTACAACTCAACATTATATGTTCTGAAGGTGTCAATCAATGTTGTCTGGTTCGAATTTGACAATCGTGTACCAAAATTGTTGTGTTATTTTTTTCGCCCCTCTCCCCCTCGCTTTATCTAAACCTGTCGTGGTTTTTCATTGAATAAGCAGTAGGTTTTAGGTTTACACTTAGAACTGTGTATTAATTCTTTGGAGAAATATATCTGATTTGGACCAACATTTAAAAATAGTTAGCAAATTATAGCATGTTTGTGGTTGTTATCGTTGAAATTTCCGCTATTATAAACTTATGATGCACACTGGGTACATAAAGATCCAATCAGGAGTTATTAATTTTGAGTAGGGAACGTTAATACGTAACATGGTAAGTTCACTTCACATTTTGATGTAATTTTTCGAAGTTCGTGTGTGTATGTCCGCGATAATACTTAAATTATAGCGATGGCAGATGAAAAATAATGGTTTTTTTTTTTCAATTTTATCTTCTATACACACAGTCTCTGCAGACATTGTGTGTTATTTGTTTGAAAAGTCTGTCACATCCGTATATTTGTACAAAAACATGCCTTGAGGGAAAAAATCCCACGTAGTCTCTTATAGAATAGTTAGACTATGGCGTTTATTTTTATTATTTGAAAGAAGAAAACTTTTTTTTTGGTGTAGTATTAAACTCCGATTTTTCAAAATTTAAATTCTTTGAAACTGTATAAAGCGTCTGAAAAATCCAATTTTTGTTACTTTTAAATTCTAAGTAGAGCGAGAATTATATTGTTTTTATAATGATGTTTATTTCTTTAAATTTTTAAATTTAAAATTTTTTTATTTGTGAACAACTTTTCTACCATAAATTTTGTTCCGATTTTCAAATTTAACACTTTTACTGAAAGGAAATTTGACTGTGATAGTGGTACTTTAGGGAGGTTATTTTTTGATTGTTTCGGGGGTTTTCCTAATAAATTTTAAAACCGGGAAAATTTACGAAATATATCATTTTCAAATCATAAATATTATGGCTTTTCAAAACATGTATAATCGAATCCGCCTAGAATCGTTGTTCCGTGACCGAAGAGTATTTTTCCGAGATAAAAAAAATACACATAGTTGTAAATACGTAATATGAAAGCATCGATAGGTTGGTTTAAAATCGCATTTTACATCATAAAGTTAATATGCAAATTTCAACTATACAAATTGATAATAATATGTAATAATATATACAAAAATATTCAGGGTGATTACAATTTTATGGTGTAGCAATTAAATGGTATAAATATGCTAAGTAACGAAAAATGTACATAAATAATTATTAAACATTCGATCGAGGGGGGGACGATAAATTATGAGATATACAGACTTCAAGTAGTAGATATCCTTCTCACATATACAGGATCATTTTATGGTATAATCAAATTGTCCATAAAATATTTATTTAAAGAAAAAAAAATTAAAAACTGGTTGGAATCATATATTTTAAAATGTTGCATTGTTCTTATTTTTGGGTATTATTTGTGCGATTAAACGACTATTAATTTTTAATTTTCAAATGATAACCTAAATTACACAATTGTATAGTACACTATTGCTTTATCCTGACTAAAAACTTACAAGTGGAATTTTTCATCAACGGATTGACTGAAATCAATAATTTCAACACAAAAATGCATTTAAACTAATACTCCGTATACTCGTATTTATGGAATTTTTAATATAGGTTGCTATTTTAAAATCAAAAGTACGTAGTCGTTTTACCCTCAAAAATAAAAACAATGTAACATTTTAGAATATATGATTTTAAAACATTTTTACATAAATTGAAAAAAATAAGTATTTCATGGAAAATTCCATTGACATTGTATAAATTTCAATTTTAAATTACTAAATAAATACTCATAGTTTTGTATTTTTAAGCTAATGGACGGAAGGATATCACCCCAACCTCTACCCCCTGCCCACACCACTGCAAAAAGTCGTTAAGAATATGAAGTCAGAACTTCAAAAAACTCGACTCGAATGAAATTGTATTAAACTCGTGAGACTCCTGAATAATGTATCAACTGTCTACTTGAAAATAAACTTATAATAAATAAAATACTCTGTACTTTAATTTTATTATCCGGATTATGGATTTAATGAGATGAAAATCGAATATTCTACGTAAATCCTTCGCAACACGTTCAAAAACTGTAGAGATATAAATAAATAAGTATGCTCTTAACAACTTATACAAATAATACAAATATTTATTTAGAATTTAGTAGTCGATCTACTTATCATAGGATATGTGTATCTGTACACGCTTCAAAAAAAAAAAAAAAATATATATATATAACTCTATATATCAAGGGGTTTTCTGATAAGATTCGGAATGTAATGTTTTTTGAAATTCCAAACAATTGATAATAGGAATAATTGATTATAAAATAAGTCGATAGGTACACTGGTTTTACACAAACAAAATTAACGGTGTCTAAAATTTTAAAAAACAACTGTGGATTTAGGTGTCCTTGGACAACGTTCGAAGGTTTACTTTTTTTCGTCCAAAATTAACCTTTTGGTTTTATTCCAAGTGACACTTTTCCTCAAACTGAAATAAAGAGGGTTTTAGTTTTCGTTCATAGAAATATTATTCAACTAAAAAAAAATTTTGTTACCACTGTATTTTATTATTAATTATTGAAATATATAAATGAAAAATATATAAAAAAATAACAATAAAATATTTTATTTTATCGAAGTTTGGAAGAAGGATTTAATTAACTCATATCAAACTTCTTAGTTCGTGTTCAATTTTTGCGTATCTATAATTACAATGAATACTGAAATAACGGCTTATAATTTAATCTCAAATCTAGAGTTTCCTGTTTAAGTCGAATGAATTTTATATAATTTAATGAATAATATGATCGTATCCAATATTATTAGTAGATAGAAATACCCAAAATATATTTTTCGTTTATGATGAACCATATTTCTATGGTTTCTATCATAACCCTCTTTTATGAGTTCGGAAAAAAAAGTTCATTTGGGCGAAAACCAAAAGGTTAATTTTAGGTTAAAACAAATCCGTCCCATCTCGAAAAGGGATTATTGTATTTAAATTTTCATACGAGTGCTCATACTTGAATTTCGAACTGTTTACATTATTTGTTATTTTTGATTTTTGAGTTCCTTTTATAACACGGGGAGGGGGAGGTAACTAGAATTAGTTACGGTGAAAATAAGCTATATATATATATTAGCTATATATTCTTTTTTCAAAATTAAAAAAAAAAAAATAAAAAACCAGCGTGATTCGAACGAATTCGCCGGCAGTTAAAAAACCAAATCGAATAATCTTATCATATTTTTGTTATTATTATTTTTTATTTTTGACAGGTGACAGTAGGTTATTATTATACACGTTTTTTAAATTCACCACAATCACGTAGTCCATCATAAGTCTCCCTTATCACATCAATCATTCTTACACAGCGATGAATTATTATATCGAAGTCACTATTAGGTTACAGTGTGCGTATATATTAGCATATAGACTTATTGACAACTCGTTTTCCTATTTTGGAAACGTGTAAACATATTGTTTTATTGTTGCAAAATAAATAAAATATAAAAGTACCACATAATAAATATTAAGTTTGGTGCATATTACAGATAAGTACAAAGCCTTCACGGAGAGCATATCTCCGGGGGGTCGGGGGTGTAATTCATTTGTTTGCCGACCCGAAAAATTGTTTGTATACAACCGCGGGAAACGTTAAAGATATAGAAAGTGTATAGGCAACTTAATGCAATAATAATATGATGAAGCTCGGGGCACTCGATTATAATGTATGTAGGATACCTATGCCTACACTGTTTTAACGGCTTGAGAATAATAAAATCAGGTCACTCGAATCACCGGAAGGGTGTGTAATTCGTTTATTTGACGCCCAGACAAAAAAAAAAAAAAGTAAAGATTAGTTTTTAATTTTTAATTTTTTTATATTAAACAGATAAGGTTGCCAAGAAAGGAGGTCGTGTGAGTGCCATAATTGTGGTATACCATAAAATGAAGAGTCAGTCGATGAATTTTTTATATTAATATGTATATTATATACAGAGCTTATTATAACAGTTTCCGAAATTCTCGTAGGAGCCAAACAATTTTCAAAAACCAGTTACCAGTTTTCTTGTTCTAAGAAGTGGCGCTTAACAGTTACCGATTACCTTACACCAATATAATAAAATAATTACCAATAACTGGTTTCCCAGTTGTTTAAACCTGTGTACCATAGTGGAGAGCCAAGGTGGGTGATTCCAGTAGGCATGTGGTATTCTTTCTATAGGGGGGGGAATTTTCTTTATAGTCGACCTATGCCCACCTAAGTGGGTTCTCCAGGTGGGAAGGAATCAGAAAATTTCTACGATACCTCTATTTATCGTAAGAGGCGTGTGGTGAGACTGACTATGTTATATGGTTTGGAGTGTAGGGTGGTAGACAGCAAAAATATAACAGAGAATGAGTATAGCAGAGATCAAAATACTTTGGTGGATAAGCGGATTGAAGAAGGAAGATAGAATAAGGAGTGAGTACATAAGAAGTAGCTTAGGCGTGGCTTTGGTAGTAGACACAGTTAGAGAAAATAGACTGAGATACTTAGGACATGTCACGGAACGAGAGGAGTCTAAAGCAGTAAGAATTATTATGAAAATATATGTAAGAAGATAAAGGGGATAAAGACCGAAGAAGAGGTGGTGATTGTATGCGATTGAGAATGATATAAGGACAGCTGGTGTATACGAGGAGGGGGGTCGGGTTAAGTGGATATTTAGATTGACCCAATAATTGTGATGGAGGAGAAGGAAAATAAGTAGATTCTACGAAATAAACTGAAATAAAAATTAATCGACAAATTAAAAGTTAAAATTAAAAATAAATATCTAAAACATCTAATTTCGAAAACGATCTAAAGTCTGATTTAAAAGGTAATTGATACAAATAAAAATTGTTCTACATTGTACTGGTTACCGTGTATTAATAAATAAATAGTTTTCAAGAATGTTTTTAATTGGTTTTTGCCATATGACTGACATGACTTTGGTGTAGACTTAATATATTTTTGTTAATTGTTTACCAATATCCGCTTTCTAAACTGCGGGTAAATATCGTTAATGACTTTCGGGAAAAATCGGGTAATGGTTTGTCTTAATTATATATTATACTTTGCCCGAACATGATGGTGTTCAAAACTTCGTCGTGGACTTGACTAAATGAATAATTAATGATAGGCATTTCCGAATAGTTTTTTGTTATCGATATAGTTTTCAATAGTTTAGGTTAGTGTTTACCAACCTATGTGTTGCGATCCAATATTGGGTCGTGAAATATTTTTGATGATCCGCAGTGAAAGAAAAAAAAATTTGATTTTAATATAAAAAAAAAAATAAAAACTATATTAGTAAGAATAATAAGAAAATAAGCAAATGTGAAATACCGAAAAAAACTGAGGAAAAACTGGCAAATGTACGAAGTGTAGGTATTAGTTAAAAAATATTACGACTTTCATTTTTTCCTGTGAACAAATTTTCTGCCAGAAATTTTGCTCCGATTCGCAAGCACTCCGAAAGCACTTTTCTGGAACGAAATCCGATTGGGAAGGTACTTTAAGGAGGTAATTTTTCGATTTTTTTAAGAGTTTTCCAAGCAAAAGTGATAAACCGGGAAAAACATGGGTAAATCCGTACAATATTAAACAAATATTATTAAAGGAAATATATAGAATCTTATGCAATTATTTTACCATAATATGACATATATATTGTTGAAAAAGCATAATTATCAACTGACTCCGCTTAGAACCGTTTTTTCGTTAGCAATGGTTAGCATCGTTGCTTACAGATATACATTGAATTCTGTATTCTACCTTTCCAACAGACGCGCGATAGTGTTATCATTATCTACAGGGCGCAAGTAACGATGTGTCTGAATGTGACGTCGAGAGACAGTAATTAATAAAATAAAATGACGGACTTTAACCGCTTGTCCGCTTATAGTGAGTTAATAATAAAAAAAGAAAACGTTTGAAAAAATTTCGCCGTCCCGATATTGTACTCGCGGATGTTCAAATTTGGCCGTTCCTCCGACGCCCGCTGTTTTTACTGGAAAATTACACGTACCTATGCGTGACGGTTTCCACGGCTTTTTCGTAAATTATTTTAAATCAATTTTTAACAGTTTTTTTTTTTTTTACTTTGCAAATATGGAATCTTATAATATTACTGCGTACGTTTCAGATATTTTTCGTTATTCAGACTGTTTTTTTTTTTTAATAACTGTATTATTACTGTCGATCACTAGCAGCGCGATTATTGTATTATAGTCAAGGCTATAACGATTAAAATTAAAATTAAAAACAAAATCAAAGTATACATATCGCAGGTAGCAAAAATATATTTTGTTAAGATGTATAAAACTGTATTATTTTTATAATGAAATGATTCATAAAATGTTTTATTTTTCCATATTTTTCATTTAAATAATATTTATAAAATAACGGTTGGCCGCGGGATTTTCGTTTATTAAATATTTTAAAAATTATATTTTTCTAATTTTTTTTTTTTATAAAAAAAAAATGCTAAAAAATAGATAAATTCGGGTATTGTACTCCGGAATCCTGCCTAATATAGCCTAACGCCCTATCCACTAGAGTACTTACCTAATTATTAAAAAGTTGATTTTATGAGTATATAAGTAAATTTCAAAATATTATAATATAGGTGTCTATCTATACAGTGACATCTTTAAATTGCGAACTTTTTGGGAACAGGAACTTTAACCTCCTCTGAATAGTGTGTACACCAGTGCCAAAAGAGAAGGTGGAGGGGGTATTGGAGGGCGTTACCCCCTTTTTTTGTTTATTGGTTATTTCAGTGTATATTATCATTCAAAAAAATACGGTAACTCATATAAAAATGATAAGTGCCCTTCCCTTAAAAAAAAAAAAAATTGGCTATGGTACTATATAATATAATGTAAGTACCAAATACAGTAATAATACAAATTTAATTTAACTGCCAACTACATTACAAATTTTCTGTTTTTGGTTTTATGTCATTTTATGTATGGAGATTTTAAGTAAATCTCGGTCGACCCGCTGTGGTCTTAACGTACAATTAATCGTAATAATATTTGTTTACATTAATACATTTTTCAACAATTAATTTATAATAATATAAATAATATATTCACATTATTATTTTACAAAATATTTATTTTATAATATAATTTTTTTTTTGACGAAAAATGAATGTTAATATAATATTATCATTACAGATGTGCTGTCTCTGGTATAGGTACTGTAATAATCAAAAGCAATTTTTAAAAAACGTTCACGCTATAACAGCACACGAGTATAAATTGTTACTAAAAAAATACACATCGGATTGACCAATCCGGTCTTGTGACGGCGTTTAATTAGTATGTACGCGCATATTATATTACAATTCACTTTATTCGTCGCACGTAACATTTCTGTATGCCCAATATATTATATTGACGGTATAATTCGACTAGGAAAATCAATTCGCCAGAGTCACCTGCTTCAAGGCTGATACACACCCGTATCGACAATAACGAATAAACATAATACAATTATTATTTAGACGACCGACTTGAGAGGACGCTGTATTATTATGTGTTAGCTGTGTCCGTCATCCGACCACGCGACCACCGAGCGCATTTTCGTTCAACAGGGACGACGCTTCGCTGTCCGTTTCAATATTAGAGTGAAATGGTCTATTATCGAACGTAGAGATAAGAACCGTTATGCGTGCAATGCTATATTACAGTCTATATTAGTTATTTGTTTATTCACGAACAAATTGTCCGGTTTCAAGTGCATGTAATATAATGGCGACAATTGCGAATAAGTAACAATTTCACATTAGCGAGCTTAACAATAGTTAACAGTACACACGAATAACTAGACTAATGTATACAATAGCCATATCTAATGTATAAAATATACAGACATAAACTGCGGACAATGAAGTACAAGTTTATACAAATGACAGGATTATAATTTACTTAAATAGACTATGGCCATGTGACATTAAAATATTAATTGGATCGTTTAACATATAGTTTTGGGAGTCCGAATGAATGTAAAATAAATTATTATTACGTGTGTTACGACTGGGCGCTTTTAAATTAATCAGAATTAATGTAAACGAATCATTTATTTCATCGTTTAGTAGTTTAGAGAGAATGGAGTTATAATTAGCAATTCTACGTGTTTTTTAAAAAAAAAAACCACTATTAAAATGTTGGCGGTATTTTCTCTATTAAGAGAAATATGAATCGTAATTCAACAACATGTATTAATAACTCGTTCGGAGATTAAAATGTCGGATAAATAACGCCAACTTTACACAGACGATTTCTAAATCTTTACATTTGATAACAATAGGTTATTTCACTCTAGTTTAAAACTAAAACCACAACGATTGCTGCACACTGCTAAACACAAATTTATTCGAATTTGCAGTAATACAAGAGGTGATCACCCCTTGAGTGTAACACACTTATTACCACGGAGAGTACCATATTACCGTGTTTTTTTTTATAAATGCGGTAAAAAAATTAATCCCGAACAAGACCTAATATACTTGCGAGTTAATGAGTGTCTTACGTTATGTTGATCACTCTGTACATAATACAATATATAAAGCGAACCGATTTTACGGCCCGCGTCGATATATACTATATAGGTACGTATCCATTATCCACGGACACGGTACATACAATATTATTGTGTGTGCACGACACTGTGTCAACCGTTCGAGCCTGTACACCCCATTCTCCCCCGGCCGTGTGTGGGTATCCTACGCGGTTAGAGATGGTATAATAATAACGGTTAATGATAATAATAGTAATAATATTATTATTACGACGTGTTAGTACGAGGAGAACGGCGGAAACCCGACCGCAGTTTGCCTACGTCTATAATATTATAGTAGCACGTATGACTCAGAATTTTCGTCGATATAATGTTATAATGATCGTTGGTCCGTGCGATAAAAGAACTGCTCTGTATATATGCATAAACCGTAGTATTTGACGTTTTTACCTCGGTACGGCAATTTTTCAACAATTACAGTAAAAAAAAAAAAAAATCGAATAATATTTCCGTTTACGTAAACTATACTGTCGAAAACGAAAATTAGGAAGCCCGAAGAGAATAGGTATATATAATAGGAATATATCATCCATGTTGATCGAGCGATAAGCAGGAGTCGCAGAAATTGGACTTTTGATTTTAGACCGAGTGTAATATAGCGAAGAAGCTTTCACAGTTTTACTAAGATATGATGTTTTTCTCCCGGAAAACACTTTTTCGGCCAGTAAAATGTTCCATTTTTTTCACGCAGTACTCATCTAAAAGGACGCGGAATTTCCACCCGGCGGCAATACTTTATTAAAATAAACCATATAACAGATGCAAGATTGGTTTTACTATTAATGATTTCCGGCTCCCTGGATATCTCGATGACTACACCGGTAAAACACGACTAACATATATTATTATAACTTGAGATGCCTGCGTGCTAACCGACTCCGCTTAAAATAATTTTTCGATTGCTATGATTTGTCGTTCGTTGTTTTCTGCAGCATACATTATATTATCATATTACCCGCTGTCCTATATAAATAACTTCCAAACCTCCCATCTACGAAATTATAACTTAAAACCAGTGGCGGTGCCAGCAATTTTTCTGCCATCCTGGCACACTCTGCCGGCGCCACCGGGTCTACTCATCATGGTGTGTATGGACGCGTATAGTATATCCGGATTTTAAATTCTATATCTAATTATTGTTCGAAAAAACATTATTATTATTGTTATTGTTATCGAAAGACATCATCGGATTGAAATTCGGACGGGGTGGAATACAAATACACCGAGTGTCGTTTAACAGCTCCCTTCGTTCTTCTAGCCGTCTTATAATAACATTACTCGCGATTGTTCGAGACGATGTTTACCAAACCGGCGACAGTGTCTTATTTCGAACAAAGTAGTTGGCACCGGTGTACGGTCGTCCTTAGCATTGCGTTTTGGACCGCCTCCATTTTTTGCTTTGTTTTTTCGTTTTTGTTTCTTCTGACAGTTTAAGAGTTCTGTCGTATTTACTGCCTCCGTATGTTGTATATTATGCAGCCACTGCGGTATACATTTGTGTAAACGTTTCCCCGTAGTCTCAATTATACCTTTGCGGTATAATAAAGTATACAAACCCTTGGCTCACTCTACATTCTTAGGTTGTGTAAATATTTATATATATATATATATATATATATAGGTTAGGAACCTATACCTACTATCGATTTTAGTTTCAGAATACGCAATTTTTCTAAGGAATTTCGTATTTGTATTTTTAATATTTTTCTTGGTTTTATGTACGCTGTGAATTTATTATATATACCTGCATACACATAGTCGAAAAGCATTTTAGGCGCACCTATAGATACCCAGCTCGCTGCGCTCACTTGAACTGTATTATAACGAAAAAAACCGCTCGATTTGTTGTGCGAAACCACGTCGGGTCGATTATATTAATATTACTTTTAAATTGTTGTAAGTATTTTGGATTTTGAGTAGAGCGAGGAATGTATTGATTTTACAATGATTTTTTTTTTTTATCTGTGAACATTTTTTTTTTTTACCAGAAATCGTGTTCTGATTTACAAGTGTAGTACTTTTTCTGTAAAAAAATATGACTGGGGTGGTACTTTAGGATGCGATTTTTTCAGGAGTTATCCCACTAAATGCGAAAAACCAGCAAAAAATATGAGAAAACCGGGAAATACGTTTTATTATTAAAGAAAATATGTAATTATTTTACCATAATATGACATATATATTGTTGAAAAAACAATACCTATTATCAACTGAACTCCGCTCAGAATCGTTTTTTTGTTAGAAATGGCTAATCGTTGCTTACTGCAGATGTGCATTCAATTTTCCCTCTATTCCTTCCCAACTTCTCACCTATAACATGCAGTCGCTGCACCCGTCCCCATTATCCAAGCATACCTTTTTTTGAACATTTTGTATATAATTTTTTGTATAATATTTATAGTTTACACGTATAAACTATTTTTCAATTGGCAAGGTGAAGAATTGTAAAAAAAAAAATATAATCTGGTTTCTTTGGGGGCGAAGCGACATCGAGATTTTTTGTGGTGTTTTACAATTTGTAAACCGCTTTCCCCCCTTGATTGAGCTCCAGATATGCCACTGGGTCGAATCAACAAAATTTTATACACGCGAATTTAAATATATACTATTATATAGTAATGTAAAATAATTTAACTCAATAGTGTTCTAAATTTAGTTTTAAACATTTTACTTGTTTATAAAACTATTGCTTTACTTTATTCTAATTTTCTTTTGAATGAATCATGTTAAATGTATATTTTAATATACTGACTAGTAAATTATGAACTAAACCTCCGTCACAAGTTGTTACTTATAGAAAGTTTGTAATTAAAAAAATATCGTTGTTCTAATTCTATTGTAATACGTAAAATGTAATTTATTTGCAATCATAAATTCAAATACAATAGAATATCGAATTATCCTAAAAAAACAATCACTTTATATTTGTTCCGCGGCAGAAATTAAGACCCTTTTCGACTAAAACCGTACCTTTCCCTTTTCGGCCAAATTTAAAAAAGGTCAATTCCCTTTTCGAATGTGTCATACATATTGAAAAGTATAAAATATTCAAAACGAAAGTTTAATTTACACATATTTAAAAAAGATTTCTTTATGTATTTCTATATTAGCATGTCATATACCTACTTGTAGTTTAAAATATTTATATGTATATTGTTTATACATATATATATATATGTATTATAATAAAAGATAATTATATTTTATTACATCTACTGTTATAATAATTGAAAAAAAAAAATTATAATAATAAATATATTTTGTTTGAATTTGTCAGTAAGATTGGTTCATTACATTTTCAAATTATACCTGAAAATGCAATTACTATATTAAGTGAAGTGAATCGGCCGAAAAGTGAAGGGTACGATTTTGGACGAAAACGGTTATGCCCGAAATTAAAACTAACATTTATGAGATCAATTTAACGAGATTTTTTTTTAGATTCTGAACGTTGTTAGGAATATGTTTTTTTTTCTCTAATATTATACGTGTAAATGTGTGTTTTTTTTGTCTGTTTATTTATTTTTACATAAACGTTAATCGGCTTTTACATGTGTAAATAATTGATAACGTCAATACAATTATAACAATGCCGTAATACATAATGTTATACGCTATAACAATTTAAAAATTCGAATTAGTTTTTTTTTAAATGTAAATTCTTAAATAGTATAAATAAATAAATAAATAAATGTATACATAGTCAGAAACTATGTAAACACAGTAAAAACTAAAAATAATGCAAAACATATAATTTTTACTGAACAGGCATATATGTAAGATAATATTTTAAAGCGTGCAGTTTGTTTTTAAACACATCATCATAACATTTTTATAAACTTGGAAGTTTTATTTCCACGATTGATCTTCTGAAAGTTTGGTTGGGTTCAGTAAGTTTTTGGGAATTTTCCTTAATTTTTGGTAAACAATAAATGTAATCCTCCATTAGAAATTTCGTCCACATAAACTGAACATAATAGAATTTTCGAGCTTTCCAAATTGGCCGAAACAATTTTATTGACTCTCAATAAATAAAAAATAAAAAAAAAATCTTCAACGATTTCAAATAACTTTACCGATGTAACTATTAATGCAAATCGAAATAATAATTTTAGGTCTTTTACGAGTTTTTCGTACTGCAGAGAGTTACGTATACATAAGTGAGTTCACGATACGGGTCACTTTTGTTCATTACCGTTAACGCGTTCTGAAGTACTTATATTAAAAAAAAAAAAAAAAAAAAAAAAAAAAAAATAACGACGAGCTTTATAGTTATTTATTATGAATTTTTTTTCTTATCAAATCATTAACGCATTCGCTATTTATGTTCATCATATGCTGCGATTTTTCGTCTATATATAAAACTATGTAATTAATTTTTCAAAACGTTTTTTATGTTTTTTATTACGTCAAATATCTTATATTCACAGTCTATTAATACAATTAAAAAAAAAATAATAATAAGAGGACAACACGTGTAAAAACCGTATTTTTTCGCGTGTGAAATTCAATAAGATATTTCTTTTTTGTCTGACACAAAAAAATATGCGGGTTCCATCTTTTTAATTTTGTTAATAATTTTAATTTCGAGAGACGGACTGCAATGGCAATAGAGCTCCAAGTTTCAACAATGAAATATTATTATAATTTTATTTCCAAGACGATTTATCGTTTTTCGTGAAAATATTATTTTATTGTCATATTATTACGCGGGGTTGTTTTGGATTTATTCACGGAAAAACGTCCATTCTCCTCGCGAGTAGGCTACTGTTGTAGGTGGGCGGTTTGGAAGCTAAGATAGTTTACAGGATAATTTAGTTATACCTTGCGCAACAATAAATCATTAGTTCAATCAAAAAATAAAAAAATTCCAAGAGATCTTTTTTGTTTAAGTGCTTTGAGTTGTACTAAACGGTAAAAAAAAATAAGTTGAATGTTTTTTAGTAGTTTTTTTTATAAAAGTTTTTTTACATTTTGACGAAAATCGTATAAAAAAACAACGCAAAAATATCTGCAAAATTGTAGCCATATAATATAGTGCACGCAGTACGACCACGTTATTTACCAAGTAAAATAGCAAGTAAATGTCAAGTAAAAAATATGGTAAAGAGTGTGACATACACGTATTTTAAATTACAAGGAAATGTTAGAAATTTACAAATTATGTAATCACATAATATGCATAATTCGTAGAAAAAACTTCAAATTTCAGGGGTTCATAACCCCCTCCCTCTGGTTGTGCCACTATGTGCAGCAATAATATTGATACTGCGATACATTGAAAATTAATCTGAAATTAAATGTAGGTAGGTACATACGTTATAACTATAATAGGTAGGTACCTAAATCAGTTGTAATCATATTTATTTTTTTTATCTGCGTACGTTTTTATTTATTTTTTTTTTCACTCAATATAGTCAATACTAGAACAATCGAAAAAAAAAAAAACCATCCGGATTTAAAATAATACGTTCGTAATTTTTTTTTTTTTTAATTGTCAAATAATACAATTGTTATAATGTTATAATCGTTCGTAAACTGCCGTAATAATATAGCGTTAGACTATAGAAATGAGAAGTAGGGAGAGGTATAAGAGATTCGGCCAGAACCGAAACCTCGTTTTTTTTTTTTTTTCTATATATATTGTGCGTAGGAAGTCGTACACCGCAGGTGAGCCGATTTTGTAGGTTACCCGGTGACGGTGGTTGCGGTCGAATCCGAAAGTAGTTGCTATCGAATTCACGATGTTCGGTTATGTCGCGTTTCCTAAATTCAATAATATTATGACGTGTACTTACGGATAAATGAAAATAGGTTTCCTACGATTGCGGGTACGACAAGAATGTCGGGAATAATAATTATTATCGGTTCATTATGCATCTAATAATAAATTACAACACAGAGACTGCTAAGGTTTTTGCTTGCAGTTTATGTGATATCACAGATACTGATATACAGGATGTCCCACTAAGGATATACACATTGTATATAATTATTGATAATAAAGATAATAAAATTCTATTTTTTTTTTTTTTATATTACTCACAGGGATAAGGACTACAAATATTTAAATTTCAATCAATTTGTATACGTTGATTAAAAAAAACTAAAAAATAACACAGATACAGACGAATTATTAAAAGTGACCTATCGTTACAAAAGATAGTCGTCAAAAGTCTCAGCGACATTATAGTGGCTGAGGAAACGCAGATTCAAAAAAAGGCCGAGGACCATTTTATATCGTGGTCTATACTATAAAAGATTAAAAAAAAAAAAAAAACACTATATAAAAACTACGCACAGACGAATTTATATCTAGACGGGTCTGAACGCTGAGTGATAATTGATAACTACATAGGGTTTCAAATAATACTGTTTGCGCGCGCCCCGGCGTCCCCAAACGTACGCCGCTAGGCGATTTAAAAACTATTTATTTTCTTCATACACGTATGTACGAGCGGGCGGCGTAGGTAGTACAGGTGTCCTTAGGTTTCCCGAACGCATTTATTTTACACACTCTGTGCGCGCCGTTCGTGTTCGTTGTTATTGTTTTCTTTTTGTCCGCTGCGGGCCCCCAGAACCGGCCGCGGCGAGTCCGACGGCTCTCTCCGTCACCTGACAACAGCCGCACGCGCTGTGGCGGACGAAAATTTAACGTTTATTTTTAGACGCGCGACGCCGCACGCAAGCGCACGCGCGGACGGGGTACGATGCGATGCGCGCCCGCGGAAGACGTTCCGTTATTAAGGATTATGTTTTATCGCAGTTTATTTCTTTTCCGTTCTACTCGACCGGCCGCGGCGGCGCCGTGCGACACGTGTGACTGCGAAAACTCGCTCCAGTCTTGTCTGATGACGTCTCGTCACGTACGCAAGAGACGCGACGTGAAAACCGACAATGAATTGTATGTTAATTTCTCCGGCCCTCTCTCTTCCTCGGTCTTTACACACACACACACACACACACACACACACACACACATATATACGTGTGATTTCGGTGTAACAATATAAACGCGTTGTCGGCGGTGGTGGATTTAGGGCACTGCGACCTAAGCGGCCGCACCGGGCGGCGGATTTCGGAGGGCGGCGAAATTGCGTTGGATATTGATTTTGTTTTTGCGCATTACAGTTACAATCGTTTTCTTAACCGTGCGATTTCAAAACGTCGATCGGCGTATTTTAGATTTTGTATTCGTTTAGCGTTAGCAATATCGGTATCCATTTTTCCAAAGCTTATTTTGTTGATTTCCGTTAATAATTGAATATTTTTTAATGTGTGCGAATTGCTTAATGGTTACCGTCCCGGGCATTATGTCGAGGAAACTTTTGTCGCTTTGGTCGATAAAAAGATATGTTTTCAGAAGAAGGCAGTTCAGAATATTGATAGGGGCGGCAAATTTAATTTAGCATAAGGGCGCCACAAATTGTTAAATTTCGCAACAAGCGGGGCGGCCCTGCGCGTCGACCGCGTGGTCTCGGGGATTTATCGATTGCGCCAGTTTAATATCGATTCCGCCGGCTACCGATTCCAATTATTCAACAATATTAATATAAGTATAATAAACAGGTTAGAAACCTTGAACACTGTATTTTGTTGAATGAATTAGAGAAAAACTGCAGATTTACTGATTATTGGTCCACTCGGGAAGGGTTTTTGAAACATCCACCTCTAAATTAGGTAAAATAGTGGCGAAAGTCAAAATGTTTGGGAACAGGAGGTGCTAAATTGGACCGAAATGTGCAATGTATATACGTATGCTAAACCGACGTATACAAATGGGCTAAATCGCGGGACACACAAATAATATTATAATTAATATACAATATGATATATTTATTCCATCGGAAATGGATGTTCCATTATCGCGCCGGTTCCGTATTGTTATTATGTCTGCGCGATGAATAAAAGCATAATCGAAAAACCGGAAATCAGAAATAAAAGTACAAGTCTACACTTTCCAGTATGGTTTCGTGTTTAAAATAATATAGCGGGTACATTTAGTAACGCGGTTATAATCTTTCACGCGTTTTATGTTACACCGTATAAAATTAATTTTGAAATAGTTGTTAGTAAACGACTTATACCTCCTATTATAAATAATAATAATACAAATTTGAATTCTAGTCAACATTCAAAAACCTTTGGCGAAGTCGATAGCCGGCGCTAAATCGATACATTTTGTACAGATAAAAAGGTTATTTCGGCGGAATTGATGTACGCCCGTGGGTCAAGTCTCGTCTCGCGACGAAAAAACCGACTCCGTTATCGCGGTGTACGTTACGGAAACCCGAATAAATATAATATATTGTAATATCCAATAAAAAATCGACGGTTATCATTTGGGCATCGTTTGATTACCTGCCCCGAAAACTTGTATACATCATTTGCACATCAACGGCAGTGTATCATTTACGCACCGTCCGTTCGCCTCGTGCCAACATATCATACATCATTTGCGAATCAATATATCGAACAATAGGGGAAAAAAAAAAAAAAATAAAAGTTCATTGTAGCACAACAGTTTTTTTTCGGACCCATAAATTTAATTTTAATATTTTTCAGTGTTTTATTTTTCGTTTAAAAATATTTTTGAAAAATGACAGCAGTTTTTTCACGATATGAATAGTCAAATTATACGATTGTGCAATATATACAATTATACCTATAATTATTGATATATTGGCAAATTTTAAGTGACCTCGCCGGTTTATAGTTAAACGCCGAATGCTATAATAGTCATATCAACTAGATACATATCTAGTTATATTATTTGATAATATATGGTTGGATTGGATGGTTGTCAAGGGCGACGGGTACACGAGAGCTGTGGGGCTACAGTCCCCCACGATCAAGACGGAGCTCAGTCCCCTACGGTTCTAATATTATGAAAAAAAAAAAAATCAATATTCGTCATGTAAAAATAATAATTTTATTTATAAAATCAAACTAGTTGAGAAAGACAAACATTGTTTTTTGATATTGATAGCAGAGAAAAAGTGTAGGTTTTGGTAATCAACCAATTTCCTGGTTAACTGGTGACATTTTTTAATTTTTGTCTTGTGATTTATCATGATGCTTATACTATTTAAAATGTTATAACATACAAAATAACAAATAACTATATTTTAGTAATTGTTTAACGAACAACTTTTACTTCTTTATTTTTTTTTTTTTTTACTTTTTTATGCTAATTATTATTGCTCTTAAGACATTGATGAGGGATTAGCTGTACGGGCATCATTTAAAAATAATGCCCCCCTTTCTCACCATTGATCATATTATAAAATATTTTTAGGGTATTGTTTTGTTTTAGATTCCAAGTGTAGTAAAGAAACTTTATATTAGTTTTAGTATGATACAAAATGTTTCAATGTATTCATATGTCATATCTGAAAATCTCAACTGACGCGAAAAAATGTCTAATTTCTAATATTTATTCTATACAATTTAATAAGCTAATTAACAATACATTAGTTTTATTTTTGTTCATTTGTACCTTGGTTACGGGTTACACTACTTTACTCAGAATCGTTTAGTTGGTTTTTTTTTTGTTACCCACTCACAACAGTAGTTTCCTAATCATCAGCAGTATCTACTTTTTATATATTGCTATAAATCGTAGGTTTGCGATTTATTTTCATATTAATTAATTAATTTTTACACCCTTCTCCTTAGAGAAATCCTGGCTACGTCACTGTAATGGGATATTTTTTAGAAAATATCCATGGCATGCCAACATAGCCCTACTTTAAAAATGTTCCACAAGCAAATAGATCAAAACTTCTATTTAACTATCAAACTTTCCCTAACCACCCCATCCACTGCCGCAGTGCGCTAGTGAGAATACGCCCTTGGTAAACAGAATCGACAAATTCAATCTATTACCATTTATTCTCTACATTTGATATACTGTATACACAATTTTACTCTAATGGGTGTAACAGACTTGATTATCCATTTGGACACAGAAAATCCCCTTTAAAAATTGCCCGTTACTCTATCAAGGTACCCAAATAATTTTGGCTACGTTTACATTCGAAACGGATAAATTAAACGGAATAAATTTGTTTTTTTAACAACGAATCTCACGTCATGATACATGTCCGTATAATCGGACTATTTGATTAAGTCAGATCAAATTGGATCTTACAGCCTTATACTTTAGCCTTATATACCGCGAAGGTATAGAATAATACGGAATTTTAAGAATCGATAACCTTATTGAAATTCAACCATATACTGTTAATTTCGACGAGAATAACACTATAATACGATTATAGCTATAACAGCTAGAGAGCTTTTATACGAGGAGAGTTCATATCAGGCTTTCGTGGACCGTCACGTACGGTCCGCATTGAGGTTAGGTTAAAATAAAATAAATTGCATAGCTCGTCGTCGCGTCGTATAAGCCATCATAAATTCAAATATCAAAAAAAAAAGAATCGAACAATTATTGTGACCCCCTCTTAATTGAGTCCTGTATATAATTATAATGTTTATTTTATAGCTTATGTATATGTGCTTAGTTCAGTTGGATTACAATAGTATACATAGAGTTCCCATAGTGGGCACGGTTAGAAACAAAAAAACAAAATAACACTTCTCCCTCATTGTTCGCTACAAAACGTTTACGTCACTTAATTCAGGATCCATAGATAGGGGCCGATTGATAGGTCAGTCAATAAGACATTTCTGTCCTTTTTTTAATACGATTTGTAATAATTGACAATTATTTGCCACACCTGATAAATTATTTTCCCTTTTAATTGTTATTTTAATCTCCGCATTTTTTTTTTTTTTTTTTACGGGTTTTGTTCGATCTCTAATACACTTGTATATCTTTGTAAAACCATAAGCTTCTTCGCTCCACTCAGAATCTAAAACCAGATTGAAATTAGGTATTTATTTATTCGTACTCCGCAAAGAGTGTATTATTATACTGTAGCAACGCGCATTATCATTTCCGTATGGCAAAATCACCGCGTATTTTACATAACAATAATATGTAATGATATTACATTGCAGAACGCGTATAGTATGCAATTCTTCAAAATAAATTTAATATTTGGTTTTTATTATTTTTCTTGGAAAATAATGGATTTACGAGAAATTTCGTAATTGTATTTTTTGTAGAAAATATCATAGTTTACAATTAATAATTTATGTATTTGTGTCGGAAGCGCTATATATCGTCAGTTAAACTCGAAAAACTATAAAACTACCATTTTTTCAAACTTCAACTCTCTTGCGGCACGGGAAGGGGGCGAGTAATCATCTCCAAATTCAATCTAATTACTTTCTTATAGTTATGAATAAAAATAGGGGGTCCTGATACAAAAATTCGAAATTTAAAATATAAGGACCGGTCTAACGTATACCTTTAGAAAACAAGGCGAGTACACTAGTCTCGTAAGTATTAATTTTTTAAAATTTTTTTTTTGTACGTTTAAAAAACTATCAGATCTATAACTCGTTACACTACCGTTGTTTTTCTCACCCTTATTTGTGGGAATGAAATCCACTACCTACGTTTGATTTTCAAACGGTAACCTATATAAAAAATTCCATAAATAAATGGATTATTCATTTAAAGATATTTTGGTGTTGAAATGTTTGATTTCCGTCAACCATCGATGATATATTACTGCATCTTTTGAGTTTAGGTAGTGACAGAGTAGTGGATCACATAAATGATGCTCCACTCTACTGCTCTCTCCATCTAAACATTAAAATGGAAATTGACGGAAATTAAAAAATAATGGTTATGTAATGTATTCGTAACATTTAAAGTTGGTTGTTTCTTATATTGTCAAAAATAAAAAAAAAATGTTTGAAAAGTTTATACCTTCCGAGATAATGAGTGTACCCACTTAAATGCATCTACTTGTATAATCGTAAATCATTTTTTTTTTTTTTTTGTTTTACAAATTGTATTATAATTTGTGAATTAGTTCTGTGGTGAGACTCAAAAGAAAAAAAAAAAACAACCGATACTTGGGATGGGTGTACCCATTGTTGTGGGAAGATGGGAAGGTTGTACACAAATAGTAATTTAATTCATTGCTAACAGCGATTCGGACCTCTAAATTTTACTCGCTGCAATGCGATTTTGTTTGGTATAGTGCAGTGGTTTTCAAACTGGGTGCCGCGGCATACTGGTGTGCCGCGATTATCCACTAAGTGTGCCGCGGTTTTTTCATAAATTGTGATATAAAAAAAATAAATGCGTTCAATCGCTATCGTTATGCATTTACTATATATTTACTTATATATATATAAATCGACAGTTAGTAGGAATAAAGTGATTAAGACAAGTAATCTCAGATAACTATTGAACTATAAAATGTATAGATAATATTATTAGACCCCAGGCAGTATATCCGTCGCAACCGACCTGGACGTTTACGCCGGTATTCGTAGAGTAGTTTGTCTACTAATTCTATTGCAATAGCGTACGAGTATTTATAAAAAATACATTTATATATACTTATAATTATAAATTGTAATCATGGATAAATTTGTTACTCGTTCTGTTGACAATAATCCGCCAGTAAGTCAACCACCAGAAAAAAAAAAAAAAAAAAAAAAAAGTAATATTCGTCAGTATCACGAAGATTACTTAAAAATCGGATTTTCTTGTACTGGTGATAAGAATGATCCTCGTCCGTGGTGCGTTGTATGTGGTGAAAAATTGTCAATTTTTTTGTAAATAAATTTAATAACAAATTAATTACTAATACAATGTAATTATAATTAATAAATATTTGTTAGTCCATTAATCACACATTTCTAATTAAATGTATTTACAATTACAATTAATACAAAACAATTTTGTTCATTTGAATAAAAAAAAAAAAAAGGTCAGTGGGCCGTGAAAATTTTTTGAAGTATACGGTGTGCCGTGTATAATAAAAGTTTGAAAACCACTGGTATAGTGTGTGATCCACTTTAAAATTTAATCTACTAGTATAGTTTTGTATAATAAAATTCAGATGTATTATATAATACGTCACAGCCTACAGGTGAGTGTTGTGGAATCGGTTAACGTCGTTGTATTTACATATTTTGTACATGAAAATCGAAATTTTGCGCCGTTAGTTTTAATACTTAAGTGTTTTGGCTTACTATCAAACTTAAAAGGTAAGAACATTGGCTGTGGTTGTACGTTGGTTTTTTTCTCGGTATTTCGATTTTCGAACGAATCACGGATATCCGAAATATCAAAAGTCAAAAACCGTCGAGTCTAGACGTTTTTGAGAAAAAAAAACGTGACGTTGACCGCTTTCGCAGCGTTTACCCAGTAACACTGGCGTGGTGACGGCAGGAGGAGGGCGAATTTCTTCGGTTACCCCTTCCCGAACACGTGCCGGTTCGCAGCCCTGTCACGCGCACAGCCAACGGAAATTCGGGAATCAAATGCGTACTATTGTTATTGTTGTTATCTGAATACTCAACGGACCAGAGACGGGGACGTGTAATAATTTTACACCGAACAATTAATAATATTTTCAATTAAACCCCCCCCCCCCCCCCNCCCCCATCCCTCCCTCCCCCCCACGGTCATAAAACACGAATCCGTACGTAACGTCACCGTGTTTGTATTACGTTCAATGCGTGTAATTTAACGTTGAGCCGTTTCGAACGTGTAACGTAAATACTATTTGTTTGTACACGGTCTACGAACGCGAAGAGTAAATATCATATTCGTGTAAAACGTATGCGCGTTCGGTATTTATTATGGCGTATTCACATTTACGTATACGTAGATTATAAACGGTTTTAAAACGCCCAACAACAATAACACACGAGCGCGTTTTGTAAAAACCGACGGCGCGCGGGTCGTATCTATTTTATGGTATTCCGGGACGGCACAATATTTTTTCGGCACCTATTTGAACGCCCTCGGAGATCCGCGTGGTTTGTCGGTGAAAATTTCGTAAAATAAAAATGAACCATCCGTTTTATTACATCCGCCGAGTTTTTTTTTTTTTGAACGATGATAACACTATCAGAATTGTCTACACACACACAGAAAGACATTATGGTTATGACTGCAGCAATTTATTCGATTGTAAAAACTGTTTTGCAGTGAAAAAATGTACTCGGGCTTACTATAGTCATGAGTCAATAATCCGGTCGCCGGTTTGAGAACAAATGATAACCAAACAAACAAAAAAAAAAAAAAAAAACAATATTTTAATACAATAAAAAAACGAGGTAATTTTTTTCAGAAAACACTGTGGTATCTAACTTCATCAGTTTGTGCTCGATCCAGGTACGGGTTCATAAATAATATTAGCAAAACTACACTTAGTAATACGTTAGTCGTTTGTTTCAAGTCAACTGTGATAATAATGGGTCGTCGCTTGTGGCCGCGTCCCGGGAAAAATACGAACAACAAATTATACATTTATACAGGGTGTACCACGAAGATTTCACACCTGATATAACTTTTGGACCGATATAGCCGTGTTTTTCGTATACTTTTGTTAAACCCGGACATTTCCCAAAACCGGACGCCAATCCAGACGTATGGTAACCTTGCAGCTATAGCACCTAATATCAGTAAATTAGATTTTCACGGTAAACAATGGAAAACTTGCACCGTGCGACGTTGGTTTTAATTTATCGATAGCGCAATATTATCAATAAAAAAAATAAATATATATTTGGTTTCGCAATCGAAGTCTATAATCCGAGTAGTTTTTGCCCGCGTGAAATAGTTTCACCTGCACCGTAATCTGTTCATTTCATGATCGCGCAGTAATTACTCGCGCAGGGTGTGTACCCAAGTAACCCGACAAGCAACCCCCAAGTATCAGGTAATTTTTTTTTAAAAAAAATATATTTGCCCCCGTCTCAAAGTTTACACTCGTTCAGCAGGGCCTAAAGTAGCGTATTTTAGAACGAAAAATGATATGCATGCGAACATTTTCGAAATTCCAGCGTGTTGGAAAGAAATGTGCTATTCTTAAATGTTATGAACTATTGAATGGGCGCTAGAGGAACTACAGACAGCCCCGACGTACCGAAAAACGTAAATACGTCTCCGGAATGCCCGTCTTATTTTTTCGGTGCAAATAACAAACGCGTTTAAAAAATTTTAGCGCATATATTGGCGCGTCTTTTTTTTTTTTTTTTTTTTTTTTTTTTAAATTTCGCATCGATATCGATGCAACCGGCGAAATTATCGATCATCGGATTAGTATATAATATATTATGCGTCGTTTAGCGAACGGTTTCTGTATCTCGCGACCCGGACAGTACCCGGGTCCTTTATATTATTATAGATATTATAGACATATTTGCGTATTATACGATTATTGTCGTCGAGACAATGATGGAAAAAAAAAATATATAAAAAATAACCAGTGTCACTATATATTATTCACACAATCTTAACCAATCATCGGTTCCGAAGCCGGACGCGCGGTACCATTAAAAAAATCCTTTCTATTATTATTATTAGGTACACATCATCTAACCGTCGCGTACAATATCTCGCATTTACGACCGGGTTAGGTTAGGCTATAATAATATTAGTACCCATACTATATAGAAAGTTCCGCGATTGTTATTTAAATTAGATTTTTTTTGTTTTTTTTTTTTTTGTAGCTACTAATTATTATTACAAGAAAAAAAAATAGAGCGTACCTATAACAAGTAGGTATACGTATAGATTCGCAGATTTACGCGTATACGCAGATAATTAGAAACAACCACCAGCGGCGGATCCACGGGATGGGGGGGGGGCTGATCGTTACTCTTCTGTTCGCCATCTAGTGCCTCGTATGAATTTTCAAAATCGCCTCAACCCACTCGCTATATTCTCGCCGATCCGTCTCCACGCGTCCACGGGTATTTTTCCACAGTGCTCCCACCGTGCCTACGCAAAGATAGTTTTTGAAAAAAAAAAAAAAAAATAAAACAAACGATTATAATTTTATCGAGTATTAATCATTTTAATTTAAATTAGGTTTGGTATGTCGCCATAAATAATTTATGTATCAAATATCGATACGTTTCAATTTACAATTTTCTTACGATAGATAGCAATATTCGAGGGCGTTCGGAAGTGAAAATTCAGAGTGAAGGATAGCCTTAATTTGTATTAGTAACCAAACACTTTTATTAATGTATTATATGTGTATTTTCGGAAATATTTAAAGGTATTATACTACAGTATTACACTACAGGTTACCAATTGAACACAAATTGCCATTTTATTATAATTTTCTGAAATTCGTCAACAGCATTTTCTGTTAAATCGAATTCATCGACTTTTTTCCTATGCAAACCTAACATACATAATCCGGATGAACGATTCTCGCGCATTAGATAACCGCAAGTCAGCTGATCACAAAAAACATCCACAAATGATCGGCGGTTGGTACCAACTCAAAATCATAGGACATAAATAATAAATATCATAGTAAATACCTAGATAAATATCAATACACTTTGGTACCAATAATGGATTTCGGGGTTTTGAGGTATTGAATTTGGATATAATTATTTTAACTTGCCCCAAAGCTATAAGGGGTGGGGGGATTGTTGTCCCCACCCCTCCCCTATTCGGCAATATTATTGATTTATTATATTTTTTCTACACACGAAAATTATTTGTGCGTATTAAAATGTTTCCCACTTCGAATGTTTTTTTTTTTTCGAAATAAAGGTATTATTATTAATTCATTATAATTTATACAATTTTCAATCGCGGAAAAACATCGTGATATTATAATAGTACTTATATCATTGTGCTATTTTTAAAAATTGTAAAATTTTTTTTTTTATTATTTGAGAAGTACTTATGGCCTGATAAAATCCCCTCCTTTTTATTGTATTCGTGGAGCCAGGTGGCAGATAACGTCGCCGGGTACTTGTGTCCCACCACGGCCGCAGCCGAGCTGCCCGGCAATTCGTGTGACGTTTATATAACTGCTGGCCGCCGCCGTGCCGATGACTTAATAATATAACAACAATAACATCGCATATTTATCGCCGTGGTTTTTCACGTGTTTCAGGCGAGGAGGAGCCGGCCGCACACCCGTACGCGGCTCGGCGGCGACCGTCCGCCGGCAGTCATGTCACCGTCGTCGTCGTCGTCGCATCATCACCGCCGTCACGACCGACACGACAGCCGCCGTGACGACGACCGCAGCCCGCGTCATTGTAGTCGACCGCGCAGTTTGATTGGTGACCGACCGCCCGTGCTCCGCAACTCGAGTCCCGTTCCGGTCGCTTTCGACGACACCATCGCCATCACTATCATCATGACGGCGGCCGCATCGATATGACCGACCGCCGGTACTACGACACCGCTAGCAGCAGCAGCACCAGCAAAAGCAGCACCACCAGCAACAGCAGCAGCACCACCGCCGGTAGCAGTAGCAGTAGCAACTGCAGCAGCAACAGAATCGCGATCTTCACCGGCATCAGTAATAACCGCGGCAACTTCCGCAGCGCCAATCGGAGTATCGTCTGCAAACCGCCGTTGTCGCGGACGGTAACCACGGCACGATGTAATAGCAACAACAACCGGATTCGGCCGGCGATCAGTACCGTCATGCACGTGAGGAAGACGTGGAAGAACGCCGTGGTCATGGTGCTGGCCGTGGCCGCCGTCACCACGGCCACCGCGGCGTTCTACTTCAATTACACGGCCACCGAAGCCAGCACGTGTTGCGGCTTAATTGCCGCCGCCCAGCAGCAACAGCAGCAGCAGCAGCAGCTGCCCACGGGTTCGCCCGAGTTGACCGTCTCCGCCGCGGCCGCCGTCTCGGCCGACGCCCAACCCAACCGATCCCTGTTCGGCTCGTCGGTTCTGCACGCGTCCAAAGTGTACGCCGTCTGTAGAACGTACGGCTACTACGGCGGTGGTATCATAGATCGGGTAAGTTTACAGTATAAAAAATTAAATACTATAACAGTTGCACCATCATTTTAAATCTCCTGGAAATTCTTAAAAAAAAAAAAAAAAATCAAAGCTCAAAATCTCGAAAAAGCGGCTTAAAATTAAAAAAAAAAAAAAATCAAACTATCAAATAAGATAAAACCTGAACAATCGAAAATGTAAAAAAAAAACCAAAACAAAAGTTTCAGAACCGAATTTTGATTTTGAATTATTTGAACTCTTAAAAACAAAAAAAAAAAACAAACGTAGGCCCACCTCTTCAAAAATTGCCCATCGTATATTTTTCTTTCGTTAAATTTCTTTGTTTTTTCAAAATCAAACAAAAGAGGCAGTGGAACTTGCCGTCTCTTGTCTTTTAAACGGGCAATACAACAAAAACGTGTCCGCTTAAAATCGATTTTAGAGATAAAATCCCGATCATTAAATGTACAGACGACTATACATTTTGAAAAAAAAAAACCACTTTTTTTTTTTTGAAATTACTACTCATTATTTTAAAAGGTACAACTCTTCGAAAAGAAAAACGTGCGAAATACGATTTTATTGTACCTCGACGACGAGGCGATCCTCGAAATGTCGTCATCTGCACATTTTATAATACTATACAGGTGTTTTTAGTCAAAATCGATTTTAAAGACCTTTGGGTTCGTTTCACGGCTATAAGTCGCTACGGGTTTTACAATGACGTTCGGCGGCCTGTCCGAAAAGCACCGTTTCCGATATGATATTCGACAGTCGGAAACGTGCGATTTCCGACCGGGGTGCCGAAATCCGGAATGGAAAAAAAAAAAAAAATCAACAAAACGGAACATCGAGCGATAATTATCTATTTTATCAGGGTGGCGAACACACGTTAAAAGTCGAATTTGAGTACAGCTCAATCGGACTTCCGAACCTCAAGTACTTCCGCACACCCGTCCATAGCTTCACCGGGTACGGGGGGGTACCCAATGGCGGGATTGGGAGGTGGCCCCAATATCTTGTCCGATTACTTTTACGTTAATATCGGAAAATACGTTTCGTTAATTTCAAAACGCGTTCACCGCGGACGATTAAATTTCGTCATTAGGGAATAAATCATCACACGACTGGCGCACCTCCCGGATTAGTCGCCGTCATAGCCCACTCGGGCTTTTGTCGCCGCGGGATATAATTTACCCTTTTCCGCGGTCCCTGTTCGTTTTGCACTCATTTTAATTTCGCGCACGCATAACGCAATTAAAGAACATTTACACCGCGAAATGTGTACGTCATTTGTATACGAAATTCCGAAAAACAATTTAAAATGCAATTACGAGGCGTCCTTTAAAAAGCCATCAAGGCGTGTAAAATAGGTTTAGGTACGTTTCACCGCGCGCACGTCTTTAGGTCCGTCGATTATAATATTATGTACCCGCTCGCTACCTATTTGATAATAATACCTGTTATGTTTTCAAATTGACGCCGAGGTCGTTTAAACATAATTATTAGTTATCAATTATTATCGTATACAGTTGATTGGCCGAACCGAACGCTCTGAGGGGATAACCGGATATTTATATTGCCGCAGACACAATACGGTGTTTCCGCCGGTCGAAATCGCGAAAAAAATTAAAAAAAAAATAAATCACCGCAAACGACAAACGAGTCTGAGCGGATTTTCCGAGAAATTTCAATAGAAAATTGCAGTAAACAATCAGTTCGTAATTGGGACGCTGATGTCGCTGAAGGCGTGTAATTCACTTAAAAAAAAATATTACGCTTTTCCTTTGAAATTTCGATTACACTGTCTACATAGATTATGATGGTAATTGACTTTACTATCGACATTGAAATTTTTTTCTGTTTTTTTTGATGTTTAAAAAGATATAAACAAAATTAATTCAGTAAACCCCAAATTGCTCCGTACGTAAAAAAAAAAAAAAAAACGGGTACAAAAATACATTCGAATTCTTTAAATTTTTAATTGATTTTTCAACCATAACAAATTATTTCCAACAAAAATTGGTGAATATACTTAAAATATGTATGTTAAGTATTTGAAGTTAATTTATCTTAAAAGAAATAATTACATAAATTTGAACCTTTTTAAATACAGCAAAACTCGAACTTAAAAATAATTTTAGGAACGAAATTCACTACTAAAAGTATAGTCCAAGTACTCCCGTAATCTCCTTCTTTAATCCCAAGCAGAGAGACAATGAGCGGAGCCCGGTTTTTATACAATAAACACTGAACCCATACATCGACCATTTGTTGCGTGTAACTCATCACAATACAGCAGGAATTCTCATCCTCTTCGTCTGTTTTAGTTTATATTACAAAGATTTTTTTTTTTACAACGATTTTCATCTAACGATACAGAACGTTTTACTTGTCTGGACGTTACACTCAAACTAATATGTTAGCGGTTGGTAGCTAATTTCTGTACGGTGATTTTGTGACAATTGCTGTTTTTCCTCTTCTAGATGCGCGCGCAATGGTTTTTCTTGCGTTTTGGAATAGGTAGAATTTCTTCGAAAAATATTTATCTCGTAAAATAGTACAGTCGAAAAACTCGACAATTTAAAGAAACTACACATTATACGAGTATAAACTATGTAACTAAAAAAAAAAAAAAAATCGAAAATAACAGAATGCGTTATTGCGTGTAAATATTCCCGGTTTTTTCTAATTTATCATACAAATTACTTGGAAAATAAAAAACAAAACATCTGTAATGCATACAATTTGTCGAAATTTGTAACTGAAAACAGCAATATACTCGTCCCTGATGTCGATATAACTAAAAAAAATTCACAGAATTTATTTACGAACAGAACTGTTTCAAATAGAAAAAAAAAAGACGGACATACTTCTCACGATTGGTGGGCCACTGTTGTAGATAAGAAGTTAGAAAGACATTGGATATAGATGGGAATTTAATGTATTTTTTGTATGCAATTATTATAATCATTGCTAACGAAAAACGATTCGGAGCGAAATCCGGTTATACATATTTTTTGAAAGGCCGTAATATTTACGATTTTCGTCAAAATTTGATTTTAAAACTTGTTAAAAAAAAAATAAATAAATAAAAATATACTACATTACACCCAATTTTTTGTTGGCCCCTGATTACGACTTATAATGAACCTCTTGTCAAATTGCCATGCATTTCTGTTTAGCCTAACAATTTTATCCATAGGGTACCTACCAAATAAAAATTACGTGAAAAAAACCCGAAAAGTTAAAATGTAACTTTCCTGTACTTTGTACGTATTTTTCGGATTTGTTCGTTTATTTAAAAAAAAAACTACAAATAAAATCAAAAAACGATTTTCTTGGTCACCAACTAAAGTATGAAAATTCAAAGAATATCGCTTGTCGTTTTTCCATTCGTATAGCAATATTTCTGGTAGAAACCGGAAAACGTAAAAATTAAAAACAACGAAATCGTATAATTAAATCAATAATGACAAAAACTGCTAGGAAAATCAAAAAAACGAACTACTTACCCACGAGCTAGATTAAAAACGCGACAGATCAGCGATATTTATTTTCCAAAAGTTATGCACGGACCAAAAAAAAATTAAAAAGTACATTGTCATAGTAAAACCAATAAATCCCTCGCCTCGTTCCGTATCTCACAATCACGCATCTTGTACCGCAGTAAAACCGATAGAGCCTAGTCCAACCTACCGATCTACGGTATAGAAAACGATTGTAATACTGTAGTACAGAATGTTGGACGGTAAAGTGGAAAAAAAAAAAAAAAGCAGCACGATATAAAATGGTACGGGACAGGTGGGCGGGTTTTTTTCTCTCTATAAAATCGTGTGTGTAATAATATAATGTTCGGGCTTACTAAAATATGCACAAAGATCTCCGATGAGATTTTGACCGTCGCAAATAATAATATTCCGTAACGCGTTTTTCGCAAACCTTTCTAAAAAATCGGCATTCCTAAATGTTCGTTTTGTCTTGTTTTGTTTTTTTTTTTTTTTTCTGTAACACTCGCTCTATTCTATACATACATTATATCATACCTCGTTCCCCTCTCATCGCGCGCGGCGACTCGGAGAAATGTCTAGTCGTAGACTAACAATAAAAGACCGATAAACAAATAAAAAAAAAAGCTAAAAAAACAAGAAGCGCCGCTGCGAACACACGACCGGTGGACTCCAATCGTATACAATAACATTAGAATGAGTATTCGCGATGGACCGCAGTTAGTTTAATGCGATTTTTAAAAACGATCGGATCGGTTTCCAAACATATCTGATGCGTGTTCTTCTATATATCACTCGTCGCCGATTCTGTTTCGCAGTCCGTGGTCATTACAGTACGAGCACCGTTCACGAATAAACATTTTCGAAACTCATTTTGCTTTTTTTTTGTATTATTTTTACGCTAACGATTATTTCGACTTCGGTCCGCGGCGGCGGTGGCGGCGGTCATACGATTCGTTTGTTCTATAAATAAATCGGCAATGTAAAATCGACCATAAAAAAGGACGCGTATAATTCGCACGTGGGTGCAGCCACTGTTCTAGGTGGGAAGTTGGGAAGATAGGATACAGACGGGACATTAATGTATACGCGTAAGCAACGATAAACCATTGCAAACGAAAAAACGATTCTGAGCGGAGTTCAGTTGATAGTGTTGCTTTGTCGACAATACAATATACATGGTATATATCATATTGTGGTGAAATGATTGCAACAATGTGTGTTTCCGTGATAACAATGTTGTTTAAAAAAGATTTATTATAAAATCATAAAAACTTAAAAATAACAAAACATAAATAGAAACGGTTGCAACGACAACCTTATTTTTATTATTTCAATATTTTTTAACCTAAAGAACCAGATTTCCCTCATTATCTCGAATATTAATGAGGATTTCAAAAAATGACCTCTTTTAAGTCTAAAGTACCACCCAGAGAACATTTCTTTTCAGAAAAGACAATATACTTGATAATCGGAGTAAGCTTTTTAGTAAAAGAATTGTTCACATAAAAAAAAATATAAATCTTTATAAAACCAATACATTACACTCAGAATCTAAACTGTCACGAGGAGGATATTTCCTCCGCGTCCCCTATCCCGTTTGAACCCCCTGCTTTGAGCCGTAATTTATAATAATATTGTCAGTATTATCATATTAGTACTCATAAGCGCAACTGGAGCCTTAATATTGGGGGTGCTAAAATTATGTAACGAAAATTAACATGTGGGGGATATGCAACCACAATTCCAAATACTATTTCTCAATCATTTGTGAATCACAATAACCACTCTAAAATGAAACATATCCATACATAGTTAAAACATTTAAATATGTAATATTTTATAAAATAGTAAACGCAATAGATGAACACGGACACTGTCTTGACTGAGTAATGAGTACCTCGACAGTCGACAGTCACAAAATGTGACTATGAATGTTTACAAATTAAACTGATATGATAAGTGATAAGATACTATTACTTTACTGTGTAGTATACAGTGTACATAATATTTAACCCTCTATAGGGCATGGAATATTATCACATGGCATATTATAACATCGTTCCTTATCAATACTACTACTGCTCAGTGAGCAGTGTCAATTTTGTGTATTTTACATAACACAGTATACTTATATTTGACATATTTTTATTTATTTTTTTACTAGTTTTTAGTGTATATACGAAATCTGTATGTAGATAAATTTGGTCAGATTCAAAAGTCGATAAATGGGTTACGCGGTGAGAAAGAAAAAAAAAATGTTCAACCAGTTCTCGTCTAGACGCCATATAATAAGTGGGATTTGGATGATAAAAAAAATATGCGATACACACGTGATGTGCAGTTTCTTTCAGTCGCGTAAACGACGACGAGGTTTTTTATCGTTTTATCGAAATCAACGGCAAGTTTTTTTTTTGGGGGGGGGGACATATGTAAACTGTGCCCACATTTTTATCTATGTTAAAAAAGTATAATGTAAACTACGCCCCATTTGTTATTACCATGTTTTATACAACTCAAGTTAATTTTCTGTCCAAACTCATTCGACACTAACAAAAATATTAAAGTATTCAGCATTTGTCTATACAAAAGTGATGCGTTCGGTAAAATCATAGTATTTGTAAAAATACCAACCCGTTATCGAATGTGACCATTAATAGTCATAGTAATCACTACATAGACATTGGTCTGCTATTACCCATGTCCTATCGACATGTTTAGTCTCTATTGCAGAACAACACGAAACGATTTTGAAAATAATTCAAATTTTAAGTTTCACAAAACCAATCGACCTCTTCGGGTTAGGTTAGGTATTGGTAATAGCAGAATAACAGAACAAAATGTAAACCACAACCGTGAATTATTAAGTAATCCAAATCTTCAAAAACAATTGAACGGGTTATTCGGAAAAGAAAACGATTTGAACAACGATAAACAATTGTTTACGAAAAAACGATTCTGAGCGGAGTTCAGTTAATAGTGATGTTTTGTCAACCATATATATGCCATATTATATTAAAATAATTAAATAGGCTTTATATATTTTCTTTAATAATACTGGTATAATATTGTATCGATTTTCCCGGTTTTTCATATTTGTTGGGAAAACACCTGAGAAAATCGAAAAATGACCCCTTTAAAGTACCTCCCATCTGCTGGTAGAAAATAAACATCTATTAGTAAAACCGATATATCCTTCGCTATACATTCAGCATCTAAAACTATAGCTCAGAGTGGTCTTTTGCAATATAAATCATAAAACATAATAACATGTACCATGTTTGCAGGCTTTTGGCTCAAAACTAGCCCGACACCAGCTCATACCCGGCCCTATAGCGGCCCGTTGATGACAATGGGGTTATATTTTTCTTCTGTATCTCCCCAAATGACGTCACTTATTAAATTGTTTACGCCCAGCCTTGTAATTAGAAATATTCAGATATTAAACTTCAATTGTAACTATACGATATTTAATATTTGTTTTCAATTTATCGTTCACTTTATATGTTTGATTTTATTATATTTGTGTAAACACGATGGATAGTAAAATCATAACCGACATAGGTATGTACATAAATAGCTGTTTATTGCGCGATGTATTGGCACCCTTGTTGCATGGGACACTCGAGAGGTATAACACATCTAATAAGTGATTTGTTTTAATCAAAAAAAAAAAAAATCAAATTTAAAAATCAAATATTATAATCACGTTTTTGAAACTACTCGTGGCTCCGCGGAATGGGACCGCCCGGTTTCGGTAAATAATACGTAGGTACATAGAATGTATAGATTGATTTTTTTTTTCGGTCAATAACTCTATTATCTATTTTGAATTTACGTTACAATTCTAATCGAAAACAATGTTTATAATGCAGTTGACAGTTTTGTACTCAAGTTTTATCTCGATTGTTCAGTGGCGTATTTAGAAGTTACCCAAGAAGAAAGATATTGAACTTAGAAATTGCGTCACGTTGTATAACTTAGGTTAAAATTATTATAATTTTTTAGTTATACATTTTTGTAAGTAATATTTATAATACATTCTGTCGTGAAATAATCATAGAAATCAGATGACTATAGGTGTTATAGTATATACTAGGTGGTATGGAATAGTAAACATTTGTTTACATCTTCTATATAAAGTATGTAACTAGTCTAACCATTAATAACCTTCTTATTAATTTTAATTCGGTTAGAATAGGTTTCGTTTTAAACAAGACGAATTTTAAATTGATGTTTTTTTTTTATGTATTCACAATAACAGCTACCAAAGGATTTTTGATTTTATGAGTAAAAAGTAAAGACATTTTGATTTTGGAAATAGGTTTGGTTATATAAATAATAGATATTGAAAAAAAGTCAAAGGAAATAATATATCTTCCTAATTTATGCTCTTGAATATGTTACCAAGAGTATTTTCCCAAGAGAACTTATCCGTTCTACTGGATTACTATTACAGAGAACCGAAATCCTCGTAAATTCGTATATGAAATCCGAAATACTGATATTCGCATTTTTAAATGTATACAAAATATATATATATATATTATTCTACCTGCAATATCTATACTAGCCCGTTTGCTCCGTGAACATAAAAAACTAAGAAAAAAATCATCTAAAATCTCCCAAAAAATAGGTGATACCAGAAATATTGTAAACAAAAAAAAAAAAAAATACTGGTAGATACTACTGATTGATGAACTACTGTTTTAGGAGGGAAGTTGGATGGGTGAATGTGTAGAGTAATTTAGTTTATAATATTTGTACGTAACAACAAATCGATTGCTAACGAAAAATGATTCTAAGTAAAGAATTATCAGTCGTATATTCCTTTTGTTGCCAGAGTAACCCAAAAACCAAAAAAATTGTATATTATACTTCCCATTTTCTCAATTTATTAAGAAAACTACAAGGGAATCAAACTAATTGCCTACGCGAGGTACCGCCGATTGAATACAAAATACTAATATTCCTATACAGCATATACAACTGTATTATAATACGATTTATGGGAGAAAAGTTGTTTCTAAAAAAAAATCCACATCATAATCAAACCAACACATTCCCCGCTTTGTTCAGAATGTAAACCACATAAGTGCTATAAGTGTAAAAAAAGACGAAATTCTGAGTAGGTTTTGATTGATAATGGTCCTATGTATTGTGTTCGAACAATGATCGTTTCCCGGCCAAAATAAATGTCCAAACGTTTTTCAAAAATCCTTTACGGAGAATATAATAGGTTTGAAACTCTTCCGTGAGGAAAAATCGTCACGACGTCATCGACTACCGGTGATGCGAAAAATGTACGGCCGGTATATTCCCGTGGCCGGATTTTTCTTATTTTAAAATTGTATACCCGTATAAAGAAAAGTACTGCAGGAAATCCAATGGCATTGGAATTTGTCATCAATTCCGAAATAACATCGTTCTGCCGCGATTTTCGCCGGGAGCGGGGAGAGGGGTATGGTTGTGGGAAGGATTTGTTTCTGTTTGCCACCATGACGTATTTCACTGGCGAAATCCACTTTGGTTTTTCTTCGCGTAGTCTTTCTTTTTTTTATTTTTTTCCACCGTCTCTATAATTCTCTCACAGTCGGTCCTCGTCGATTTCTTATCCGCACTGATATCTCGTAAGCCGCGAAAACAACCGCTAAAACTGTCTATATTATAGATTACAATTGTCGGACAACAACGATATTGTTAAATCTGATAAAACCGCTTTCCGATATACCGGCTGTACGGCGAGAACGCTTCACAAGGTACCTAATTTATGTTATTTTATTATACACCTCGCGCGAAACCTGTCGTCTCCACTGTATAGTTTGCATGCTTTTTTCCGTTCTTTAATAATACTTGTACGGTGTACGAATAGAAAAAAAAAAAAATCGAGAATCCCCTGCATTGAGACCACGATAATAATTATTGTCACGAAATCGTTAACAAGGGGTACACGCGCCTATATATATCATATATTTTTATGGGTACCCGTCGCGGGACGACGATCGCGACAATGACGCGGGCAAGCCAACGTAATCGTTATTTTCGATTGGGCTTTATACCTCTGTCCGTTTCACGAAAAATCCTGTTGGGAAAAAATCGGATTTCGCGCGTAAAACTATCGCCCACGTCTGTGAAGAAAAGAAATATTATCCCTCCAGCTCTTTAGGAATCGGCCGGGAACATTGCTAAAAACGATTCAACGACGAATGACCCGTGACTAAGAACAAAAACGCTATTAAACACGACAGACATTTTTTCCAGGGAATAACAAATAAATGACAATAAATAACGATTTTTTCTAGACTCTGAGTGGAGTGAGGAATGTATTGGTTTTAAAATGGTGTTTATTTTTTATTTTTCATGTGAACACTTTTTCTACCAGAAAGCACACTCCGATTATCAAGTATAGCACCTTTTCTGAGAGAAAATGTTCTCTGGTTGGTACTTCAAAGAGGTCAATTTTTGAAATTCCCATTATTATTCGAGGAAAACCGGGTTTTTTAGGTTAAAAAAAAATTTGATTTGATTTAAAGAAAGAGCTGATACTGGGAATGGGAGCGGCCATTGTTGCAGGTGAGAAGTTGGGAAGGTAGGGTACATAAAACTATTTCATATCTGTATTTATCAGATTTATCATATCTGTAAGACAAAAAAGGTGTCTTGTAATTTTTCGATTAAATCATTTTTTCTGGTATAAAACGTCGTCCGTGTTTTTATAAAATAATGAAATCGTGAAATTTTCCTACGTTTTTTTCCCACTTAAGTGCTTTTATTTAAAAAATAGCGTTGATAATCAAAAAATGACTGCTTTAAAGTACAATATATACAACTAAAGTTTTCTGAAAAGTTGCTACACGTAAAAATCGGAGCAAGTTTACTAGGAAATATCGTGCCCACAGACTAGAACAAAGAACAATTCCCGTCTATACTCTACCTTCCTAACTACCCACCTACAAAAGTGGTTGCACCCACGTGCTAAGTATGTCCGTTCTTTTTTTGTTTTTAATAATAAACTGTTAACTTAAACATATTATTGTGTAAAGGTATCATTCTTTGGTTTTTTTTCTGGGGTTCGTAAAGCCCCAGTAAGGGGTTAGTAATTGTCCCTATCGTCCCCTTGGCCGGTGAATTTTCGGATTTTCGACGATCTATTCCGGCAATCGATTTGGTATCTATATAATAGCGAGTGTTTTGTTTCGGTCCAAAAGATTTACCACCGAATTCTCGCGTTTCGTGCGTAACTATAAAATATATTATTTATACAGTTTGATTAATTTGAGCGAATATACGAACGGTTATTGATAACTGCCAAACGATTGGTTTTATACATCAGCTCTCGAAATAAATAAATTCAAACGAGTGCATGGTGTTGAAAAATTCTGAGAATTTTCCGCGCTTAGAATTGTTTATTATCTTCGGGTTTGATGAAGCGATGAACGATGAGTACATCGATCAACAAGTGGACCCGTACTCGAAAATAATAATACGCTCTTATCTCGTCGTAATAAACGTTTGTATTCGAATTTTGACTTATAATAACTAATTATAATCAACTAATAATATGTATTTTTATTTAGAAGAAATTTTGTTTGTATTTAGTATATAGGTGTTTCGTCGTATACCGTACCATGTGTTACGAGCAAAGTAGGCGATCCGGGCATTGCGCACAGTGCCCGAACAATTTGGGCAATTTGTTGAATACTCCGATTTCGCCTACATTGACCTAGCGCTCTCATACAATACCCGGTCAATGTGCACGTTTATAACGAATGACATTTATACGTGATAATCGCCTACATCTACGTACCTATTTTATTCGTTTGATATCACGACTCACGAAATTTAATTTAGAAACCAATAACTGATTTTTATTATTATTATTATTAATTGTATTCGATATTTTAATGCCATGTTATAGTAAATGAAAAATTATTTAATACTATGTACCCCCCCCCCAACATTGCATTTTATCAATAATTAACTAACTCAATGGATAATAGTTTTTAAAACTATTAATAGGCGACTAATATTTGAGGCGCCTGTTGCAAGTTTTTATATTTTTAAATTAAGATATGTTTTATTTTATTTTTAATATTTTCAATTTTTAATCTACAACGTCCAAATCTAGTGGGGCACTGTATGAAAATGCCCGGACAATGTAAATTTATTCCAACTTTGCCATCGAAAATGTTCGGGCAAGGTTGTGCACAATGCCCAACTCCTTACTTTGTCCGTAACATATACAATGTTATGGCAAATACACGTGACCAAAACGAGTATAGTGTCTAATGAAAAGTAAAGTTTCACCGTGGACACTGGCTTCATCAATGATAAATAGCGCGTATGTTCCGAAAACAAATTTATAGCATTAAATTGCTGCAATTTGGCTCGTCCGTACTCGTTTCACAATTCATCAAGACGTGTTTTAGGACGGAGGAAAAAAAACAATATATAATATTAACAGTTAAGTAAGAGAAAAAAAACATAAGATTATTGAATTTCAACATTTATCGATATGAATTACGAGCGTATAGTTTTCAGCATATTTACCTACATCCATTAGGTAATAGATAGGCAAAGGCAATAAAGATAAACGACAAAACCTTCTCGCGATACGTAATTAAATTCACAATACGCGGGGCGTTACGCATTTTTTCGATAAATCTAAAGGATAAAATGTAATTGGTCGTAAAAAATCGACGACGCTGCCGAAAATACTTTTAAATGTCCAAACGGTTTTTAAGCCGTGATTTTGTTTTATTCTAGTCTGTTTTAAGAGGCGTTTGTTTTCGCTGTATGTCTCGCGCGTAATTCGGGTGCGTATTTTAGAAAACCAACTTTTAAAATGCCTAGTCTCAGAACGAAGAGTTTTAGAATATTGTTATAGATTTAATATTGTGTTGTTTTTTTTTCGTTATCAATATGTATTTGATTATAGGTAGTCACCAACTAATGGCGTAAAAATAATACAATGAAACACAGAATAATATTACTATAAAAGTTGATAATGAAAATGATGACTTTGATGAATTATTTTTATTTCTCTTATTAAAAAAGGATTCTTGACGTTTTTCTATTGAAGCAATATTTTTTATTATATGTAATGAAATAGTCGTGTCGTATTTTGAAAAAATAGTATTTTCCGTGTTTTTTGATTTTTCCAATTAATACTAAAACCATTTTAGATATCAAAAAATGACTTTATCTGTCCGTGGCTAAACATTAAAACAATAAAATCGGTCACTTGTCATTTTTCAATTGGAGTAATATTTCTGGTAGAAAACATCGCGAACAAAAATTAAAAACAATGAAAACGGTAACGCCGCGGCGCGCCGTATACATTTGCCGTTTTACTTATAATTTTCTTCCGGGTTTTTCTTAATTATTTTGGAAATTCATCAGAAAATCCAAAAATACCTTAGCAAAATCCACCAAATTTAAATCTGAATAAACTATTAGCATGTTTATGGAATTGCAGTATGTGCCTGTGCTGTCGCAAAAATTTGAAACCCCCTCTCCCCCAGAAACGAAAGGGGTTATAACAAATTCGAGCGAATTCCCAGCAACATTTTCATACTAATTGTATTATAGTCCTGACATAACGTGCCGGCGCCAATTTGACGGACATTAAGAAAATGATCATGCATATATTATACGTTTCCGTACAGTCTAGGATTTACCTCGTATACCAAGTGTCTGTCTATGCATTTATTATGTGTCGGACTTGGGTTTCAATAGATTTAAACGAATAACATACTGGTTATAGAGAAACTCAATATGAAAAAAAAAAAGTGACTCGCGTTACTTGACTTCTGTGGTACAGTCGTATAGGTACTAGAGGAAACCTTCCACGGCCGAGGCGGGATCTATAAATTTAAATCCGGGCAGAGCTTAAATATTTTATGACTGGCCGGGCTTTTTTTTACAATAATATGCTGGAAATATCTTACATTTTAATCGTTAACCTTATACTACCAGTCCTACGAGAATACGACCGGCATGGTACAGCTATTCGAAAACGATGAAAACAAATCCTGGCCGGGCCGGGATTTTATAGGTCTGTAAAAAATCCGGCACAGGTTTTTATACGCTAACAAAATATCCGGGCAAGACTACGAAAACAACCTCTATACCGGTCCGTGTCGAACTTTTCCACGTCAATAAAATACCGGGTCGGACTTTCATACGGGCACAAAAACACCGGGCTTGGCCGGATTATTTTGCAACTTAGCCGGGTCCGGAATTGTCTATTTGTGTAGGCCTTTAATATTTACCTAGGTAAAGTAATGTAGAAGCGGTGTGCGCAAATTTCGCGCGCAAAAAAAAAAAAAAAAAAAAACAAGTTGTCATCTAGTATATCATATGTGTGTATATTATCTAAAATACGAGGTTTTTACGAGATAATACATTTTTTTACTTTTGCTGCCACGGATTTATTGTAAATAGAGATTAATGCGAGTGTTTTTAAAAATGTAACCCCCCATGAGATACCTACTTAAAAACTCGCCGTTTTTACCCTGTAATTTCCACGTAATGTTTTGTTTTTAATCCACGAAAGCACGGCTATAAATTTAAAAAAAAAAATGTAATTAGCTAGTAAAAAAAAATCTGCCATGTAGAAAACGGCGGAAAGTATACCTGCATTAAAAATGAACATCAAAAAAAAAAAAAAAAAATATATCACTCCGTTGTATTAAAATGAATACCCATCATATATACGTAATATATAAAGCGTAATTATGTTATCGTTGATCTGTCGATTTTAATAGAATCTAAATTCTGCTCTTTAGATGTAGGATAAGAGATAGCTCAGGCGTAGCGTCGATAGTTGACTAAATGAGAGAAATTAGACTGTGGTGGTTCGGGCATGTCACGGGGAGATAGGAATATAACGCATTAATAATTGTAATGAAAATAAATGTAGGGGGAAACAGGTGGAGAGGAAAACTGGGGGTTGGATGCAATTGAGAATGACAGCTGGACAGCTGGTGTATGCGAAGTGGAAGATCGGTTCAGGCGGAAGTTTAGAACGAGGGTGGCCGACCCCAAATATTTGGAATAAAGATGAAGGAGAAGAAGAAGACGTGTGTTTTTTTGACCAATAAACAAAATCTAACCGGGTTAGTGTATTTTATAAACAATTAATTTTTGGCGATTTTGGTTAGTATATTTTATAATACACTTAATTATATTTTGGTTAATTCGGTTATTGAAGTATAATAACCGAGTAAAATGTATGGATATCATGGTTATATTTATTAATATAGTATGTTATACTTATACCATAGCCAGTACTTTAAAAAAGATAAACAATTTTTTTATGATTCGACACCACAGTTTTTTATATTTATCATATTTATTATTTCGTAATAATGTCAAATCGAGCGAGGATGTATTTATTTAAATTGCATGATCTGTCAGAAAATGTATTCTGGCCGCAACATTTCATGTGATAATGCATCAATACTTCCTTATTCATTTAACTCTACGTTGAAAATTATTATGACGGACCATTAAATTATACCGCATTCCTAAAATGTCCGATATCCAATTGTTTTAACTGTTGCAGCACATTAGAGATAATTTACTGTGGATCATTAATGTATAACGGCGAGTACAATTATTGTTTAATCTCTACGTTTTAAACACATAGGCAGGTGCAGTATAAAGTATAATAGTAAGTTATCATAATTAAATGCTTTAAATGCCTACAACCAATTAATATTATTTTTAATAACCATTAACACGTTTTTTTCGCGAATTTATAACCGTTAATCGAAACCGTATGCCCGTGGCTGATAACGAGCACAACCTGCAGGTTAATCGCTAGAACGCGCCTTACTCGCTATAAGTAAAGATATTATTAAAATAGTTAATAATCGTTGGTCGGCTGTACCGCTTCCCTATATTCGTTAAATTTGTTTTGATTGTCGATCTTATAGTCCTCTTATTGTTATTATTATTATTATTATTATTGTTATTGATGGAAGAGGAGAATCGGTAAAAATCTCGCCAAGGTTGCAGTCGTCGTCAGCAGTGTATACAATGTCCAGAACGATGATATCGTTATTATTGACTGTAATACTTTTCGTTTGTTGGTGTATCGGAACGAGAGAGAGAGAGAGAAAAAAAAAAAAATGTTATAAATAAAATAAGCCGAAGTTAAATTCCTGGGTCATAGCGCGGTTCGTTAGACATCACGTCGGGGGTGTTCACGCGCAAATTATTAAGGCAATACCGTGTAGCGTAATCGGGTTGTTTTTTCTTTTTTAGATTCTGAGCGAAGATTCATCGAAGAACGAATCGGTCTTTTTTCTGTCTGTTAATAACTTTTCCACCAGAAATCGCGTTCCAATCGAAAAACGACGAGACAGTTTATTTTCATACTCTATTGGTTTTACTATAGTATTATGTGCGTGTGTGTAGTTCTTTTTTCCGTCCGTAAACAACTTTTTGAAAAGAAATCTCGCCCCCAAGTACAGAATATATTATATAGTACCTTTACTGAAAGGACATTTTTTTCTCGTCGGCGCAATGGGGAAATCGTTTTTTGATTTTCCAATGGGTTTTCAAAATAATTGGGATAACCCCGAAAGAAAATTATCGGTGATACGGTAAATATTTACGATGCACCGCGGTTGTTACCGTTTTCATTGTTTTTAATTTTTGTTCACGGTGTTTCCTGTCAGAAACATTGCTTCAAACGAAAAATGTCAAGAGATCGATTTTGTTTCTTTTAATATACAACCACTGACAGAAAAAATCGTTTGTTGATATTCAAAGTATTTTTTTATAACAATTGGGGAAACCCAGAAAAATCGAAAAATACGAGTTTTTCAAATTACGGCGCAACGATTTCATAATTTCAAATGTTTATATTATGTATATATATATTATATGTATATATATATTTATTATATGTTTCTCAGTTTCATCATTGCGTGACTATGACTGTTTGAAAATCTTAACATTTAAAACCCGAATAATTGAACGACAAACGGGTTTTATTGAACAGAGCTTGTTTTTGCCAAATCTATACTTACACGCACTTTTGCAGTTCTGCTCTTGGCGTCGAATCGTAAAAATTACGAATTTCCGAACCTTCGGGTTCTATAGCTAATAACTGTACAATATATTCGTGTTCGTTAATTTAAAGAAAATTTTTATTCGACCTTCGTTTATGAGTTTATGACCATGGTTTCGCAACACCGCTATTAAAATAATATATTTTCGTAATATTAATTACAATTTATTTATTTTCAATACGATCAATAACTGCGCAGTACGATAATTTATGACTATGATCAAAACTACAGTCGTATGCAGGAACTGTAGGAATGTATATGATTTTGGCCATATCAGCTCTTTTTTTAGATTCTTATCGTAGGAAGGATAGTATTGGTTTTACTGTAGTAAATGTGTGTGTGTGTGTTTTTTTTTTGTTTTTTTTTTTTTTTTAAATTAATGTTTATAAACAACTTTTAAACCAAAAATATTGTTTCAATCAAAAAATTCCACGAGTCTTATTTCTTTTTTTATTAAATTTCAGATCTGATTAGAGAGTATGAAAGTAAATTTTTGATTTCCCGTGTAATTTTGTAAATAATTGAGGAAAATCGAGAAAAACGTAGATTGTTAACACACTTATATCGCTGTGTTTCATAGGACATACACAATATGTATGTATATTAATTATTATACGAGTATTTGGATTTTTATTTTCTCTCGAAACTGACCAAGTCTCTTGATCTAACCTACAGACCGGGGTAAAAAAAAAAAAAGTAAAAATGGGGGCTTTTTTATTACCCCCATCATTTATATACCCCCTTACGTCCCCATCGAGAACCATGGATAGATTATAGATTTATTTTCTGAGTTTCAAGTGATTTTCGTGCGACACGAAATCCCGTAAACATCCTCTAGAACAGTGTTTCTCGACTTTTTTACCGTCACGAATATCATCTGTGCAACGCGGGCGCTATATTTTTTCGATGTTTAAATTTTTAAGCGCGATGCGAGTATGCGCAATATCACGATTTAAAAACGATTATATCTCTGGCAATAAAAAAAAAAAACAAAAAAAAACCGACGACGCGATACAAAGAATATTGATGTCTTTGGGGTTTGATAACAAGTCTGTTCACTCTAATGTTAGGTAAAACTAACTGCAGCACGACGTTGCCCCTGCTGAACGCAAATTTGCTATGTCGTATGTTTGTAATACAGCAGCACATGCGGGTATTCACGTCCTCTTATTCGACAATATCAAAGGCGAACCGTAATAATTATTATTAATTGTTTCCGTATTTCCGTCCTAATTAACTCGGTACTCACCAATCGGGCGGGGAAAAGGGATTTCTTATATTGTGAAAACTCATTTCCCACGGTCACGCGTGGTGCACGTAAAATTTTGTTTTATGTGCAGGGAGATCGTTTCGTCAGAACAGAACAGTCTTGACAGTTCCAAACGCATGCCTATAGTAAACTCAGAGCTCTGATGCTGTACAATTTCGGTGTACTCGTTTTATTTTGACGTTTTCCATTTTTGTCGCGATATTTAACTCTCGAATTTCGTATCTCTATATTATAACGTGTACGAGTTGTACAGTATAATATCACGAGAAAACAAATCGATTATTTAAAACTAAAAAAAAAAAAAACGAAAAATTCGTTCGACCGATTTGTACGGGGCGATTCTTGTTAACGGCGAATCAGTTAACATCCATCTATTATGGTACGGCGATTTCGAGTAGGCAATTATTTTGATTTTGATTTTTTCATGGCCGTGTAGATAACAGATTGTTATTGATTAATGATCTCATTTCCACGGCAATCTAGAGTTTCCAATTTTGGACAATAATGGACCGATAATTGACTAATTATCTATTAATTGTCTCTTTTTAAAATATCTAAGTTTGAAAATCATTGAAATTGATAATATATAACGTGTTTATGCGGTGTACAGAATCGATAATACATTTTGAAAATATTCTTTACATTGTTAAAATTTGTTAAAGTACGCCTATACAGTAAAGGTGTACACGCATACAAATAGGAAAACACCAAAACTAAAATCATCGTAATAATATTGATCACCGCGCGGCATAACAATAAAACAAACGCCCTGTATGATGCATGAAACGGTCTTAAAACGTATTAAACAACATTATCTCGGTGTGATTTATAATACGTTTTGTTGCCACACCGTTTTTGGTAAATGGTATACGAACAAACACGTGTCGGCGGGACTGGTTCTGGCCAACAATTTTTCGTGAATATTATTGTGTCAACGATGACGATATCCTAATGACCGTTTTCGTCAGTTTCCCTCGAAAAATACATAAGCTAATGAAAAAAAAAAAAATAATAATAATATGGAGGATTTAGTTTTATTTGTGGGAAAAAAAAAAAACATTTAAATGCTCTAACAAATATCTACCGAAAACAACCGCAATAAGAAAAAGCTTTTGGACTACAGATTTAATTGTTTCGGCGATTTTTAAAATTAATAAAATTCTACGGTTTCGTGCCTATGATGGAACAAAAAAAAAACGAAATTCTCATAAAAATAAACAAAGTATACAACAAAAACCTAATCGACTAAAACTAATTCTAACAGAACTGATACTGAGGACGGGTGGTCCGTTATTTCTGTAGATATAACATTACGCTCTACTTTTTTTTTTCTTTTATAAGTTATAATGAGGCTCGAATTAAACTATTAAGTATTTGTGTACCTGGCCATTTATGTAACCTAACAAAATCAAACCAAACCATAATAATAGAAATTTGTCAACTCTTGTCAACTCTAATGTCAACTCTTTACAATACATTGTTCCTATAGAAAAAAAAAACCAGAGATTTTTTTTGTTGAATTTTTAATTTAGTTCAAAACATGTTTTCAAAGGCTGTAATATTTACAATTTTCATCAATATTTGATTTTAAAATTATTATAAAATAAAAAAAAATACTGCATGATACTCCTAAGTACGATTATAATAACTTATAGTGAACCTGTCAAATTGTCAAGCATTACTGTTTAGTCCAATAATTGTATTCACAAGGTACCTACTAAATACAAATTACGTAAAAAACTGATGTGAATTTGGAAAAAATCAAAACGCGTTGTGTGGACCAAAACGATTAACATTATGCAACATAATTATTTCATAACTAAGCATGTTAAGATATTATGAGTTTAAATTTTATTTTTTTCAATAAAGTTCTATACTCAGATTATTTGAATCCATTTGAGCCAGAAGCGTTGAAATTGAGATTCAATATTTATAATGACGTTTAATAAAGCTGTCCTAGAATAATGGCGATGGGTGCAGATTTCTATACACAAAAATTCAGTTCTCCCTAGAACCCCAGAACACCCAGAACTCCCCTCGGACCTTGTACCTATCGTTCGCTATTAATGCCGTCGTGTTTGTATTTTCGCAGGATAAATCTTACGGGTGGCGTCGTTTCCGTCGCCAGTTGAACGTGCGCGAAGTCACCGACAGCACGGACGGCGGAGGCGGTTCGTCTGACAGAAATCCCGCCAACGGAGGTGACGGACGTGCGTCCATCACCGACTACGCGGTCGGCAGCGGTGGCGAAGCGGACGAAGTCGCTCTTATCTATTTTATTACGCCCACCTATCCGCGCCGGGAACAGGTGGCCGAGCTCACTCGGTTGGGACAGACACTGATGCACGTGCCCCGACTCCATTGGATAGTGGCCGACGACCGACCGGACTGCAGTCAACAGACGATGAACTTGCTGCCCGATTTCGGTGATTATGTGTATAGCGTTATAGGTTTGGTCGCCTTTGTCCTAAGTACGCGAAACCGTCAATGTGCAGGGTCAGGAATCAAAATATGGGACTATGGGTACTATGCGAGTAGCTCAATATTTAAGAACGTTTAACAATTTGTGGTAAATTTTACTAATGCAAACTCGAATTGTAATTTTTCGATGAAAATACTGTTCGAGATATTATGACGTTTTCGGATCATTTTTTTTTTCTCTAAAATTAGATTTTTGTTAGGTCGTCATCCCACTCGATATCTCGTTTATTATTGACTGTACCAAATTTTAGAGTATCTTGTAATGTATCACGTTACTGAAATCAATGTATCTAGTACCGAGAATGTAGATACTTCAAACGACTGAGATGCTCTGTAAGGGGACATCCAAACAGGGTAAACTGAGTATTTCCTCATGGCTTTTTAAAACGTACATTACAAATTTAATGTGATTAGGCGTATAAGGATTATAAGGAGAATTTTCGGATATTTCGAAAAGTTTTTAAGTAAATAGTTCACATCTTTAGATACTGATATATTATAAAGTGCGTAAAATTGAATTGTTATTTCGATTTTAATACATCGAGGATCTTGTATTGTGTTGTACCCATTGCAATTTATTGTTGTTACATAACCATATCGAGTATCTTGTTTCTAGATACCAAAAATAAAACGTGTGTCTCGCAACCCCCCCATCCCAATCCCAATATATCTAAAACCGATAGTATCTATAGATGCCTGCTGATTTCAAAGTACCTTACCCGTCCCCGCAACTATTATAATAATAAATCGTTTTTTCAGGTATTCCTTACACGTATATCGCTAGCCCCATGCCGGCAATCTACAAACGCGCGACTGACGCCATACCCCGCGGCGTTTCCAATCGTAGGGCCGCCATCAACTGGATAAGACTGAACCATAACATTGACGACACGAAAGCCGTCATATATTTCGGGGATGACGACAACACGTTCCACTTGGACCTGTTTAAAGAGATACGCACCACTAAGAAAATATCTATGTTTCCCGTTGGTCTAGTCGGCGAATACGCCATTAGTTCGCCGATCGTCGAAAAAGTTATTAAAACAACATATTATTATCTACACTCCATATTTTCTTTCTTTTCTTCATCTTTCGGTATCTTCCTACATTATCCATCGCCGTTCCTTAATTCAACCCGGGCCACTGCCCTTAACTCTTCTCAAGTCTCTTTTTTTATGTATTAATAATATTATAATAATATATACATACTGAACCGGTGTATTTCGTAAAACAGGGCAAAGTCGTCGGATTTTTTGATAGCTGGCCAGCCAAAAGGAAATTCCCGGTAGACATGGCCGGGTTTGCCATTAACGTTCAACTTTTGTTCAAATACCCGTATGCCACGATGCCGTATAAAGCCGGTTTCGAAGAGGACCGATTTCTATCGGCCCTTTCCATACAACTGGAGGACATCGAACCCAAAGCGGAAAATTGCACCCGGGTAAATATAAAATATTACCGGTATTTATCGCAAAAAAAAAAAATCACTCTATATATATGTATATATATATTCGTATTATGAAAGTTAAAGAGACGGGTGTTCAGTGTGATATTTTGATGTACAAGCCACTCTGTTTCTATCGGCTTATTGTTGATTTTTTTTTTACACATTTTCATCAAGCGTTCATTTACTTCAAACCATTGAAGATAATGTAAATTGAAAGGAAAAGAGCGGTTCAAATAAATGATGAACATATTTATTAGTTATTTAAGTTATTGTATTACTAAACACCAAAGCAGTACAAAACAATTTTTCGTTTTTGAATACATCGAATAATTAAAATTACTTTATCAAAAATAATGTTAGTCGATTGTAATATTTTCATTCTACCGAGATTAAAATTAAAATTGGCACTTAAATATCTTTTATTTTCACAAATATTTTGACAAAAATAATTTAAATTTAAAAACCTCATTGTTGATAAAGTTGTTTGCAATTTATAGGTTATTTTGATTTCGATAATTATAGTTTAAGATATATATATATATAGTTATAAATACATATCACAAAAAAAAAAAAAAATGATTTTATCTCGCTCTTACAGATTCTGGTATGGCACACACAAACAGCCAAGAAACCAAAGCCCACTGTCATGGTCAGATCCAAAGCAGCCTTGCCTGGTTCATTAGCCACACTACTTGATCAAGTGACGTTATTGGGCGTCGGTGGTGTAAGCGAAACAACAGGTACATATCGAATCAAATAGATATTTACCATTATTTTGTAAAAGAAACAAATTGAATTAACTTTTCGTTTTAATTTTTTGTTTCTAGGTGTTCGCAGTTATATAACTAAAAATGGCAATATTTTTAGGGTATAATTAAATAACCTAATACAATTTTTTAGAAAAGTGTTCTTTTTATTTAATAATATAATTGCATAATATAGGTACAAATTAAGAATTCGTAGTATGTTTAGGCTTTCTTTGACTTTTTTAATAATCATTGTTGTAATTTAATATATAATTTATGTAATACTTTTGTTTTCATTTGTATATAAAATATGTTTTGTTGTTATAGTCATTATACCTATTATAAAAATACCTATTGTTTATTAGTATTTTTTTTTTTTATATCTAAGTAAGTGTGTTCGAAAATTAACTTTATGAGTTTAGTTTCAACATCTAATAGTTTTACTGTATAGATACTTTGCCCAACAAAAAAAATTACATGTATCTTATTCAAATTTTGTTGTATTACCAATCAATATTTTGATTATTATGTTATAATTTTAAAAAACCAGCAGTTTGTTGCTAATATAAATAGAGAAAAATTTGATTTATTTGCTACTGATTAAATTACAAAATTCTTAAAATAGATTGTATTTAGCATCTGGTTCATGTAAATATAATATTATTAATTTCTCACGCTCTAGGGTACCTTCAAAATTGCATAGGCAAAGGTAAACTCTATCAGACTCGTAATAATATGTACTATACGTATCCACCATGTCTTATTTGTAAACGTTCACTTTGTGTTCAATATTTACATTTTAAAACTTGTTTAAATTCATTTTACTGTGTGGTTAGAAATCCCTAAAGCAGCTGAATATTTGCATACAGATCGTCCAGGGGATTTCAATAGCACCGCCCTTATCCTCTCGATGTTTTCAGACGGTTATGGAAGGTCCATTATGTGTATGTATTCTTCTGAACATGTCCACCCATAAGTAAATCGATATTGAATTGTTTCCTTAATGCACGCTGAGTTGTGCTCCTCATTCGTCTACTGCACGATGGACACTAAACTAACCTCTAAAAAAATTTAGATCACACGCTTTCGAACTCACCATAGGAACATACTCTAGGAGTAACAGTCGCTTTGTAGTGTGAGTTTCAAATAAAGAAGTGACCCTGCCCCACTCTGTATTTTGTTTTAAGTTTTAAGTCTAGTAAGAATGGTAATATCTACCGATTTAATCTCACTTTTGTTATGATTGTAGTAATTTTAATATAAAATCATAGATTCAATTATTCTTTTTTTTTTTTAATAGCCAATAGGTAATGCAGTGTGATATCAATAGTTTTCATAGTTTATCTGTCTTAATCAACAAAAATTGTATTCCAAAAATTATTATAACATATGTTGTCAGTAAGATTGGAAAAAAATAATTTACTATGTATAAAATATATTTACATTTGGTAACCTTTAAAACAAAAAAAAAATACAATGTAATTATTATTAACAGATTGTATTTTCTAATAAATGTGAAAAAAAAACTTAAGAAAGTAAAAATGTATTATAAATATAACACAAATATATAACCTGCAGTAACTTCCATCCGAGTTAATTTAAAAGTCTGGCGGTAAAAAATGTTCCCTACAGAGAACACGAAATTTTGTAGGAATGAATCCTTTTTGGCAGACTTTAGTCCATTCTAAATTTCTAATACTGTCTTTCAAAGGAAAACTAAATATAAAAACCGTTTTTATAGCACAAAACTGTCACAGGTTTTCTTACTTACCCTTAAAAGTTAATTTTACAATAGTTTTTGGTCTCTTGTTCGCATCACGTCTATGCGCAGAGAATGGCACCACCATAGTTTTATATTATATTAAGTACCAAACGAGTTAAACAAACAACCGGAACCGGGAATAAACATTTCTTACCATTATTATTACTACATTTCAAACGTAAACAATGCCCTGTTAACATATGACGGCCAGTTTCACCGGTTTGTATAACGCGGCATACAAAGTCAGCTATCTAGCTGTTTTATACATCTACGGTATTTGCGGTATATAATATTATCTACATACGAAACGCCATGATTTTACACACCCGTTAATTACCTACATAAATATCGAATTTTTCCGTTATAATAGCACAAAAAATTAATAGGTTGGTATACAATAAAGACTATATTATAATTATTATATACTATTACCTAGTTACAAAAAAAAAAAAAAACACACGAGTAAAAATACTTATCAACAAATAAAATCTGCGTATAATTATTAATATTTTCAATTAAAAACATATACCAATCGCGAATCAAGAATGGCCGAAAGCGACAAATTATTGAACGTCGACAATATTTTATTGAGATTGTTGGAGGTGCGTGGTGCTAGATCCGGCAAGAACGTGCAGCTATCCGAAGGTGAAATCAAAGGCCTGTGTCTGAAATCGAGGGAGATCTTTATGGGACAACCTATACTCTTAGAACTTGGAGCGCCTTTGAAAATATGCGGGGATATTCACGGTCAATACTACGACTTGTTACGTTTATTCGAGTATGGCAGCTATCCGCCAGAGTCTAACTACTTATTTTTGGGCGATTACGTGGACCGTGGAAAACATTCTCTGGAAACGATATGTTTGTTATTAGCGTACAAGATAAAATTCCCTGAAAATTTTTTCCTTTTGCGCGGCAATCACGAATGCGCCAGTATTAACAAAATATACGGATTTTATGATGAATGCAAACGGCGATATAATATAAAGCTTTGGAAAATATTCACGGACTGTTTCAATTGTTTACCAGTAGCAGCAATTGTTGATGAAAAGATTTTTTGTTGCCATGGAGGTCTTAGTCCGGACTTGCAGTCAATGGAACAAATTAGACGACTTATGAGGCCAACAGACGTACCTGACCAGGGATTATTGTGTGATTTGCTCTGGTCCGATCCTGATAAAGATACAACGGCCTGGGGAGAGAACGATAGAGGTGTATCATTTACATTTGGGGCAGAGGTTGTGACTAAATTTTTGCATAAACATGATTTTGATCTCATTTGCAGAGCTCATCAAGTTGTAGAAGACGGTTACGAGTTTTTTGCTAAGCAACAGCTCGTCACTTTATTTTCAGCACCAAATTACTGTGGTGAATTCGACAATGCTGGTGCAATGATGTCTGTCGATGAAACTCTGACATGTTCATTCCAGATTTTGAAGCCGGCAGACAAACAGAAGTACGTGTATGGAGGAATGTCGACTGGTAGACCAGTAACACCGCCTGGAGGATCTGCTGTTAAACCAGTAAAAAATAATAAAATGTGACTCATCTTGAAGTAGTATTCATTACTACATAATATGTATCCAATAACTAAGTATAAATTTACTGTGGTTATAAAGTTACAATAAAATTAAACGTAATAACGTGAATAACGTGAAAAAAAAGGAATTTTTTCCGATTTGTCCAATTGATACCAAGCAATTTGTTATTTAACCATGTAAATATATATTCATACTACACAAAAAAAATATAAAACTAAAAAAAAACAAAATAAATTTGAAATTCATGAAATTAAAACTCATCGAGCACAAGAGTTTCAAGCACCTCTTCCCCAAACATTTTTAATAGGTATTAAAAACAATATATATTTTTTATAATATACTTACTAAATTGTATTTATTTATAAAATAGCTACCCAGTTTTTAATAAATTAATAAAAATGTAAAAATGTATCTTTCTGTTTCTGCCCCTATCTGTGTCACAGTCAACTGTTGTTGTCCGATAATTTATTTTTTAAATTTCTATTTCCTTGCCTGACAACCGAATATACTATAATAATATCAATATAGCCGAAGCAATCAAAATAAATTTAATGTTAATGACAATTCTATGTCAGCTAGCTTCTATTGTAGTAATGTTTGGTAAAAAAAAAAAAAAAAAAGAACTTATAAATTTAAAATTATGAATTCATCGCCGCGCTGTAAATTTGTTAGTTTTCATTTGATTTTTTTCCAATTATTGTGAAAACTGATTAGAAAATTAGAAAAAAATGACTTATTTCTCCAGCAACAGGTCCATAATTCAACAAAAATATTCTCTTGTTATTTTTCGATCCGAGCGAATTCTCTGTTCGAAAAGTTTTTTTAAACCGAAAAAAAAAACATACATCATTGTAAAACCAATAGATCCCCTCGCTCCGCTCTGAACCTAAAAATGCATAGCCGGCATTATAACTGCCCTTTTCATATAGCGGCGCAAAAACGTTGTAGCTACTAACGTTAAATAGTGTTTAAAAATATATATCCAATATTTTAGTCAATTGCCTAAAATAGTCATAAAAAAATCAAGTCATTAATTACATAATTTAACGACTACAATAACAGGTGTGAGTACATATGTATTCGGTACGACTAAAACCTTTTGTGATATATTTTTAACATTTGATGTACACAATAATTTATATTATCAAGATTATAATAAGAAAATTCAAAAATAATAGGGGCCCCAGGAAACCTAGCGCCGCCACTGTGTACCAGTGTAGCGCGCAGAACTTTTTCCGAAAGGCAATTTATTCTCTAATTTATTGATACAATTAAAATGTCATTTTTTTTTTTTTTTTTTTTTAATTTTCTAAGAGATTTCCAAAACAATTGGGAGAAACCCGAAAGCAAATTATAGGCAAAACGGAAAATATTTCGGCGCGCCGCGGCGTTACCGATTACGTTGTTTTCATCGTGTTTTGCTTAAGTTTTCTATACCAGAAACATCACTTTAATCGAAACATGACAAGGGATTGATTTTGTGCCTATTAATGTTTCGCCACTGACAAAGTGAGTCATTTCTTCGGCAAGTACCTCAAATATGAAATAATCACGGCTTTGTGTCGAACAATGTTTACAACTTTAATAATACCACATAATACTTCGTGTAGTACTGCGGACATTTTTTTTTTTCGACGCAAGATGCTCAAGGTTCACGGCGCAAAATGTGTAGATAAAATGTCTAGGTGACCAACATTTTTCGAACATTTGCAAGAATGCCTGAAAGAAGTCTATGTTTGCACCATCGTCCATACATATCCCTAAATATATTTTACATTTAATTTCGAAAAGTTTAATACCATAATAATATTAATAATACGTGAAAATAATAAATTATAAAATTTCGGAAACGTGAATGTTGCATAAAACGTCGCATAAAATATTCTACTCAAATATCCGTCCATCTAAAACGAACGTTCGCATTTAAAATACTACAGCAGAATATTTTAAAATACCTATATAAAGTCCTTAAAAAACAAAAATTAATTTTAATTTAATTTGAGCAACTGTAGATTAGGCATACTCGAACGACGGAAAAACAATGTCTAAAAGTCTATTGTGGTCATAAAAAGCTGCGTTTCACTTAAACTCCAATCAACAAGGTAATGTTACAAAAGGGCAGTATAAACATTTGTGAACAATTTTTAAGTAGATATTCAACAAAAAAACTACAAACATTTTTAAATCCTTAAAAGCTCAAAAGTGGCTCAAAAGTTTTGACGATGATACCGTAAGAAATTAAACCAAAAAAAAAAACAAATAAGGAATCTTGTGAGTTCAATTAAATAAATTTTTTTGGTATAAAACGTCGTCCGTGTTTTTATTTAAAAAAACAGCGTCGAAAAATGACCGCTTTAAAGTACTATCTAAACAACTTGAGTTTACAGAAAAGTTGCTACACGTAAAAATCGGAGCAAGTTTACTAGGAAAAAACGTGTCCAATCTTGCAAAAAAAGCAAGAAAAAATACCCAACACTAAAATATAATGAAACCATTATTTCTATAAACTATCCAAAATTTGTTTCCAATTTTACTCAGTTTTTAAGAAAACTACACGGAGAATCAAAAAATGACTTACAAATACTCACCAAAATTTGGAAATCAGTACACAAAATCACTATGATGTTAAGTACGTGATTTTTCAATGTCTGTGCTGATGAAATGGTAACCACAAACGTTCCCATTTTTTCTACGTTTTTTCTGGTTTTAATCAATTATTTTGATAACTGCTTAGAAAATCAAAAAAATACTTACTCTTTCATTAAAAAAAGGTCATAATGGTCAATATTATAAATACATAATTAGGGCTCAGATTCGTATGTTCTAAAAAATAGCTGAATTAACTTAAAAATAGAAGGGAAACTCAAATTAATCTCTTTAGTACCTTGAAAAAATAAATACACAAAAAATATATGCCTATTTAATTATCAGATTTATTTGACTATATAATAATATTCAAAATACATAGAGAAGAATATATTATGGACAAGTTCTATACTAGAAATATATCTCAAATAGAAAAATAAGGGACTTTCTTTCTTGAATTCTTATTTTGTTGGTGTGCAAGAAAATAATTTTTATCTAGCAGCATAACGAGGTATCTATTACTATGATTTGCTATATGTGTTTTTTTTCTGTTTGTGAATTTTTCTACCAAAAATCTTGCTTCAGTATAGGAGTATAGAGTGTAGCACCTTTTCTGAGAGGCAATTTTCTCTAGTTGGTGCATAGTGAAGATAATATTTTGATTTTCTAAGTGTTTTTTTTTTAACGATTGGGGAAAAACCAAAAAAACATAAAATACAATTTTTTTCAAATTTCAGGGCACAGTAGGCTGAAACCAATATTTAACTGGCCAAAAGTCCTATTTACTCAAAAATTCTATATTTTATTGATAATTATTTTTTAATGGGAATATATTTAGATAAATTTAAAATTTGAGTTTAATTAAATGATTATCAATTGAGGTAGTTTTGATTAAAAACGTTTACTTTTTTATTAATTAATTTAAATTTTTATTCTGAAAATGTTAATTAATTTTGTGTTTTTCAGTCCTTATTATATTGGCTAACATAGAATTATGACAAAAAAATATGCTCCTCCCCTCCCCTTTCATAGTACTTAATAATGCAACATTAACATAATAAATCTAAGTTTTCCATTATTATTCTGCTTTAAAGAGTATTAGTAAAAATGTTGCAAGTTTGAATATATATGTATATTGCACCTACATGTTATAATTCAAGTTGTAAGCAATAAAAAAAAATCTATCTGTTCGTTTTAATCTCTGTAATATTTTACATGTATTTTTATACTATAAAACTTTACTTTTTTAGAACTTTTCAAACATTTATTCTGTTTTGTACTTTCATATAAGTTTCTTACACGAAAATAAAAATGAAATTATTTTTGTTATCTATTCAATCAAAATGTAAGCAATTTACAACTATAATAACAAAAAAAAAATTAAGACAATTTAATTACCTAAGTAACAAAGTGATTTCTGAAAAAGATTGATTTACAATGTGACATTTTCATCCGACTGAAGTATTGTTACTGTTATTGGAATTTTATTTTTGTTAATAAAGATTATTATTATAAAAACTTTAATCTCATTTGATAACTCAAATTCATATTTTTTGAACATAAATATTATTAATTGACAAGAAAAACTTAAAAATTAATATACATGTCTTTTTAGATTCTGAGCCAACAGAGGAATGTTTTGGGTATACAATGATATATTTTTTTTATCTATGCACAACTTTTATGCTAGAAATCATGCTCTAATTTTTAAGTGAAGTAGATACCTTTTGTGAAAGGAAATTTTATCTGTTTGGTAATTTATGCTGGTCATTTTTTGATTTTCTATGCAAGTACTCTTTTTCCTCTTTCAATGTTTGGTTTAACAAAAGTACTAATAAATAATTTATGTTTAAAAATAATAATTTATTATAAATTAAAAAATAGATTTGTTTATTAATAATAAAATAACAATTTTAGCTCAAACATAATTATTATGAATTATCTAATTCATATATATATATATATAGATATATCACGTAAACATTATTAATTGAATACTCTATAGCACACTAGTTACAATACACAACCAATTAAGTATTGTGTAGTGTAATGTTTAATTTTATTATTATTTTATTAACTAACAGATTTGGTCACTCCTATTATTTCATCTAATAAGTAATTGAGCAGTTCCATAGTTTGATCTTGGACCAAAACAATATCAAATGCTTGTTTATACCGGTCCAAATGAGCTTGTTCATTTTCTGTCTGTGATAAATAATTAATAATTTTTAATTACAATTATTTTTATGAACTACAAAATATACTATATTACCAAATTGCAGTTCAAAAATCCTATACGCAGCACTGTGTTGTAAGGAATATTGCCATCCATATTGGCATCACCCAATGAATCGCCCAAGAGAATCACATTGGATCGGTTCTTAATCAGAGTGTCCTGCATGAAAACCATTAAAACAAATCAAAGATTATTGTCAACTACTAGTAACTTAGTTTTGTTTTGGATATCTACTGTTTTTATAGCACTTACATTTTTGTGTGTATCTATGTATGCATGTTCATTTTTGTTAAATACATGTATCAGTTTTTCGTTTTTGAATCCTTGAATTGTTGACATGCCATTGTCATTTTTGGATAGTTTTAAAAAATTTGACACCACTGACACATTGTCTGTTACTAAATTATTGTGCTTCAGTATAAGTTCTACTACATCTCCAATACCAGCAGACAGTATGATGAGAGGTACATTTTGTTTGTATAATTTTTCAAATACCTTCTCAATGCCTTCTCTGCAAAATATATATAGTTACGTTTAGGAATGACTTTTTATCTTAAAATATTTTTATTTGTAGTTTTAAAATTTAATTACAGGAATAATACTAGTCATAAAAAATAAAAAAACTATTTTAAGTCAATTTATTTATTAACTATAATCCCTACACCAAGCTGTTTTGTATTCTTTACATGGTTTAAAAACTCATAAGCAAAAAAGCATTTCATAATAGACATTAAATGTACATTTAAATATAACTATTGTTTATTTGTTTACCACTTGTTAATAAAATTGTTTTCTGCAGTAAGACTGAAACATATACAATACTAATTTGTGTCTATATATACATGATTTATAATTAATGTTCAATAATTTTGGGCTAATTAAATTGAGTATTAAAAATATAAAACAAATGTAATTGTTAAAATTATAAAAAGAAAAATAAAAAAACTATTTTTTTTATGTATTAATAAACATCTATATAAGCCCCTTTTTTATAATTTAAATTAGTTTTTATAAAGACAATATTTCCATTGATTAAATATTCTGAATACTTAATCAATGTATTTGTGTCATTACAATTTATTTTATTTCACAGCTTTATTGATTTTAAGTTTATGCACTTTGAGTGGAGCTTATGAATCCTTATTAAATTGTATTATTTATTAAGTAATTGATTTTAGTTTCTTTTTTCTGTGAATAACTTTTTTACCAGAAATCTTGCTCTAATTTTTATGTGTAACACTTTTTCTGAAATGAAATCTGACTGAGATGGTACTTTAAGATATTCGGTTTTTTTTTTTTTTTTGATATTGAATAAAAAACCTACATTAGGAAACACACCAATAGTATATTTAAAAAAAAAAACCTTACTTGCTTTACTTAAACAAATCTAAAACTAATTTTTAAAAACTTTACAAATAATTATAATTATTATAATTTAAATTTTTTATACATATTAATTTAAATAAAATACTATAGTACCTGTAATATTTTATTTAAATCCTTTAACAGAATTAAGATTATTGAAATTATTATAATTTAACATAAAAAAAGTTTATTTTTGTTGAACACAATTTGTTTTCAAGCTATTCTTATTATTATTATTTTTTTTTGCTTATGAAAGAAAGTAGTTTATGTATTTAATAAACAACTAAATTTCACTAAATTCACTTTTCAATAATCATTAAATGTAACTACTGTAAAACAAAAATCACTATTATGTTGCTTATTAAATATCCCATATTAATAAAAAAAAAATACATAAATGATAGTTGAAAATACAATAGATTGGGAAGTAGAACACATAAAATATGACACAAGACTATTCATTTAGCTAAAAATAAACATTTGTAATCATTATGAAGTTATAGTTTATTTATAAAATTAATGAATTTTGTTTTATATTGGTAATTTTGTTAATGTGAATGACATATTAAAACATTGTAGCAAAATAAATTCTTTAAGATATAAGATAATATTATGCCAAAAAAACATACAATTGTCTAAAAACTTTAGTACAATAATTTTCTGTATAGAAATTTCCAAATGCATAAAAATAATATCAGATTTAACTTTTATGAGTTATAACAGTTTAATTTTAAAGTTTTTACTGGAAAAGTAGAAAAGGGTAACAAATAGCATATCTATTTTTAAATGATAGATTAATAACTCTTTCCTATTCCTCCAGTCCAAACTTTAAATGATATAGCTTATAAACGGTAAATCTAATATTAGTGTTATGTATATCAAATTTTTTAAAAAGATATTCTCTATTTGAATGTGTTTAACAATGGAGGTTTTAATTTGGAAAACAAAAGTATGTACTTATTTAAGGTCTATGGAGTAGAAAAAAAAAATTAAAAGTGATTTTAAAATAAAATTTAAAAGATTACACAATGATTAAAAGAAACAAATATACTTTGCATGATGGATGGGCTACTGTTGTAAGTGAGAAGTTGGGAAGGTAGAGAGGAAATTTAATGTATAAGGAGTGTTAGTTGAAATTTGCCGGTTTTACTAATAGATGTCACTAAAGATATGTATACATTTCTATGATTTGGCATTTATGTTATATTCTTTTATGGACATTAACCTTCAAAAATACACAAGTAACATTCTGCCAAAATAATAGCGTCATAGTTGTTTACCTCAGTGGATATGTCCAGTTTTGTTCCAAGTAAGTCACATTTGCGGCATTTATTGCTTTTCTTATTTCATCAAAAGAAAAAAGCAGCTGAAGCTAGTAGAAACTTATGGTGAACATGCTCCAGTGATTAAAATATGCGAGACTTGTTTTCGTCAATTTAAAAGTGGAGATTTCGATTTAACAGACAATGAACATCCTGGTGCAGCGAAAAAGTTCAAAGATAAGGAATTGCAGGACTTATTGGATGAAGGCCCAACCAAATCGCAACAATAACTGACACAAACACTAAATGTGATCCGAGGAGCAATTTGCCAACATTTAAAAGCCATGGGAAAGATTCAAAAGTATGAAAAATGGGTATCACACTAAATGAACGATAGTCAAATGGAAAATCGAAAAACCATTTGTGAAATTCTGCTTCAATGGTTCGTAAGGAAATCTTTTCTGCATCAAATTGTCACGGGAATGAAAAATGGATTTATTTTGAGAACCTGAAGTGGAAAAAATCATGGTTTTCACCTGGTGAGGCCGGCCCATCGACTCCAAGGCCAAAACGCTTTGGCCGTAAGACAATGCTCTATGTTTGGTGGGACCAGTGTGGTGTGGTGTACTTTGAGTTATTAAAACCTGATGAGACGGTGAATACGGATCACTACCGACAACAAATTATCAATTTGAATCATGCGTGGATCAAAAAACGGCCAGAATGGACCCGGCGACATGGCAAAGTTATTCTACATGACAACATTGGAAAATATCGCATCCGCAGTACTCTCCAGACCTCGCCATGTCCGATTATCACCTTTTTGCATTGATGGGACACTCACTCACAGAGCAGCGTTTCGCCAATGTTGAAGATGTCGAAAAATGACTCGTCGAATGGTTTATCTCGAAAAAGAAAACATTTTTTGGAATGGTGGTATCCATGATTTGCCTGAAAGATGGGCAAACTTTGAATAAAATTTTTTTGAGATTCCCTTGAGAATTAAATGTTTCCTTTATCGAAAAAACTGACATACTTCAACTAACACCCCTGGTGTATTTGTACATAATGATTAACCATTGCTAATGAAAAACAATTATGTTTGGAGTTCAGTCTATAGTGATGCGTTGTTAACAATTATTGTGAGCAGAAGAGATATCTCAATACTACACTGGCTTTTTTATTTTATTCCTCACCATTTCTCCAAAAATTATAAATAAAACATATTACTCTATGTTTGAATTTTTGATTACATATTGGCTTTTACTTATATAGATAAATAGAAACCAGTATTACCAATATAAATACAGAATAAGGAAGCATACAATTTGTGTTAAATTAAGTATATATTAAAATCTAAAACTCATATTGTCAGAAAATAAAATTGAATTAAATTAGTGTATAATATTAATGTTATTTTTTGAAAACAAGAGCGTTACAGATATTTCAAGTTTATTTTAAATTTGAAAATACATGGTTAAAATTGGTTAAACATAATTTTCAATCAAATGGCTATTACTGCTTTTTTCACACCTACAGAAATTTGTAATACTTTTATTGTACCCAAAATTTCATTATAATAAACTAATGTTAAAATCACCTTTGAATTATGTATAATTTTCATTTTATTTATGATTTAGAAATACCTAAGCTTAACATCAGCTTTCTCGATAGATTTTGTGATGTCTTCATACTTGAAATTTAGACCTTTTAATAAATTTGAACTTGAAGTCCACCATTGTTCAATATATGGTAGTTTTTCAGCAACTGTCATTTGTGTGTCATCTTCTATGGGTCGGTACTTATGCAAAAGCTCAAGTGCTTTTTTTTTGTAATCATTTGACAAACTATCGGACATCTCAAACACACCTGTAAACCAACGTAAAGTTATTAATAATGATAGCTAGGCAACATAAACAAATAATAATAATTTTCTTTCTATAAAGATTATTATAAATTGAGATTTAAATTTTATATTCAAGCATCATCGATTTTTAATAAAATTAAACTAATCTTGTTATATATTTCAGTCAATGTCAATTCTGTATCTGCATATTTAATGAGAAATGTAGCAAAAATGTTAACATACATTTAAAAAGGATCAGGCCTTTGGTCATATATACTTGATTTTGGTGCTAACATAAACATTAAAAATGTTTATCAAATTTCTATAAAATAGTTGTTTTTAAATCCTAATTTGTTAATTTTATTTTTCAAAATATTTTAAAAAAGCCAATCAAGTTCATATAAACCTTGTCTGAGTATATTGAAAGTACAAAAACATATTCTTGCTTTATTGCTTGTTAGATACATAAATACAACAAATACACATTTAGTAAACTATTGACAAATATTATCAATAATAATAATATCAATGAAATATTTAAAATTATAACATACATTATGTTATTAAGATTAACAAAATCAGTTAAAACTTTCATCAAATAATAACCTTTATATATAGGTAATATGGTAACTTATCTATGGAAGAATTTCTATCATTGGTTTGTTGAAAGCATGAATGAAATTTAGTGTTTTATAGTGTTTTTATCTAACCTAACAATACAATATTTATCTGCATGTACTTAATTTTTAAATTTTTAAACTGTTATCCAATATAAATGATTATTATTGGTTATTTATTGTTACAAAAGCAAAGAAAAATATAATATTTACCTACGTATAGTTATATAGTTATTAAGTATTTATAAACAGATTTGTAGAGTTAATGTTACTTTATACAAATATATAGATATAAAATATAAATGATTTTACATTGGTTTAAATGCGTTACAGCTAACTTTGTATTATACCTAATATTTATTACAAGTTTAAATAAATATTTAAGAAACAAAATCATAAGTTTCAAAATTGTGTAAATATTTTTCAGTTCAATGTATTACAGGTACCTATATATTTTTGGCAGTACTTTTGTAAATATCGTCAAAATAAATGAATAACCAGAAATACAAATCAGTATGTTTAAAACGCAAAATAAACATAAAGGTTGGTGAAGGTGCCTACTGTCATTTTTTTTTTTAAATTTAACTAAAGCCTCAATATAATTTACCGAAACTGCTGAGGACTGGTTGATTGTTGTACTCTGAACGCGATATAGTCCGATCAAAATCCGATATCACCTAACAGTACAACAGACAAAATGTAATTTACACGTTCTTGACGAGCGTCGTTTTTTTTTTTTTTATTTATAAGTAGGTAAATAGGTATTTTTTTCGCAAGTAGGTACTTGTAACTTGTCCGGGCCGCCGGACACCAGTTGTCGGATCTTGACCGCGGTCACGTCTTCGCGTCCAATGTGAATGGTGGCGGCGAACCTTTGTTTAATCTGCAAAACGAAAAGAAGAAAACAAAAACAACGATAGAACCAATTGAAACAGACACTTATCGCTTAATCACCTGATCGACAAACTCCATAGCTCTTGTCGGTTTTTCGAACGTTCGCGCGATAGTCTGGACGTGGGCGCAAGGCTGCTGATACTCGTTTACCTGTTGAGAAGAGACTGTCACACGGCAAAAACGGTTTTCGATCAACCCGCCTGTCTGCACACGCGGACGCGTTCGAATCGTACGAGAATTCGGAGGGGGAGAAATGCGTGCGTGCGTACCTACCGATGATCGACCGGTAACGCAAAATAACGGAAATCGAACCGACTAAAACTCGACGACGATTAGGGGAGTGCCGTGCCGGAGCAACGCATACGGTACGACGGCAAACGCGCAATATTAACAGATAACTGCGAATGGTTATTCGGTATTTTTCAATAATAACAACAATAATAATCGGTAGTTCGGTCGTCGTAACAACGGCTTGGCTGCTGTTGTTATTTTTTTTTTTTTAATTTTCGATTCCGATTATTGTTATTATTTACTGATGTTTCGCTGGGTTACGCGCGTAAGATTATCAGCGAAAATAATTCGTTATCAATATATTATTGTTATTATATTTTCGATTTTCCGATAGAGTCGTGGTAGAGGTGAAAGTGATAACAAAAGGACGATCAAGGTTGAGGTTTATGGCTTGGATGATAATATACAACGACAGTGTTATGCGTAAAATCTGTGGAGCCAAACGTAATAGTAGGACCTGTGAGATATGTGCATGCGCGTCAACTGTTATCATTTAATTTGGCAAATATTTTAATTTGATCGAGTAAAACGTTATCAATCCGTATTTCGTGCTCGGTGAATTAATAAATATTAGTTATTAGCTTAGATCATGTACAATACATGAACTGGGACTATTAGTATATTTGTTATTATAATATTGCGTTTTGCAATTTACGAAATACGATAATGGAATGTTCATAATCGTTATTACTTATTTTAAATGCAACAAGATGAAAGTTATCTCGTGCAAACGCATTAACTTATGTTACAGTCAGAAATATTAAATGTAAAATAACAATAATAGCCACAGTGTAGTATTAGGTGCCAGGAATTAATTATTACTGATTTTTAAATAATAAATTAGTTTGGTGCACTCGTGTCGCATATGCTTGCCGGCATACCGTGATCTAAGCTTGAACCTCGTCCGCGTCCGCAGTGCGTACCATAGCTGATGGCAGTGGCGTACCGATGTCGGTTTTTTTTTTTCCGAGGCAATCGTCCCACTACTGAAATGGATGGGCGGGTGGCTGCCGCTCAAACAATACGTTGAACATCGATTGACACCGAATAGTCCAGAGATCAGAGGTGCCTTTAGTCTTGTGCATCGTTCTATTTAAAATACGTACCTACTTGCGTATATGATAGCCAACATCGCGTAGTCGATTTAATAGCTAAATAAAGTTTTCGCTGTAATCACATTTCGTAGGGCATTCGTGAAAATCCGTGTTTTGAATGGATCGGTCCCGCATTTTTTCGTTTTGCCTCAAGCGCGAAACACGTTCAGCACGCCATTGGCTGACGATATAATATTATGCCTACTTACGATACGGAATAGGACGTATCGTGTTGATTTTGGGCAGCTAGCCGAAAAACCTTTAAATAAATCCCGAATATCTAATAACAGTAGGTAATAACACCAAGGTGGATGTACAGAATGATGCACTAAACGTGCTTATCCCATTTTTTTGGTTAAATTTTGCATTTTCCAGAGTGTCCCGCGACAATACAGGTACCCCACTACCCGTTGTTATATCTCCGGAAATAATAGAGATAATCAAATTTTGTTTTTAGATTCCGAGTGGAGCGAAGAAGCGTGTGATTTTACAAAAATATTTATTTTTCTTTTTTCTGTGGACAACTCCTCTACCAGCAATTTTGCTCCGGCATACAATGATAGCACTTTTTCTGAAAGGAAATTTTACTGGGAAGATACTTTAAGGAGGTTGTATTTCGTTTTTTTCTAGAGTTTTCCCAACAAATGTGAACAACTGAAGAAAAGAACTAAAACTAAAAGAAAATATATAAAGCCTATTTAATTATTTTATGACATGTATTATTTACAAAGCATCATTATCAACTGAACTCTGCTCAGAATCTTTTTACGTTACCAATGGCATATCTTTGCTTACAGGTATACATTAAATTACTGATAACAGTGGCTGCACTCGTCTCTATTATTATCCTAGGATAGCTAATTTTTTTATATATTATTCACAGGGACAAGGACTAAAAATATTTATATTGCAATACATTTTTATGCTTTGGTAAAAAACTTAAAAAAAATAACTTTTGATTTTATTATTTTTGAACAACTTTAAGATAGCCGTTTCATGGAATTCATTTTTCTGAAAACTTTGACACATCAACTTTTTATTTTAATTAAATTCGTGATTTCTAATAATTTTTCCAAGTTCAAAGAAATGTACCTATTATTTATAATTATAGTGCAGTAGACTGTAATTGCATTCTCTAACTGATTATTATTATTATTACTATTGATTTACTGTACAATTTTTTTCTTTGAACTTTAAAAAATTATTAAAAATCATGAATTTAGTGAAAATAAAAAATTGATACGTCAAAATTTTCAGAAGAATTAACCCTATAAATTTGATTATCTTTATTGTCTCGGGAGTTTTTACAATAGTTTTATTTTCGTGTAACACTCTGTATTACAATTCTGATTTTTGGAATTTTTAATTATAGTTAAAGCCGATATTTTCGAATACTTAGTTTTTCCACGACATTTAAGGGGTTTTACAAATTTTGGTTTTTCAAATGAGTACGTATATTAAAAATTCCATAAACAGACGGAGTACTACTTTAAATACATGTTTGTGTTGAGATATTCCACTTTTAAATTTAGGTAGGAGGAGAGTAGTGGAGTATCATTTGTGTGGCGGCACGGCGTGCGGCGTTTTATTAATGCTCCAAACTACCTATCCTCAGTCCCTTTCCTTCAAGTGCTACTCAAGCCTATTGTTAACTTATTCCAGATTGTCTCCTGTCACAGCTTTATCATTTGCAAACATCGTGCTCCATGAAACCTCTTCTCGGTAATGGATACAGAATTTCGGGGGCCATTACTCTTATTGTTCGAATTACGCTTAAATTGTTTATTTTTTTTTTTTTTTCGATTGTCCCGTAAATGGACAACCGTAAGGGTATTGGATTCATAAGCGCCTAATTTAATTTTTCTCGGCACTTCAATAAAAACAATTTATTATTGTCAACCGCGAACGCTGACACTGATCACTGATAACCAACTCACTGTGTATGAACAAAGACAAGACGATACCAACCGCCGTCAAGGTCGGTGCGCAGCAAATCAATTAGAAAAGATTACAAGAATCGCAACTTACAGCGCTGCTTATTTCACGAAGTTCTACGTGCATTATAAATAATACCACCATAATTACGGCGGTATAATATGCAATAGTCCATATTGCCCTCGTCATATATTTAATGTGTTGTTACAACGTTACATTTACCAAACATAATTACCGGATTAAACATCGAGAAAAAAACAAATATACTAAATAGGTATTTTATTTGAACATCAAAACTCATATACCGTTGCCGCTCCTAAACATTCGCAGCCTTGGAGCAAAAGCTCCATTAGCGCCTATTTTAATCCGATCCTGGAAGTAATACCGTGGACGGCTGCAGCCACTGTTGTAGGCGAGACATTGAAAAGGTAAACCATAGATAGTTTATCTTTTGTCAATCTTTATCTAGATCTCCGAATCTAAAATATAAATTTAAGAAAATATGCTACCTATTATAAAAAATTTGGACAAAGATTTTCAAATACAGTAAATAAATGTACACATAAAAATAAAAAAATTAATTAATTAATAAATGCGTCGCCTGAGGTATTATGATAAATAAATACATTAAAAAAGTTACACAAATTATAATGTAAACACAATATTTTCTATGTATTCCTTAATTTAATTTTTATATTCAATCACGTTTTACATTTTGACTATGAAGTCTTTGACGGTGGATTTTTAATTTGAAACCGGTCGTGTAATACATTTATTATAACACTTCAGGCGACGTATTTATTCATTTTTTATTTTTATTTATACATTTTTTTATTTATATATATATTTATTTACGAGAGTTAATCATTTTGTTTTTACTTTATTATTTTATTATTTTTAATAATACAGCATAGTACATTCAATACATTCATCGTTCCACTATATCCTCGTTTTATCTTTAGAAATCTTGTATTATATTTGTAATTGGTATTTTGTCTACAATATTTAAAATAACATGTCCCGACTCTCTGACAGATTCGTCATCGTTTAGTCCGAATCACTAGACGGTTCGGGCTAAAATTTGGCATATAAATAGCTATTATGACGTAGGCAGGCGCTAAAAAAAGGATTTTTGAAAATTCAAATCCTAAGGGGGTAAAATAGGAGTTTTCAGGTATATTTGGTACGAATATCGAATTGTTTATTTATTTATTTTTGTTTATTCAAGGGTGTTACGGGTGATCATTTGGTTGTCATGGAAAAGAAAGCTATTATCATTATTATTATTACTAATATTTACATTATTCAAATTTCACAATAGAACATATTCAATTCTGACACGGCCAAAACCAAAAATGAATATGGGTAAAATAGTAATATTACAAATTGACACGGGCGACGCCGGGCACGGGACAGCTAGTATCTTATATTATTATAAGTATGCGTTAAACAAACGTACATAGGTGGGAAGTTGAGAAGGTAGGATACATAAAATTATTTAATTTATATCTGCACGCAACGAAAAACGATTCGGAGCAAAGTTCGGTAAGACAAATGTGTTGAAATGCAGTAATTTTTATATGATAAAACGTATAGGAAAAACGGGAAAATAAACGGCTCTCATAGCCGTTTCATTATTTTTGATTTTGTTGTATGTACCTAATTAGGTAAAAAATAAAACTAAAAAATACTTACTAGAATAATGGAGATGGGTACAGCCTCTGTTATAGGTAATTTAATGTATTTCTGTAAGCAACGATAAACCATTTATAACGAAAAAACGATTCTGAGCGCAGTTCAGTTGATAGTGATGCTTCGTCAACAATATATACAATATAACCTAATCTGTTTTCCCGTGTTTTTCCCTGGATTATCACATTTGTTAAGAAAACGCTTAGAAAAATCGAAAATTGACCACTTTAAAGTACCTTCCCAATCGGATTTAATTTCAAAAAAGTATTATCATTGTAAATCGGAGCAAAATTGCTGGTAGAAAAGTTGTATACAGAAAAAAGAAAAAGAAATATTTGTTTACTAATACCTACATTTCGTACATTTTTCGTTTTTCGAACATTTTATCCCGGGTTTTCCCAGTTATTATGAAAACCGATTGAAAAATCATAAAAATGACCTCCTTAAACCACGGAGATAATATTTCCTTTCAGAAAATGAGCTACACTTGAAACACGAGAGCAAAATTTCTGGTAGAAAAGTTTGCACAATAAATCGAGAGGTAGTATCCGATTAAAATCGTCCGAGTGAGCGATAGCTAGGTGTCTAGGTACACTTAAAATTATTTTGTTCTTTCTCTATTTTGATAAAAAGGGGAAAAAAAAGTACAAACAATTTCTTTTTAACCCCCGGGTTGAACCCGCTTTTGAATCCGCAACCCCTAGCATGACAATATGTATTCGTGACCATTCGACTACTACAAACGTATATTAAAGAAGACAATACAGAGTTATTTAACATAAACATGTAATATCTAAATAATATCTGAACTTCAAAAAGTTATAATTTCGAAACATAGTCAGTTTGCTCTATTCTGACTTTACTATATTTCCTAAATCACAAATACACAAATGTTCGAAAAAAAAAAATTGAAAAATTAAAATTTTTCTTTATTTTTTTTTTACTCAAACAATTTTCATCAAAATTCCTTTATAAAAACAAATACTACATAAAACTCAATTTTTTTTTTTTACCACAAAGTAAAATTTAATGAACTTCTTGTTAAATTTTCAAGCATTTCTGTTAAGTCTAATAATTTTACCGCAGAATACTAACCGAATAAAAATTACTCACAAAACTCTCAAAATTAAATTGTCTGTAAATAGTTCAAAAGTAGATTAAATTTTTTGAAAATTTTACCACGTCTAGAAAGGGCACATATAAGTTTTCTGTCTAAATTTTAAGCCTTTATGAATATTATTAACTGAATTACATCAATTACAAAATTAATAAAATAATAAAAGCATTAATTTCGTACATTTTCCGTTTTTCTAACGTTTTATCCTGGTTTTTCCCAGATATTATGAAAACCGCTTGGAAAATCAAAAAATAACTTTCCAAAAGTACCACCTGGACAACATTTTCTTTCAGAAATGGTGCTATGCGTATGTATCTGAGCAAGAATTTTTGTACGCAGAACAAAAAAAATAGAAAAAAAAAATAAACATCTTAGTAAAACCATTACATTCTTCGCTACACTTAGAGTCTATAAGGTAAGATAATGAGGACGGGTACAGCCACTGGTTTAGGTGGGGAGTTTGGAAGGTAGGATATATACGAGAATTTAATGTATATTTATAAACAACGATAAACCATTGCTTATGAAAAAACGATTCTGAGTGGAGTTCAGTTGATAGTAATGCTTTGTCAACAATATGTGTGTCATTTTATTGTATAAGATAATTGAATAGGGTTTATATATTTTCTTTAATAAAATTTGTTTAATGTTGTACCGATTTTCCCAGTTTTCCTAAGGTTTTTCCGGTTTTCCACTTTTGCTGGGAAAACTTTTGTAAAAATCGAAAAATGATCTTTTTAAAGTATTTAAACATCTCTTCTCACCGATTTAACCGATTAAACCTAACCTAACCTAACCTAATCTCTTTTAGAAACAGTGCTATCATTAAAAGTTGGAGCAAAATTTTCGGTAGAAAAGTTATACACAGAAAAAAAGAAGGCCGTAATATATTTTAACTAATAATTATATTTCTTATATTTTCTCGTTTTTTTTTTCGGTTTTTCAAATTTGATGATAAAACTCCTGAGAAAATCGAAAAATGACCTCCTTAAAGTATCTCTTCTCACCGATTTAATTTCATAAAACATACTACATTTAACAATCTGAGCGAGTTGTCTGGTAGAAAAATTGTGCACAGACAAAAAAAAAAAATATAATAAAAATCCTTGTAAAACCATAAGCTTCATAGTTTCACTCAGGATCCAAAATGTAAGAAGCTAATACGACCTATGAGAAGAGGTGATCCGTCTATCGCCCGTTTGCCCTTCCCTCCCGGTATACCACCACTAGGTGAAAACTTCTCTGCCTTTCCGGTGATATCTCATATTTTGTGTAATCAATTGTACAATAAATCACTATAAATACTTGAGAAAAAAACACTTTTAAATTATTTTCGTCGAGTGTATAGTGATATTATATAATTTTATAAAGCGACTGCTAATAATTAATAATAAGTAACCTACCTACATTATACTGAACGTATGCAATGTGCATAATATTATACAGAATTACACACACTGGTGAAAATTGCAAATGCCAATTATCAATAATAGAAATACTACGTTTTATTGAATTGCAAAAAGAAAAAAAAAATGGACAATTAAAATATAGAAAAAGTAACAAATGAAACAACCGTGAGACAGTCTACTGTACATGATATTGTGTTGTCGTTTTAATGTCATCAACATTGGACGCGTCAAAAACTATACAATAAAATAAAAGTATTGAAATTATTTATAAATATTCTATTACAATTCGCACACTTAGAACTTCTACAAGAACCGGGTCTTGACCCGGACAAAACGTATACGACATTAATTTATCAAGTTTATGGTTATTCATTGTACTTTAACGTATGCGAATACTGCGGTAAAACTACCCTTTTTTGAGACAGATAAAAAAAAAAAAAAAAAACAGAAAAAAAAACGTCTTGAAAAATTAATTTTATCACTATAAACTTCCGTTTTTGTCGAATTTTTCAGGAATTAAAGACTACGTTTCCATTACATATTGCAGTGTCTGTTATGACGGGATCGCGACGTTGAGCCAACGTTATAATTTATTCCATCTGCATTTTTTTTGTTAATACACTTGGCGTCACAAAAATCGCACATCTTTAAAATTAAGTTTCAAACGGGCATTTCCCCGAACCAAAACATTTAATCCAAACAATAAAGATATAAATTGAAAGTACAGTTAATGACCTCTTATCCGATAGTAGTTTCATTTCATAAACAATAATCATATTCGGAGTATACGGTGCATTAGGAAAATGTATAAATATACTCCTATCTTATCTTATATTCTTTGGCTATAGAAAAATCAGTTTAAAGTGTCAAATGCAGGTCATTCACTTCCTAAACATTGAAAAGGACGTACGTGAATACTCTTTAAACAATATTATTTCAAAAAATAACGTATTAAATGGATACAACTGCTAACGAAGCCGCTCAAGTGGTAGCATTAATGGAATCAGGGATGCGTCAATGTGATGTTGCACGGCAACTAAACTTGAGCCGTTTTGCCGTTCGACGAGTTTTCCAACGTTATCAAGAGACTGGTGGCTTTATCCGGAGGCATGGATCAGGCCGACAACGCTGCACAACGGACAGAGATGATCGTTTTATTGTCTCGACGTCTTTGCGCAATCGATTTTCCAATGCTGTAGAGCTTCAACAGCAACTCCGCGCAGCTCGCAGTACAACAGTAAGCACCTCTACGGTTAGGAGAAGGTTAGGAGAACAAAAAATTGTGGCCCGCAGACCTGCTACCGGTCCGAAACTGACTGCACAGCACCGCAAAGAACAGTTACATTTTGCCCGTGAACATTTTAATTGGACGCTTGACCAATGGAAGACTGTGCTCTTTTCTGNCAAGCCTGTACCGAGGAGACAGTGGAGTATGGAGGTGGATCATGCATGTTCTGGGGCGGCATTTCCATCGATAGCAAGACCGAGCTTGTGTGCGTTTCCCGAACTGGTGGCGCTCGAGGACAAGGATCGCTAACTTCTGATCGATACATTACAGAGATCTTAGAAGAGCATGTGGTACCATATGCGGGTTTTGTTGGAGATGGGTTTATACTAATGCACGACAATGCTCGTTCCCACACCGCATTAATTGTAAAAAATTATACGGAAGAGGTTGGGATCCCTGTTATGAACTGGCCAGCGAGAAGTCCAGACCTAAACCCAATTGAGCACCTCTGGGACGAATTAAAACGAAGAGTGCGGTCACATGATCCTGCCCCAACAACCCTCCAAGATCTTCAATATGCTGTTGTTGCGGAATGGGTGAACATTCCTCAAGAACGCATCGTACGACTCATAACTTCTATGAAAGATCGTATGGAAGCAGTAATTAAGGCAAGAGGAAGTAGCACTAGATTTTAAATAACATTTAGTAACAGTTTTTTATTTTTATATGAAGTCTATTGTCTGTTTCTGTTTGTAAAACTGTATATCCTCAATACAATTTGTTTTCCTCTTCCACGATTAACTTATTTTTTAAAACACTGATAAACAAAAACACATACCATTTATTTATTTTTCAAGTTTATTTCATCACCTTTCAAATGATATATCATAACAGTACCCTTATATATGATTAAGTGTAGTTAAAATTACTTTGAAAAATAATTTGCAATAGGTGCGATTTTTGTGACGCCAAGTGTATTAAAATACAAAAAAATTTAAAAAATGATTACAAAATGAAATACAAAAAAACCTACGACGATGGCGCAAACATCGGTGATTCAATACAACATACACGAGAGAGCATCGCACAAATGTCTTATAATACCGTTTCGATCTTCGGTGTCTCATCTCGAATAGTATTGCATCGATAAAATACGTAGATTATCGATATTATTCATTAGAAACGTTGGACGATGTAGGTGCATTAAATATATGATATGGCAGGCGTGTCGTTTTCGTTATCGCATTAATAGCAACTTTGGTAGGCTCTACGGTTGTCAACTCATCGGCCGTCGGCACTTCGGTTGTCGACTTATCAGCCGTCGGCGCTTCGGTTGTCGGCTTATCAGCCGTCGGCTCACCGTCCTAGTTCCGCTAGTTATATAACATTATAGTATTATCGTTATCTTTTTCTCGCTACTTTTAGCCGCTTCTAGCGGCTCCTTCGAACTCCACAAACACTAGGGTGATTTTATAGGCGGATTAAAGTGTTGGGGAGTCGGGCTGAATTTCAATACGAATTTCGCCTGCACGTATTGTTGCTGGAGGAATTTTTTTTTTCTGACCGAACAACTCTACATACATTTTGTACACGCACCGCGCAAGTATATTGTGTATTTTGACGTTTTGGGGTTTAGACCCCGAGTTTACGACTTTTCAACCCCGCCCGGCCGCCTCTGCCATTTTTATGGTTAAATGCTATTGTTATTATTATTTTTATTTTGGAAATTATTATTATAATATAATGTATTTCCAATATTTCCATACACAATTTCTCGGTTTCGGTTCCTACATATTACGTATTATATATACACACTACGTATTACGTATAATATTATCTTTATAATTGGATACGTTGAACGATACCGTGAACGCGTGTGGATAACAGCGATTCGAGTAAGCGAGTCCTTGAACTTCCTAACTTCATAACACTAGAAATAGTGATTTATTCTATCCCATTTCTTATAAAACAAATTATATAGACAATAATATCTTAACGGCTACGGGTAATATTCTATTTCTTTTGATTATATTTAGCACGTCTCATTTTTACATCCTCCTTGTTGTTATTTACCTATACGTCTCTCTTCATTTTTTATCTGTAACTTTGAAATTGTAGTAATATGTATCTTAGCTCCTAAATTTGATATGTTTATGTCACTTTACGGTACATCAGTGTTCACATACCATGTATAATTTTTACTCTACTTACGTTTCAATATGTTTTAGGACTTAAGTCCTGTGAATAATAAATAATAATAATATTAATATCGGCTGACCAAAAATGGCTGAGTGACATTTAGAGGCTAAGTGAAATGGTGTATACTATGGGGTAACCAACAATTTAGAGCATTCGAACATACAAGAGTTAGTGTTTTTTACTTTCTATGATTATTTTGTAATGAAATGTTTCATTTTGAGTGAAGCGAAGAAACATATTGTTTTACAAAGATGTTTATTTTTCCGTTTTTTTTTTTCTGTAGACAACTTTCCTATTAGAGGAATTGCTTCGATTTTTACGTGTATCACCTTTCCTGAAAGTAAATCGATGTGGGGAGGCAGGATAGGTTAGGGATTTTTCGATTTTCTCAAGAGTTTTCTCATCAAATGTGAAAAACCGGAAAAACATGGGAAAACCGGGAAAAACGGGAAAATCGGTACAATATTAAACAAAAAATATATAAATATTTAATTATTTTATCATCATATGTATATATATATATTGTTGACAGAGCATCACTTCCTAATAAAATGCGCTCAGAATTGTTTTTTCGTTAGCAATAGTCTATCGTTGATTACAACAAAACAACGAATTTCCGTCTATATCCTACTTTCTCAACTTCTCATCTACAACAATGGTTTTACCGAATTATTTTGAATATTGTTTGGAAAATCAAAAAAATTACTTCTGTAAATTACTACTCGAATACAATTTTCTTTCAAAAAAGGTACTTGAAAATCAGAGTAAGATTTCTGGTAGAAATGTTGTTTATAGATAAAAAAAAATAATAATAAATAAAGATCATTGTAAAACCAATATATTTCTCTCTCTACTCAGAATTTAAAATGAGTTTGAAAATTTGTTTTTTCCTGTTTTAATCTGAATACCGTACAGGTTTTCAAAATTTTTTAGTTTTTACAGTATAAGTACTTATAAGTACTTACTATTACCGATTATCGGAGACCTTGAATTATTGGTATAAAGTCTGAACTTTGGTTGGTGTATGGTGATTGATATTATTTTATCAATATTGTTACTATCATCATACATTTTGAAAAGTTTGAAATGTACGTTTGAAACGTCATACACGTGTAAGGCGTGTTTTTATAAAAAACATCAATGTCCAATATGCAAAATTTAATTTCCCGAAAACCGAATGTATCTTCAAATCGTTCTACTGCAATACTACACAGAACACACTACCCGAACATTTTGAGCCGGACACTGGTTTGAGCCTGGTTTGTATGCAGTGGCGCCACCAAGCGAAATTGTAATTGCGGGTCAAAATTTCAAATATTTTACACATTAATCTTATACGACCTATCCTTCCAATTCACCATAATTTTTGAAGTGGTTATCGGAGACTATACATTTGGGGAGGGGGGAATAATTCACACGTATACCTAGCTATTTGATTATATTAATATTTAATAATATTATATTGTTCATTAGTTTGCTATACAGATTGGAACTTTTCCAATAACACATAGTGCAACTCTACGCACATAGATTAAAGTTAAGTCTGCGCATTTTCAATATTAATCCACCCAACCATATTCTTCAAAGCAGTTATATTCAATCGTACTATCTGCTAAATACGTGTTCGGCACCACTTTCGGCTTGTATATTGTGTAGGTAGGTATTATAATTAATAACGTATTCACGTATTATAAGTATTAAAATACGTGCGTCACAATATTCTGTTGATAATTTTTTTTTTTCGGTTGGTCGAGAGTTCGAGACCGGTCCGTTACGCAATAGCCGTGAGAAACTATGTGTGTGTGTGTGTGTGTGTGTGTGTGTGTGTTTCTCTTTCTCTCTCTCTCTGGTCTCTCTTGTCTAAGTCTCTCTGGTAATTAATTGATACTATATACTTAATATATTATGAATATTTTATTCCCTCCGTGTATTATATACGTACCTATATAAATAATATAAAAGCATAAGTTATCTTGACGAGCTGTTATTCTTCCTGCAGTGTTTCAAAGTCATTATTATTATCACTGATTTACACTGAATATTAATATATTTTGACCGGAAAAACTCGTTTTCTTCCTAGTAAACTACTTTTATAGTTTATACATTGTGCGTTGCGTAGATGGGTGTACGAAATGCTATGTAATTACTCGTATTTTATACACTCCAAAAATGCATATGTTATAGACAAGTAGGTAAGTATATAATGTAATCCTACAATGTATCATGATATAATGATGCAACGTATCGTACAATGACTACCACGCAAGTCAAAATTACCTATAGTCCTTGATTACTATTAAATATTAATACGCCAAGCCCAGTATCGAATTGAGATAGTATATAGCATTTTTTTTTTTTTAATTTTTAATATTTTTTAGTTTTATATTTTTATAATAAATTTTTTTTCTCATAATATATTATGTATAATTAATTGATGATTTGAAATTAAAGTGAGGGGCATAATAAAATCTACCGTGGGCCGCATGCACACCGCGGGCTGCGGGTTAGACACCCCTGGAATATAGCATGGACATAGGTATAGAATGGCCTTATGTACGGAGTGCATCTACAGGATTTTACGAGGATCATTTTGACAGGATACTTGATGACCGAAATTTGACTATACTGCAGGTTTCAAATATATAATATATATTTTCTTCTTAGTTTATCGTTTAAATTTATTATGCTAAAAATACTACTACCCAAACACTCCTATGATCGGCTCATATTTTTAAATGACGCAGATATAGCTATTTTCCTCCTAAATAACGCGATACTGTTTTCTTCCATCGTCCATATTTCTCTGTTACCAAAATATAAATTAATATAATGTCATTGTCATTCTCCTGTAGCAACATGTGTACAGTGCTGAAATTATAAAACTAAAAGAAGAGAGACGACAGAAGATAGAAAATAAATTTGTGTCCTTGGCAATTATTAAACTCAACTTAATCCGTTGATATATACATAATATATTATATTATATTTTAAAACATGTTTATTGTCACAAAAATGATATTAGTAATAGTTCTTTGTCAGTTTAACTTGACGTTTTGT